AAAAAAAAAGGTCATGTGTGGGTAAAGGAGTCAAAGTGCCCCGTGCAAAATGTAAATATAACCGAAAACCATATCTGATCGAGGTATGCTGAGAGTAGATGTTATCAAGTAAAAGAGGGAAACGATTGAAAGGAAAATATAACGGAGACGCAGCGGACATCGGATGCCCCACATTGATTACTATCTAGAAGTGGAGCCAGAGTGAATAAAGCAGAACTGCTAGGCTCATGTCAAATAAATATTCGTTTTCTAGGCAGCTCTATAGCTAATTACCATAGAGCGGGACATTATCCATATAGCGCCGCCTGTTTCTCTCCAGGGCTATCATTACGGTACTTTCTAATTTTTCTTGTGCTCGCTTAATTCAAAACCCACCTCAAATCCAGCACCACCACAGCTTTGGCATCAACAACTGCGCAGTCTCCCATCACAGCATATCCCAGATCCGCCTCTTGTTATAGATCACGCGCATCTTCTCACCTCATCATCGCAACATGGGGGCCTTTGATCTAGCTCGCCCTGAGGCCACGGCGGCAGCAAAATACTTTGCCTTCATCGTGGGCAAAAAAGCGGATCAAGCGCAGCCCAAGATGAAAGAATTCTTAGAACTCGTTGTCACTTATTTCGATTTTATTCGACCTTCTATGATAAAGCAGTTGGCTAATGAGCTCGCTCATTTTGTCACACTACTGTCTACGATGTGGAAGGACAATGACCTTCATCTTGACAATGCACGCAACAACGACGTGTACCACGAGGCTCGTTCGTTGACCACCCGGAACATCCCATATCCTCTATGGTTTGTTTTGGCCTGTGCCTTTGGGCCCGGACATTCGGCGCTCGCCGAAATACGGAAGGCTTTGTCCAAGGCACGGGATTCCGAGATCACATCGAACGGGATATCTTACCCAAGTTGCAACTCTTCTTCCCGGGAGTTCGAACTTTTCGGAATGGATCCCAAGCTCAACGCTGCAGCCAGCCCCGCGGTGAAGACTAGTCCTATTGTCACGTCAACTATCCCTGTATACTTGACATCCCCGAATGCTGCAAAGGACGCTACAGCTCAAGCAAAAACCAATCCAGATGATAATACAATCTTCAAGGCTTCCAACCCTTCCGAAAGGTTGTCTCGACCCCCAAGCGAATCTGTTCATTCAGGTTTACAAAATTTACGAATGAAGATTCATAATCGAGGACCAAAGCTGATTTACAATAGGCGTGGCCCTTTTGTCACCGAACCTTCGCCGGAACTTGCTTCCCGTGGCATATCGTCTAGCTCCAACGTCAACAGGAACTCCGATGATCCTCAGACTGAAATATCGCCAGAACCAACCCCCCCTACAAACAGTCCAGGCTCGGCGAGTCCTCGAGCATCCAACAATACACCTGACGGCGGGACAGGTACCAATCCGTTTCGCTTGCGACTCGCTCTCGATCGATCCGAGCCAGGCTCGGTTGAGTTTCATTCTCAAGGAACTACCATGCCCTCTACCCCGACGAGATCAGATGTGCCTCAAGACTCGGAAAGCCACCTCAGGCCAGATTTCATAGGCATGAGCACGGAGCTAGACAGTCTAACATCACAGACGGCATATCCCCACCGGGACATGACTAAGAAACTTGATCAACTTGAGAACGACCGGAGTTCCTTCACAAAGTACCTTCAAGGTGGCGAAAGGGGGTCAAAAGTTCAATGACATCGCAAAAAAGCTTCGGGTTTCCCATAACAAGTTGAAACATGGCGTCGAAGCTTTGAAGGAGCGGACTACCAAGCCATCATCAGCGTTGACCGACATCCAAGTCCAAGATGACAATGGCGAGTTCACCAACGAAACTCTCGTCAAAGACCTCCAGTCCACCAACGAAAAGCTCGCTACAGTAGTGTAAATCGACAAACGCAGCCCTTCAGCGCATGTTCGATACGCTAGAGCGTCGGTACAAAGAGCTCAAGACCAGATTATCAGTCCATAGAGACCCTGATCTCACAGTCCAAGGGCAAGCCGGTGGATAAAGAAGAAGAAGAAAATAAAGAGGAGACAGTCGACGACCTATCCAGCAGCAATCTCAACAAGCGCACCCTTCCCCTGGACGACAACTCTGAAGAGGCGGCTGTGCCGGTGCGTTCGATTTGAATACCCTCAATCAAGTCTCTGACAGTCGCTTCAAGATGCCGCAAAGAATCTGAGACGACACCATGTTTTAGGTACTGGCCCTTTTTCTTCTCCCTTTTTTTTTCCGCGACAATATAAGCCACTGGCCTCTGGCACAACACATGAGGAAGCCCCTCATACCGTTGCAGGGGGCTTTGGGAATATCCGAGAGCTGCGCCTGCCGTCTCCAAGTGAGTTTATATCATAGTTCCTTGCCAGTGTCTACATACTTACAGGCTGAGCCTACAGAACTGAGTCAAGAGAACCATCAAGTACGAGTATCGTATCAAAGATAAAATGCTCCCCACGGATGACTACACCATCTTAACTCTTTATGAGACCGAGATCTTTGAATGTGTGAGCAAGGCCTTTGTCAGATTACCGTCAAACAGCAACTATCTTATGTATTGGTGTGATTGCATAGGCCTATTGCTCTCCTGGACACATGGCCCCCGCCACGCTTCATTGGAGTCCATCTGTTCATGTGCTTCGTCCGATGGAAAGTTGGGCTACCATGTTCTCCCCAATATTGGGGTTGTAATGAATGGGTTGAACATCATAAAGGGGAGGCACTCACCGATCGTTCTACCACTCATTTCAACATGTCTTCATGCTCTTGCAGTCCCTGAATTTCTCGCCCGAAAAGAGCAACTAATTTGGGCATACATCGCAGTGTCAAACGAGTTCATAGTGGGTGAATTGTTGGGAAACTTCAACCATCGTGGGACTACATTCACCCAATTTGAGGCACTTGACGATGCTGCACGCATGGATATCCTCGAAGCACAACGAACCGGTACTATGACTGAGCTTTTGCGAGCCCATCTTGTTGGGTCTCGGCCAAAGGATTTTGGGGGCGCAACCAAGTGGCCCTGAAACTACCTGTCCCTGGGAGAGAAACAGCGTTGGGCCAGCGTTTATGAGAGATTGAAAAAGATTGGAGCACTATACGGGCTAACAGCAGACGAGTTTCAACAATACGCAACAATCCCGTCACCAAACGGAGAGCCCGCCTTCTATCCCTACCACATTCTGTCGGCACAGCAAGCTCAAGACTGCCAATAGAATTGGCACATCATGGGGTGGAAAGCCCAACAGATGATTCAAATGCTTGAATTATCTTGCAACATCAAAGGCGAGAAGGCGGGCCTCGGCGAGCACCTGAAGCCCCTACAGGTGATCTATTGGTTGGCCCATCGAATCTGTCGGCAAATTCAACGGGTAAAATCGGCCAATCCGACCGCGACACAAGATGAGATCGCATTCGCACTTCTCGATAGATGGGGATTGCCCGTCGTGCCGTGGACATGCCATGCGTTCAAGGCATCATTATGCCATGGGCCCGACCATGGCATCGCCATGAAGCTTAGCGTAAGGAACGTTGGTAAAGCAGACTTGGACCGGCTTGTCCATTTTGACTTCACCCAATGCACCGTCGAATTTGAATCTATTGTGACCAATATGGGCATGTGAGATTGGTTGCCTGAAGATTGGGAGGGTGCAAGAAGCATGCTTCTAGATATTCCTATCCCCTGATAATGAGGTTCCCATATTGAATTACACTTTCAAGGACCATATCTCCGGTGCTCACACGGGACCTTCTTTACCCTGACCTTGCCCTAATGTTAGGTTTCGGCTGGCATAAAATGCGCTGTTTACTTGCTTCCATCTGATTTTTTCCCTCTTCCTTCCACCAACACTGACACATCACAAAACCACTCAAGTCATCACAACAGCCGGCCTTCCTCAACAACCGAGTTGGCAAGAGTCCAGATACTGGTATTCCTATCGATTATGCGTTCTGGAAGCTAAATCCATCGATGGGTAGCAAACTCTGGGTGGGTACAGGAACCATATCCAACGTCACGCTTGAGCCACCAGTTGCGGATTTTGATGTGCCGTTCTTACCATCCAGTCTATGCGTCTCGAATGGAGCCTAGCAAGGGCCAAGCTAATTGGGTTTGGGCTGGGCCAACAATTTTGTTTTATTTTTCTTATCTCTATTCTATCTCATGTGCTTATCTTGGATAAAGAAAGATGAGAGTAGTATGGCTTTTACTCTTCTTCACCAGGGCGCACATTCTCGGAATCATTTCGCTGGCGAGGTGGTGAGATCGAAAGAGTAGCTGGGCGGATGGGAGAGACGGAAGTGGTGACCTGCCGAAGTGGCGAAAATGTTGTCTCTCCAACCGACCGCTCGGCCAACTTTCCAGGGGAGTCGTTGCGGTGCGGGATATTTGTGCGTGGAATAATACCTTGTGAAACTTTGTAGTAGGGTAGATTAATGAAGAGGTCTCATGCAAAGTTACTAAGCTTCAACTGTTCTGTTTACCCTATTTTCAACTGCCCTCTCTAATTACCTCTGTCCCTTGAGGGGACGGTTTCATGTAAGCATAATCATCTGAGTCCCTGGCGAAACATATCTTAGCCAGCAATGTGCAAGAAAACATGATATGATAAACAGCTCAGCTGAAACACGAGCCAATCTCAATTTGTATATCTCGTCAGGCTTATTATTAACTATCTTCCCTCTGTGCCTCTGTCCGTTAGAAGGAAAGCTCCATGTAGGCATAACCAATGCGTGAGAAATGAACGGCGGACGAGTAGCAATGTATGAACCTAGGTGTATACCCGCCCCATGAAGGATGCAGCCACGAGAACCCAGTCCTTAGTCCTAACCTCATACATTGAATCAACTCCTTTAGAGTAGAAGAGGTTGAACGGCTGCTATTCCGGCTGTCATATGTATTACGTGTTTTCTCAGCTGGCTCACAAGATCTGAAGACTGAAAATGGGCTTATCACTTTGCAATACATATGAACTCCGTTGCGTCCATTTAAACTCTGCGGTGATATTTCAGCTAATACCTTTACCCGGGGCTGTAACAGTCTGGAGTAGTAAGCTTCCCAAACATACAAACCTAGCTTAACCTATACAGTAGACAATATATATCACCTAGGCAGAAATGGTGGCATTTCGTATCCTCTATTAATAGTAACAGCCACATGAACCTGTGATAAATTGGAGAGTAAGCTCGTGTTCACTGCCAAAATGTGTTCTAGTACGAATGGGTGACTCACGATGGTCAGTATGGTGTTGACCATACGTTACATGAACGACTTCAGCCGAGCCGTAAGCGGTAACCATGGACCGCAAGACGAATCCTTCGGCGTGATCGTTAGATGGTCTAGAGACGCTAGACACAACAGAGAGGCCTCATTCGCTGGCCTTGTGAGGCCCATGCAGAGATCAATTTCCAGACCCGTTCATCCGCCAATCATTGCCATTCCGGTTAAGACGGCGCCAGGGGTATTCTTGGCTAGGCTCGACTTGAGTTGACTTAAAATCAGAACAAGACCGCTCTTTGGACCCTAATTTTTACTCCATATCTTATTGTTCTTAATTCCATTCATCATAATGACTCGTCTACTCAATATTTTGGTCCTTCTTGGCCTGACTGGCAGCTTTGTAGCTGGCCAGCGCTATGACCAGGAGAAGCAGAATGCTGATGCAGAATGCAACGTAGGTCTTTTTTGTAAATGAATACAAACTACCGCCGTTCTAATGTGCATTTCTGTAGAACGGCTGTTTCTTCAAGTACTTCACCAACAAGTGCAATGAGGATAACAAGGCTTGTGTGTGCACGTTGGACGACATGAGAGAGAAGTTCTTGTGCTGTATTGCTAAGAGCTGCGCCCCCAACGTTCTGCCAGGTGAGTCCGACAACAACAAGTTCCTCCATGGGAAGGTGGCTAATAAGACGAAAAGAGCAAATCCAAAGATCTGGAGATGGTTGTGTTGCCTGGAACCTTCCCTTCACGTTCGATGCTGAAGCTGCTTGTGGTATCAAGCTACCCAAGTCTTCCGAGACATCGTCCGAGGCCATGGCCACTACTACTGTGACAACCGCTGAGAAGACGTCTGATGCTGCAACAACCACGGAGGCAGAGACGGAGACCAAGACTGATGTTTCAACTGTTGAGACATCAGCGGCTAGCCAGACAACCGGCGCAGCGGAGCCTTCGACCGTCGAGAACGGTGCTATGAAGGCCGCTGTCGGCGGTGCCATTGCGCTTCCCGTGTTGCTAGGCCTTCTGTAATGATGTATGAGAATGACCTACCCATTGTGCTGTTTAGGGCCTTGCATGGTTCACCTAGGGCTCAATTGTGGGCAGCGGCGGGACTAATGAGATTGATACTCTTCATGTATACCGTTATTAATGATATCTAATAAATATTCATCCAAACTACCCCTTCAAATCCGATTACAGGCACCCATGTTCACTAATGCGTGGTTGATGTGGGTTTATAATCTGGGCAGATGAGCCTTACATTCGGCGGCTCCTACGTCAGCGACTGACACGGTGTATGTTCCTCGACTTAAAGCATGGAGGATCAACTACTCTCAGTACACCCGAAATGAAATTTACAGGAGAAAGTCCAGCTTTGACGATTCAGGAAAGCGAAGTATCACAGAATCTTGCAGGAGATTCGAATGGCCAGAACCATAAAACGTGAAAGACACCTAAAGTTGTAGCACGTGGCCCACCTAGCCCAGCAGATTACAGGGCTGTTTCACAGGGCTCAGCCACCAAGAGCTCCGTAGCCTGTGCGCTGCCAAGCTTCCATCAATTTGGCAGGCTCAGAATCCTCCTTATTCTGATCAATAGCTTGTATGTTTCGATGTTAGAAGGATTCAAACTAGTGTTTTCGATTTATGATTGGATCCCGTGATATCTGGCTGGTGGGACGGGAATACCGTTGAGCCGGGACCCGGTCATGTTCAGATGGCGCTACTTGGACCTTCGGTAACGGCGATACAGCATTGAGGGCATGTTTTAGTAGTCGACTGCTTCGTTGTCTCCGAATTCTTTGGGGTGAACTATGAGCTGGAGAATTCAACATGATAATCGAGTCGACTTGTTTTGCAACTCAAGTCAGTCGCTCATTGATGCTCATACCTCATCGTCACTGCGTCTCATGGTACACAGCCCCAAGTTTCAGCGGGTCAATGTCGGGACATCATCCTAAAGCAAGATTAAGGCGGAAACAAGCAACGATCGCAAAATGCATCTAATCTAAGAGTTTCATCCTTTTTCCATGCATTGACGATTTACTGAATACAGTAAGCCGTGATGTGACGGCAAAGGCTGATTATCCCTACCAAGATCCTGTCAATGTCCTTAATCATGGTGCACGGCTCGTTTTGCGAATGGCGAGATGAGGATTCGAATCCTTCGCAACACCATGCTTCAAGTTTGCCAAGACACGGTTCTACGCGACCTCTCGAGATATAAGAAGCCTTATAGTTCTACCAGCACAGCGTTCTCTTCAGTTCTATCACAGTTTCTATCTCAGGCTTCCAACTATTGCACTCTTTCACACAAGCCACTTTTACTTCGACTTCCTACATCATGAAATCTAATACTGCTATCCTGGCACTTGCCGCTGTGGCAAGTGCTTCTCCCATGTCCAAGAGACTCGACCCGGCTGCCTGGGACAAGAAGGAAACTCTCTGCAAAGGATGGGACGGGAAAGGCTGGGATACACGAACACCCGAGGGCGTCGACAAGCTCTGGGATGATTCCGGTGCTGGCGGGCAGCTTGATATGTTTATTCTTATGCAATGGGGTATGTCTTCTTCAACTATCGCACACTTACAGACACTGACAACTATAGAACACGAGAACAATTGGCTCAAGAACGTCGAGGACCAGGTCATGGATGGCACCAGCGGTAAATCCGGTGCTGCAGGCTGTGGTGTTCTCGGCGCCCAGTGCAAGCCGATGAACGACATGAGCTGCGAAGACCAATATGACAAGTATGGAGATACCATTATTGGCAAGAACTCTTACTGGATCTTTCAGTCTGCCAAGGGTGTACACGCCAAGTTCAATGAGCTGAAGAGACAGCTCACTGACGAGACGCTGATCAGTGGTCTACGCATTGGACAGATGGTGAAGGACTTTGACGGCAGTGAGGACAATGCTGGTAATGTTCTGACCTGGCTCGCTGCTGCTTCGAGTATGGGTGGGGCCCTCGGTGGACTTGTTCCTGGAGCTGTAAGTTTTATTTGCTTCGTGACGTTGATAAGTACTAACTCTATCAGGGAAACGGCTTGGCTGCGGGCTTCGGTATTCTTGGCGGCATCTTCAGCGGTCTTGCAACTGACAGCAAAGAAGAGATCGACCAGGGTACCATTTCGGCCGCACTCGCCGACGTCTTCGAGGCAGCTACCAAGAAGGTTGAAGACACCCTTCGCATTGTCATGGGTGGCGGTTCCGAAGATGAATACAACTCCCTACCCGCCCCTAAGTGGGATACCTACCAGTCCAAGATCACAAAGTTTTTCAACGGCGGATGGTTCCTCCTCGACGACGACGCTGAAGCCGTCCGGGTTGCCATCTCGTCCATTAGCAACAACATCAAGACCAAGGTCGCTAACGATGTCATGAAGGCTGCTAAGCTCCACCTCGTCGCTGACAAGCGCGATGGCTTCGGAAGCCGCGAGGACTGTGGCTATTCTACTGGTCGCCAGTGGATGACTCTCAAGGATGGAGAGGAGTACTGCTTCTATATCATGCGAAACAACCCTAACAACAACCGTATCAAGGACTGGGTCGAGGTTGAGGAAGTCATTTACGAGAAGATGGCCGACTACGGTCTTGGTGATCGGGAGAAGTACTACCAGGCTGTCCTTGATTGTGCGCTTAGCGATTCCGACGATATTGATGTCGGTCACTTGGCTTGGGGAGAGATTCCTAAGTGTTATTTCAACCTTCCTGCCGTCTTCATCGAGAAGGACAAGAATGTTGGCTGCGGAGATCCATTCTCTGATCCTAACTGCGATTATGTCAAAGCCACCCCGATTGAGTAGGCTCCGACGCAGGTTATAATATGTTTGTACAATTCAATAATTACCTTCTTGAAACATAGTATCAACGTGTAGACCACTTTTCACAAACATCATGAACTGTTCGATAACGTGGAAAGCTGACCAGATAAGATAAGCTTTCGTGATTTGAATGACGTAACCGGGTAGACCAAGAATTCACGAGACCGAAGGTTGGGACGCGTCGCTCCGTGTCATCACCTAATTTTAACCTCGCGATACTATAGAAGCCGTGTCCAAGGTAATATCTACTCAAAGAATTATGGCCTCAACCAGTGTAGAGCACAGAGATTCTGCTCTCGAGCAACAACCACTACTACGTCATGAACGCAAAGCCAGGCTGCCAGCTCTCAACCTTCAGCATTGGCATTCACACCCGTTCAAAGGCGACCAATGGAGTGTCCGGACAGCCAGAGAAGCTACTGCGCAGTTCCTCTCTTCGAGGGCTGGTCATTATTCAGTTCTTACGTTGGTGTCGCTTGATGTTCTGAGCATGATTGCGGGTTAGTCGACCTTTGTAAGGGCGTGGATGATATGCGTTTGCTGAAATACACAGATTTCGTCCTCAATCTGTTCAGATGTGAGCAAGGTAGAAAAGGCTCAGACTGGGATTTAGCCTTGGAGATATTGGGTTCCATCGCCCTCGTGTTTTCGTGCCTGTTCATGCTGGAATTGATCGCCTCTGTATGGGCGTTCGGCTGGAAGTATGTTCATCTCGGTCTGCCCCAACTCAGAAGCTAACGACCCAGATACTTCAACTCATGGTTCCACTGCTTTGACGCATTCATCGTCATCGCAGGCTTCATTACCGACGTCGCACTACGTGGCATCATCGAGGAAGTCGCGTCGTTGATCGTTGTCATGCGGCTATGGAGAGTCATCAAGATCATTGAGGAAATTAGTCTCGGCGCGCAAGAGCAAAATGAGAAGTTGAATGAAATGTTGGAGGATTGTAAGAGGGAGAATGAGATGCTGAAAAAAGAGATCAGTCAATTGAGAGGAGCACAGTCAGACGGGCTTGCATGATGAGTGGCAGGGACTTGCTGCGTAAACGTCAATACTTCTTCCTGCGCGGACCACATTTTCAGTATTATTAAGCGCTATCTGTATACTATCAGCCTAGACCGTGCAATTCTTAGAAACAGAAATATGAATCATTTCACAAGTCGTGCTACGCGGAGAGGCATTCTAAATTTTCCATTTTGGTTTCGTCGGGAAATTCTGCCCGTAGAAGTGGGGTTCTTGAACCGGTAATTCTGTCCGAACGCAGGTCTTTTCTTGAGCAAAACCGTCTGTACGAGAGATGAAAAACCATTTTTTAATCTTCTACTCAATCATTGAAATACCTCCAGTCTTCTAAATTGTTCCATCCTCGCTTTCTCAGAGATACACGAGATGGTTGTCGTCAAGCGCTTTCGGAGTGTATGGGGCGTTGAGTCTGGTGATGGCTTCAAGAACTGGATTTTATGGTTTCCCGATCTTGAGAATCAAGGTTATGGTTTGTTGTTACTTTTACCGATCAGCGATATGATGCTAACTCAGTGAAGCGGGCGTTGAGATTGATATCACGGACCTGGACGCCGAGCGCCTTCGGCAACTACGCCAGATACTGGATGATGCGGGCTTAGAAGTTACAGTCTTGTAGGTTAACGCCGAACCTTCTGTAGACCAAAACTTTGATGTTGCTAGGATTCACACCGCTTGGGCCGGCTACGTAGGCGCGCGACCAAAAGATCTCACGCCTGCTGTCCATCTCGACATCTATCGTCAAAATCTCGAACGAGCGAAGATACTTACACCATTCAAGATTAATGCTCAATCTGGAGGGTAAGTATCACCACTAAATTTAAGTCCCTCACTTACAGTCATAGCGATTACTGGAGCCTGGATGATTCTGTCTACTTCTACCAGAAGACCCTCGATATTGACAAGGACTTGGGTCTAACTGGCCTTGTAAGTCACGAGACTCATCGCAACAGATCTCTCAACTCGCCATATGCCGCCAAGTATATCTTACCTAGAGTCCCAAAGTACGTTTCGTTTCCATTCTGTTGGCCTCTCTCCACTGACATAGTTTGGAAGGCTTCGAGTCACAGCAGATATCTCTCACTGGGTCGTTGTCTGCGAAAGACTTCTAGACCTTGGGGAAGAAGACAAGGAGATCCTGGACCTCTTGATTCCCAGGGTAAGGATTAAGTCCTCGTTGTCATGTTAGCTTGCTCACCCAGACACAGGTAACACATATACATGCACGCATCGGAACTACGCAGTCATCGCAATGTGCCGAACCCGAAAATGATATCTTCAAAGATGAGCGCGAGTTCTTTGAGAGATTTTGGCTTCGAGTTGTCCAGGCTAGAAGCCAGGACAGTGGTGTTATTACGTTTGTACCAGAGTATGGGTGAGTAAAAGTGTTAGATTTGTTCTTCGTGAGTGAGTTGGCTAACAGTTGTAGCCCATACCCTTATCATCCCTACGGGAGCGTTAAGTCGCATGGCGAAGTGGCTGATAGCGAGGGCCGAAGATTGCACCAGCTCTTTGAAAACAGTTTACAGGAATAGATAGTAGCAGTTCCACCTTAAGACCCTAGATCTAGACCTCATTCTTCCTATATACTAATCTCTATGTGCTCAAGGTCCAGGGTGCTATAAAAAAAAAAGAAGAGCATCCATGCTTAAGCAAGCTCTGCCTCAATAACACTTTCCACTGACTGGAGTGGTCTCCAAATCTTTAGGACCTTCAATCCAACACTCTCAACTAACGTCCGCCACTCAATCTCGGTTCTCTCCTTGGCACCAAGGCAAGCCATCATGGTGATATCAGACGTTGTGACACGAGCAAGAGGCTTCACAGTACTGACCAAGCTCTCATGAATAAGAAGCTTGGAATACCCAGGCTCCATGGCATCAGCAAGATGCTTCAGTATCTCCCGAGCTTGCTTGTCTTCCCAGTCGTGCAAGACGTTATGCATAAAGTAAGCACGAGCACCTTTGACAGGTTGAGGTTTGAAGAAGTCATGAGGATGAACAGAGATAGTGTCGGCAATGGTAAGCTCTTTAAGGATGTCAGGCAGGTCTTGCAAGACTAAGCTACCATGGGGGATATCAGGATGGCAAAGGTGGAACTTTGTCAAGTCATGACCCTTGCTGCCACCAACATCAACTACCAATGGCCGATCAGGCTTGGAGTCTGTGACCAGTGTCTCAGTGGGGTATACCTCAACCCATGGGGTAAGGTTATACTTGGAGTGGCTCTCCATAGCATCATTGAACTCTCTCGCAGCAACAGGGTCGGCACCAAGAGACTGGAACAGATTCTCCTGCTTACTCTTCATGAACTGCCAGTTGCAATCGTTAGGGTCAGTGGGGTTCTTGTAGCCAGTTTTCTTAAGATAGAATGGCAGTGTCCTGAACATGGGAGCGTTAACAAAGTCATAGAGACCACCGTAAACGTTGGCCAGGGCTGGATCGGCAACTATGGCGTGCACCCAGGCTGTAGGCCTATAGGTATCCTCAGCCGTCTCGATAACAAGATTCTGGCCAGAGATCTGTCGCATCATACGGCCTAACGTACCATTAGCTCAAACCCTAACATTTGAACAAAAACGAGGCTTACGGATCAGCACTGGGTCAGTGTTTGTCATCTCAGCCAACTCGGCACATGTCTTGTCCTGACCACCAGTCTCAAGCCACTTGCTAAAAACACCAGCATCGATCAAGGTTTTGGCACAAGCATTGGTGGCGGGATTCACCCAGCAGTGCTGCCAGACTGTATCCCAAGGCTTCTGGACTTTGCTTGTAGCCAGGGCAAGGGCGTCGAGAGCACGAACGCGCTCGGCTTCATTGGCGAAGGAGTTTGCGTCAAGGCCTTGGAGGGCCTGGATGAGGTTGTCTGCAGATGCCATACTGGAAAAAAAAAAGGAATTATGTGACAGGGGGGGATATGCAGGACGGGACAGGAAGACGAGTAGGAAATACAGGTTATGGCGGATAATGAGTGATATGTACTGTACGTAGATTAGACCAGATATCTTCTACGACACTAATTAGAACGGAAGACAGGAAGAAGACTTCCGAACCCTTGTAGGACTGTTAACATTTCCTGGTCAATTCCGTCGAGTTGAGTCTGTGCCTCAAACGATCTCCGGCGAAGAAGAGCTAAAAGTTCGCCTCTAACGCGGACAAGGATAGCACTGTAACCCGGCCCTTAGAGCTCCAATTAGCGGGCTTATAGGCGATGCCCCTGCTTAGACCTTCCGAGAAAGCCGCCACATCCGCGCCCGTAGCTTTAGGGATGATTGACGTCAGAACGCTTAGACAGGTACCGAGTATCACCATGTATTGCTGCATTATCACAGACAATTAAGATTATCACACTGCTTTATCTGCTCTGACATGCATAAAGATATCAAGTTAGAGAAAGAGATCTTTGACTCAACTTGTTGGTTCGTAAACTCGTTGCACCACGCTAATCCAGATCCACATCTAAACCAGGTCCTGAATCCTTAGGGAAATTTCACGCAAGCTGCTTCAAAGGATTAAGATCCCTGAAAGATCCCCTAAATCCTGCATTACCAAGAGGAAAATGGCACCACCATCCATGAACCAGCTTCCTAAAATGTTCCTGCTTGCATTTTTACCAGTCAGTCGGTTCAGGAACAAACAGGCTTGGCCCAGCGGCACGGTAAGGTAGAGTTGCATTCTTATTCTTTAGGCTATAGAACTCCATCATTCTGATTCTGGTCCGTATCCGCGTCCAGTCTCGTCTGGTTTTGCATGTGATACGCCAAACTCGACCGTCTTGTGGATTCCAGTGGCGTGTTTCAGGCCCACCACAAGCGGAATGTCGTCGACGCTGGACCCGATCCTGCTTGATCCATGCTCCACGTCGTCACCCTGTTGACCTCGTAGCTTATCCCACCTTCCGCTAGATTGCCCACTGCTGGTGCCTTTCTTGCTATTATCCGTTATACGGCTTGCGTTTGCTGTGGCTATCTTGCCCTTGACTAGCCTGAAGAGAGGGCCCAAGGTTGGTAGGGAAGCACAGATGAGAAGAATGCATCCTTCCCCTAGACCGAGAATGTCGAGGAAGGGAACGGGATCTGACGCGGTTAGCGATTGCTAGTAGATTCGTTATAGCAAAACTCACAAGTTGGGTTCTCGGCAAGTATCACAAAGATCTCGCCAAAGATGGTCAGCTTGTAGATGGACAGAATGCAAGCCATGAAGCTCAATCCCAGCGCAATCGATACCAGAATCCTATTCTTGAGCGGCATGTTGAGCTTCATAATGAAGGGAATCGGATACAGGGCGAAGAACCCATCGAGGAATGCAGAATAAGCCGACGTAAAGTATCCCAAGTCAGACATGACCTGTACAGAAGCGCAACTCCCACCCTCAATGCTTCTGTCCCAGCCAAATTCCACGGGGTCACACTGTTTGTACCACCAGACCGACGTAGCCAAGATACAAGCTTGTGAACTGAGTGCCAGGCCCCAGAAGAGTGTCGTCGTCTTTAATCCGTAGTCGAGAATGCGCTTCAGCGTCGCGATGATGGCGAACTTGGGTAATGAGAAGGTCCATATCAGAACAGAGCTGATGATGACGTTCCACTTCAGTGCGCCGGGGATGAGAGCGACGTCGATGTCTTCTAGCTTTCGACCGAGACCGTAATGCGTGCCTATTGTGATCATGACGCATGTAATGAGCATGACAACAATACAAAACGCTGTTATGAAGTCATCCCATCCAAGACCACCACCCATATTGCCTTGCCCGAAGAACTGGCGGGTGATGAGTCGGAGCACGACCACCACTACACAGGTTAGCGGCCGTTACAGGTAAGTCGAGGGGTTGTCAGAGCGTACCTGTCGTTATAGCAAACATAGACCAACATGCCTTGTCGGCGATGACGCCGAAGTCATCAACATCCCACAAACCCATTTTGCGTGTTTCAAAGTTTTAGTAAACATACAGAACCAACGACCCAGAGCACCGGGACGGGCTGCATATATACACCGATCAACAAACAGCAGAGAATCCTGGGGGAGGAGTAAGGATCTGCAAAGGGTTGTTCGTTGAGACGGGCCGCATGGAACCCGGTTCCTGGTGTCTCATGCTGTTACGCCATGGGCTGAAGAATTTCTTGGTGTGCAACTCCACTTCGTTCGAATCCTTTCAGACTTCAGTTGGGAATCCTACTGATGGTTCGCGAGCCCTATGAAAAGGTTTGGGATTGGCATCCTCCATCGCATCTTCAACTGAAACATGCTCTAGTTCGTTAACTATCTATCTGACCATGGCCGTTCTAAAAGTGAGCAGAGACGGGCCATGAAAACGGGCTGATACGCACATCACCTTTTGAAAGGTCACAAGATATCCAAGCATGTGCGATCGGTGCTGCACCGGAACATGAACACACCAGAGCCTAGCCAAACACGACAATGCATGACTGCAAATGTCTCAGGATGGAAGGTCGAGCAGCAGGGTACTGGTATCGGCTTAACAGGTTCATTTAAGAGACAGAAAAGCAAAGGATCATGCAGTCAAGCCGCAGAGTCGCTCCCTCGGCCGTCAACCTGGGCAACAATTAATTGCGAGACATTACCATCTCGTTTGCTAGCGTATAAAAATCCAAGTCGACAGCGGCACAGCGTAGATGTAATCATATCATGCAGAGTCCCAGTATGCCAAGATGAACTAAAGCTTCAACCCTGGTCTTTCCGACAGCGGATGTCTTATTTCCGCCACGATGGAATGGTTTGTTGGTCGTTAGTTGACGGGACGGGCGGTTGAGCTAACAGCCTAGACTAACGACCGCGCGAGAGTGAAGATGAGCAAGTTAAATGTTTGCAATTGGCCAATGAAGTTTCTTGACGCTGGAGCGGATATCGATTGCTCGTCTTCTGGAGTGAAAGAAAACATTGCGGGTGGAAAAGTCCTTCAGACGAGGTTGGTCTCATGACGTTGACAACATCGACCAGCAGTGCTAGTTAGTAAAAATAGCTTGTCTTGTGCATTCTACACGGGGCAGAGAGTCAAAAAATAAATAGATGCCAAGCTGGCAAAAACAAACTCCCCCGGGAAGGCTCGAACTTCCGATCTCCCGATTGCCTATTAATAACAGTCGGACGCTTTAGCCAACTAAGCCACAGGGGAATGGTGTTGGTTGTTAGTGCGTTTCCAAAAGATAGTTTATGATCTGCCGCCGCTCAACTTGTTGACGTAACGCATGCCCATGGTTATATTGTGCAATATCAAAACAAATCCTACTATTTCCTGGATATGCGACAATTCTATCAACCCATATAATGATTCGCAGCAATAGCACCAACACAAACTGGTGCAAACACCCAGTGCATCCACTCCCCATGTCCAATAACCGATTTAGCCACAATACCATCTGTCAGACACATGGCCAGTGCTCCGATGTAAGCAAGATTGATCATCCCCGGATCTTTGGTCAAGCTGAGCCTGCTAAAGAGAATGGTGACGACGACATTTCTGATGCCATAGATTCGCGCAAGACCTCGCGTGAGCTTCCGCGCTTGAGGCTCAGAAGGGATGGTGAAATCCATTTGTTGCAGTGTAGCTTCGGGGCGGATGAGGAGGTTGAGACCGATAAGACCGGGGAAAAGGGCCATAGCCTGGTTGCTGCGGTAAAGGAGGTTGTCATACATTTTGGTGATGACTTAAGGATGTTGATCTCAGTTGTGATTTGCGTTGTATTGATTATGGCATAAACAAAACAGAAGCTTGTTGAATGGGGGAAGTTAAAAGTCTGACTCAGGGCAACATTTAACAAACCAGACATAGGTCCAGTTATATACCTACTCTATCACGGGGTCCTACTAATTTTCATGATCCTTCCATCCTTCACAGTCGTGGCTCTCGGACTTTGTCAGATCGCTTAACTCCAGCTGCCATGATTGGCCTACTCGCTCTTTTAAGCGCCACAATAATAAGCAAAGATGGGACGGCCATGCCTGATGAGGAGTTAACTTGATTGAGCCACAAAGCCAAGACCCAAGGATAATAAGCCTGCTATCAAATGAGATTGGTACAGGTTCTGGAGCCGCGCTGTTCGTGATAACCAGTGGACCGCTTAAAGTATATAGGGCCACACAATTATCGTATCCAATTATTATATTTCCAATTAATTAAAGCAATATTCTATCCCTAGCATCTATCTATCTATCTATGCGTATCCAATGCTGTTCAATTTAAGCTCTCTTAACACCACTTCCTCTCGGCACCCTAAACATCCAATACAACCCCAGCGCTCCAAGGATATTCACAATAACATAAACCCAAAGCAAACCGAAGTGCCACCAACGATCAGCATAGTCAATGTTAAACCTGGCCAGAAACTGCTCCGTAGATGCAAGCGAACAATATTCACAAACATCAGTTGAAGAACGATCCACAAGGTATCCACCAGCTGCGTCGACGAAAGGACCCATGAAATCATTACAGGTCAAGTTCATGCCGCTAGGGACTTGCATCTGGAGGATCTCATTATTGGCGCATACAACTCCGGAGCCGTAGACTGCGACGGACATTATGCCACCGACTATGTATGTTGCCGGGGAGACGTAGTACATGAAGGTCCAGAAGGTGGGAATGTCGTTATAAGTCACGCCGACGCTGTGAATAGTTAGTGAATGAAGGCAGAATGGGACAAGTACGAAGAGACTCACCCGCAGAAGGCGATGCATAGCATCCAAAGTAAAGTCGCAAGAACACCGGCCTCTTCACCGGTACCGATACATACGATAGCGAAATGTGAAAAGGTACTTGTGAAGAGCATGAACATCCACAAGAACAGAAACACGAGGAAGCCTCGGATCTGTTGATCATCGGACGTGGTATTCTGTACGAAGCCAACAGGATAGTACCAGCAGAAGTAGATGATGACGGACATGAAGGTGTTCCAGGCTGCTTCCACCAAGATGTTGGACAGGATATAAGCTGTATGTAATTAGCCAAGTGCTTCAGGAGACTTGTGCGAACGACTTACTGTTCCAGCGGTAGATTTTGGACGGCCTCTCGCGAACCTCATACAGAGATCGCTGCGGAACAAACATAGGCATGATCTGATTGCTGATACTCTGGAAAAGAACCATGTACATGAAAATAGCATAAAGCTGATTCTGTAAACCCTGGATGGTGTTTTTGGCATCGAACGTGAAACCGATGTAGAGGGACTATCGGCCGTTAGTTATTGCACATTCTCTAAAAGTTTGTAAAACATACCGATAGAACAATCAAGATTATCTTGGACCAGATATAATTGGGAGAACGCCAGAAATGCTTCCAAACACGTTTCAGAACCTCACGGAACTGCGTCCAGAATGAAGCTACGAACTCCTGATGCTGCGATGCATCTGCGTTGTCGAAGGCGCTGGTACCTGTAATCTGTGTAGATGGGAGAGAGTTAAGTCGCTGAAGCTCCTTCTTGACGTCTTGGAATTCGGGGGAGCTTCTCCAAATTCGGTGCCAGTCGATGTTCTCGACGTCCTCATCGTGGGAAGGTTGGATGATGTTGAGCATGTACTCCGCAGGGTTTGCGTCAGAGGGACAGGGGAGAGCGCCGTTGCGCTCAAAGTAGTTGAGAAGAGTCTTTGACTGCTCGCCGAGATCTAGAAACTGTCAGCTGTGGCTTTTCACATATGGTTGGGATATACTTACCACCAAAATACACCGTCTTTCCGCCAGGCGCAAGCAACAGCAGTCGATCAAAACGCTGGAATAGCATAGCAGAAGGCTGATGGATCGTGCACAACACAGCCTGACCACTAGCTGTAAGCTTCTCAATCAGATCACAAATTGCCCATGAAGTCTGCGAGTCAAGTCCTGAAGTCGGCTCATCCAAAAACACCAGCAATTGCGGTCTGGCAGCGAGTTCCACGCCAATCGTCAATCGCTTCCTCTGCTCAACGTTCAAGCCCTCACCAGGAACTCCGATGACTGCATCTGAGAATTCTTGCATATCTAACATGTCTATGACGTGCTCTACATAGGCGAGCTTTTCTTTGCGAGGAATTTCGGAGGATTGGCGGAGGAGGGCGCTAAATTCGAGGGCTTCGCGGACGGTTTGGGTGTTGAGGTGGAGGTCTTGCTGTTGGACGTAGCCGACGCGGTGTTGGAATGAGGCGTCGGTGGATTGACCGTCAATGTGGGTGTTGCCGCTAACGATACCCATTGTTACGCGTGTAGCGAGAACGTCGAGGAGCGTTGTTTTGCCGGCACCGGATACACCCTGAACAGTCAGTATTGTATCATCCATAGATCGACTTCGCGACAAGACTTACCATTAAAGCAGTGGATAGACCGGGCTTGACCCAACCGTCAACCTTGTCCAACAGACGTCGGTCTTTACCTTTGATTTGAATATCATAGCAGAGATCTTCCCAGTGAAACACAGATGCACCAGCAGTGAGTCCACTAGTAGCGTTATCGGTACCCTTCTCAGCAACGACAGGTCGTTCAGTAGCTTGAGCTTCAACATCCGTGCCATCCTTCTTCTCAAAGTTGGGAGGCATACGTCCCTTGCGGAAGACGAGAATCTCGCCCTTGCTCCGGGGAGGCTTTGCGTGCTCAGCTGCGAAGATGTAGAAGACCAAGAAGCCAGCTATGAATCCGAGAAGAATACCAATGTTTCTATACCAATTAGTCAAGCTTTTTACAAGGCTCGGAGGGAGTACTTACCGCCACTTGTGAGCGTTGTAGTATTTGTATGACTCGTTAATGTACCTATCGCCATCGACTCTGGACGTTCCAGGCAGTGCACCAACAACAGAGCAGATAGTCGAATTAGCCGGCAGATTATCATATCCAGGACCTTGAGGAACCATGGTAGCACAGTCAAACTCCCGACTATGAAATTCATTCGCCATCAACGCCTCAAAAGCATAGGCAAGGGGATTGATGTAGTTCATCCATCGGGACCATCCAAGCATGTAATCCGTAGGCATGGTAAAGCCAGTATAGATCATCAGCCCCAGACTGAGAATTGAGACAGGAACCATGGCTTGGTGAATCGTGCGCGTCACGCAGGCGAGAGTGCGGTAGATACATGACATGACCAGCGTTGTGAGATAAGAGGTGAGACAGAAGAAGAAGAAACTGCCTGGCTCACGCCGGAGGTTCGCCATGAAGTACATGATTAGGTTGAAGATGATCATGTTCACGGTCTTGTAAGGAAGATCGATGATGTAACTGGCGATGGCCTGAGCGGATTGGTGGTAGAAGGCATAGCGATTGTGCTTCTCGACAACAGGCCGTTCAGCGTAGACAGTAAGGACCTATCATGTCAGCACAAGGACATAACAGATTAAAGATAAGACATACCTCAAGTTGACTGGCAAAGGCATTGAACAGTAAAGCAAAGAAGATTAAACCACCACGGTAATAAAAGCTTGACGAATCATCGGGAAGGTTGAAGAACATACTCCCCAAGACCAGCGCCATGATCAGATTGAACACCAAAGAGGCGATCGTAAAGCCAGGGTCGGCAAGTAACCGTCGCCATCCTCGCCAAAGTGTAAGCTTCACCTGGGCAAGGTACGATATCGTGTACGGCGACTTGCTGCGCTGGCCCTTGAACTGCTCTGCTCGGCGAGACTCCTTGTACTCGGCCAAGCGTTCAGCACGGGGATGGTTTTGCTCGTAGGTTTCCAATTCAAGGCCGAGTGCCTTGTGATGGGAGCTTGCTTGCCAGCGCTCGGCGAAGTCGGAGGGAGTTCGGGGAGCGATGTGTTCGAAGCCGGGCTTTACGCGTCGCTCTTGGGGACTGGTCATGGAGGTGAGAAAATCAGGTGTTGTTTGACGATCAGGGCCTTGGCTGGGTCAGCTTCCACTCTGTCATATCCAATTATTCCACTTACACTCAAAGCCTAAGTTCTCGAAGTAAGCCTTGGCTTCGTGAATCCGACCAAAGAAGATTTGCTTTCCTTCATACAACACTGTCACCCGATCGAATAGCTATATCGCGTTAGCTTCTCCGTCTCTGCATAGCATGTCTCACATCATGGTGAGACCCAGTCAAAACTCGGTGCTTACCTCGTAAGCTGACTGCGGCGCCTGATAAATTGCCACCGCAGCAGCAACCCCCACAAGATCAGCCTGAAGGCGCAAGTTCCGGCAAAAGTTGATTGCATTTCCGCTATCCAGGCCACGTGTGGTGTTATCCCAGCATTGAAGCTTAGCTCCGGTCAGGGCTGCTTCTGCGATACTGACGCGCTTTCGCTCACCACCACTCACGCCGCGGACGAAATCGTCTCCTACGCGAGTATCGACGGTGTGGGAGATGCCAAAAATGGACATCATGACGTCTCGCATCATGGTATCTGCTTGAGAACGGGTGACGCCGCCGGGGACATGACGAAGAGAATGGGCGCTTGAGGCGAAAGAGAGGGTTTCGCCAACTGTCAAGTGCGCGAGATGGCAGTCGATCTCGGCGTTGTAGAGAACATCGCCTCTGAAGGAGGAGCGCATGTGGTTTTCGTCAATACCTGGCTGTGTGAGTAAACTTCCGTGAGGTGAAGGAGCAGTTTACCTCTGAAATTCATGTAAGAATCCGATCCGACTTCAAGACCGGCTGTCTCTCCCGCAATAGTTTTGAGGAGCGTCGAGCAACCTGATCCAGGGGGGCCAAGCACGAGTAGCAGCTCTCCCTGCTCGATGACACCCTCAAAATTGCGAAGAATGTCGACCTTCTTTTTCTTCCTTCCACTCAGAAGACCTGAAACATATGAGATAGCATCCACAGGATAGTCCACAAAGGTCTTTTGATGCGAGGCTCCAGTGCCCCAACCGTAAACATTCAAATTTCTGAACGCAACACCCAGACTTCGCGTTGGCGCTGAGCCTTCTTCTGACTCGACGAGTTTGACGAATGCCTTTACCCATGATCGTGGATCGAAGTTTGTTGAGTTGGGGTCTAGTTTCGAACCGGGTTGTGGTGAGAAGGCCTGTAATTCTGCTCCAGCTGTTGTTGATACCCTTGAAAGTTGTCGCGCAAGTTCTCCGATCTCTTGGTTGATGTTTTTCGTGGATTTTGCGTGAGTTTCGTTATCGTGTTCGTCTTTGATACTGTTGGCAGTTGAGGCTGAACCCAGGTCGGGCGATAAGGCCCTGCTCGTGGCAGCTGTGGTGGCAGCGGTCATCTTGGCCAGTTCCCACTAAACCGATTAGGGAAGATTTGAATGGCACTTGAAATCGAATACCACCGTTCAAAATTCAGTTTATATATAATTTGACTTCTACCGTTACCTCATGGCGTCTGCGGACTTTGGAAACAATGATAGGTGGTGGGATTAGAGTTGAACAGGAGGCGGACTTTGTCACATAATCCGGGGCAATAGATTGTAGATAAAACTCCATCGGAAATCCGCGGAGGACATCAGTCCATCCGACTTTTGATACATTTTTTTCTGTCGTCTCTGAATGTAACCGGAGCCGGGGTTTATCATTGGGCAAGAATAGGGACCCGCGGGGGACCGACCCAAAGTTGGGTGAGATTTCGTCTGACAGTCTCGCTTATGAAGAGCTCCCCCGTTTGGGAATCGTCTTTGCAGGGGTTCGGAGCTTTTTAGGCCCAACGGTTTTTACCTTTTCCTTCTGTTACTGGCTAAAAAAGTCTTGTGCCAATCTTTATCCGGTTAATTCGACCCCAATGTCGCTACGGTTTACTTACTGTCTTGATCTTATCTCGCCTGCATCGCCAATCTCAATAAACCAATGCAATGCCACGTTCTCCTGCACCTTCACCGTTTCGCTGCTACAACACCGGCGACGCCGTAAGGGCCAGACATTAAAACATTTGCACTATTGACAGTCACTGCAATTTTTGGTTACAGAGGTACGTGTTTGTCTTTGTCCTTGTCTTTGTTGACGCTCTTCTCAGCTGCCAAGGTGTTCTGGACCTCCGTGACATTGATGGCATCCATGTCAGCCACACTTTGCGATGTTTGGACAGTAAACGGTTTTTTGGGCGGGAAAACGGTTAATGAATTGGTCCGATCGGAGCATGTCGGAGTATTGTTGCGCCGTTCGATTTGGATGTGCGATAATGATAGATAACGATAAGGTTACGATAATCCACAACCACTAACGTTACCCTAGATCAGGGAGTGAAGATTATTAAAGTGATGGGCGTTGGAGAATGTCAGCAGAAGTAGACTCTAGGTACACGATAGCCAGTAGAGAATTAAGCTGAAGTTATATGTACATCAATGGTAAATTGAAAACAGATTGCTGTGTAGAGTAACAAATCGATTACAATGTCCGACCTTATCAACCTCTACCGTAGATTTCCTCGTATGGTTGTTGAAATGACATCAAGCCATATTGATGAAACCGTTTCACCTTGCATCAAGCCTTTGCTAAAATCAGATATGGTTACGACACCAGGCTATCCAACCAGATTTTTCTCCTCTCTTTACATTCTTTACCATTATATGTAGCTGATTTACTTCAACCGCTAACAATTCGTGGATGCTATTGGTCAGACCGAGTACCCTTGTATCCACTGGCATCACTCTAGGTTGTCTTCTACTGTCATCTATCACTCGACTACATGAGGTATTTTTGCTATGACAGTCCAACCAGCAGCAGTGATCTAGGACAATAAGAAGCCATGGTGGGTGATTTACAGTCAACCGCAGCACTGATACCTGGCTGCACTGTATGTGCGTTCCCTAACTGGAACAGAAAAATGAAGGCAATGAAACCTGATGAATTCGGCTGTGGCGAGCGAGCAATCGAGAAGTATGAGGCTCTTCAAAGGTCAATGCAATCGGGCTGCCCTGGGTGCATCCTCCTTCACGAGACGTGGGCCTATTGCATTCCTGACGAGCTATCCCGGTCTAAGGCATGGCTTTCTTTCAATGTTGATACATCCAAAATGTTTTTCCATCTTTTCGACGACGGCGTGCATGGTATAGATATTTTCACACTTCCAGGTGCGTCTGACCTTCTATACGACCGTTATCATCTCTTACAATTTCAGGCCGACCTCGTTTCAAGCACATCTCTTGCTCTTCCTTGATCCCCTCCAGTACACGACTAGAAGATAATTTGTCTCGCGTTCAACGTTGGATAGAAGCATGTGATAAGTCGCACGGAAAGTGTTCTGAAGCGACAGCATTCACTCCGTTACGCTTATTGGACCTGCAGCCAGGTAGCGAAGCATGTGTGCGGCTTGTGTCTGTTGCCCATGTTCAGTACGCATGCCTAAGCCACTGCTGGGGTAGCACCCGATCAAAGCATTTAACAAGACGGAGTAATTTACAGGATAATGAGAGAGGAATACCTTTGCCTGAGCTGACACAGACATTCCAAGATGCCGTTGAAATTACCAAAGCCCTTGGAATTCGCTATCTTTGGATCGACACTTTCTGCATTATCCAGGACGACGAAAAGGACTGGGAAACGCAAGCCTCGCTCATGGCGGCAACTTACGAGAATGCCTACATAACACTAGCAGCAGGAGCAAGTGATGATGACGACGGAGGATTCTTTGCAGAGGCCCATGACAAGCACGCGAAACCTTACAAGTTCCATCTGAATGTTGATGGCATCAGCCATGAAATCTACATGCGATACGCTGTTTCGCATTCAAGTACCGGATGGCCGGGGGGAGACGCATTCCCGTTGATGACTCGTGCTTGGACTTTACAAGAACGACACCTAGCAAGGAGGTACTTGTGCTTTGGACCGAACGAGATATTCTGGGAATGCCAGGAAGATGTCGCTTGTAGTTGCACCATGGCAGAAGGCCCCTTCAATCCCCGTGGTCCGACCGAGGATTTACCAAAGTTGCCTGAGTGCGAGCCGTTCAAGTATCAGTGCTCACGATTGAACGACTTATCTTCAAATGAAATCGCAACTTTGTGGCGAAGGCTAGCGACGGATTACTCTACACGAAACCTAACGAAGCCAACTGATAAGCTACCTGCTCTTGCAGGATTAGCAAACAAGTTCCAGGTACCAAATCAGAAATGCCAATATTTGCAAGAAGCTGTGGTACTAACTAGTTCAGAGGGCAATAGGCTCGTCCTATTTGGCTGGGCTTTGGCTTAAGAGTCTAAGGGAGGACTTGGCTTGGCATGCTTATGGCGATCAAGAGTCCCTCGGTCGCGTGCGAAAAGGCCCGTCCTGGACGTGGACAGCAGCTGGAGATTTCCGAATTGAGTGGTCGCCACTTAAGTTGCACTCAACCTTCCAAGTGGAAGCCACCTCTTTCCATGGAGACATTCAAAGATTCAACCTAGATACAGATGTCGAGAGCCGCTATCTACGTATCTCTGGGAAATTGCTGCCTGTTTCCATCCGAACCTATACTGAACTTGGAGACTTTGAGCAGGCTTATCCGCTGGCGAGGAATTGTCAGGTAGTTGAATGGGGGCGGCGTCACTCCCAGCACAGCCAACTACTACTGCAGCGGAATGGATGTCTTGTTGGCCCTGCCGAACGCGATCCAAAAGACAGGTCCAAGGAGGTGGGGGATAATCGCAGTTGCGACATATATGGGACGTTCTTTGCCGACTACCGTTTCTGGGAAACAGATACAGAGTTACGAGAGGCATTGCAGTACACATACTTCCTCTTACTGGGCATTGAGCCAGATATCGATCCAGGCGATCCTTTTTGGATTGCTGGCATGGTGTTGAAGCCACGCCCAGGCCCGTGGGCTGAGCCGGAGGACTGGTATGAGCGAGTTGGCTGGCTTCGCTACTGTTCTCTGAAGTCAACAAAAGAGACAGGGTGGGTGCCTCAAGGTACGGCGTTGACATTGAAGCTCGTTTGACACGGCGAAAGTTAGCCTTTGCTTTGGACTAGAGTTCGCTATGCGGATAATAAAGGACTCTCGCCCACCCTCTGGACAATCCGGCATCTACCCCAACAGCTATTTCGCTCTTAACATGCATCTCGACCTTTTTGTATGTGAAACTATTGAAACCAACACCGCGAACTATTGAAGTCTGAACCGAGACCATACTAGAACGAGACTTCAGCTGAAGAAGGGACCAATTGGAGCTGGGTCTCAAGTGGACCCAGAAGTTCTAGGTCCCGTCAACGGCTCGTACCGTAGATTCAGCTAGCATCAACCCCTACAATATTGGCTTCGGGGCGGATTATAGCGCGTAGACTGGCTTCTCCTCACCGGCAGCCATGGATACTTTCTTGCCGAAAGTCGGTGTTGAGGAAAACTATATATACGACAGACTAGACTCGCATTTTGCCATCCTCATTCATTCTGATTCTTCATCTCTTCGACGGAAATATGACTCAGACACGCACTTACGATAAGGACTTTATCTCCCGTCCTACACAGGCCTCGAAGCCCAAAAGGATCATCATCTGTTGTGATGGAACCTGGCAGTCTTCCACCACAATTGACCCCAAGAAGGGCTGCCCCTCCAACGTCACTCGTATCAGCCGTGTTCTTGCAAAAGCTGGCCTCGATCGCGAAGGCAATGAGAGGCAGCAGTTGGTATACTACGACGCTGGCGTAGGCACAGGTGATATCACCAAGGTTGAGGCTAACCGACAAGGTAATACATATTACTTGCAACTACACTAGGCAAATACTAATTGCAACAGGCTCGCAGGGTCTCGGTCTCCTCGAGAATGTACTTGAAGCCTACAACTTTATCGTCTCCAACTACAACCCTGGCGACGAGCTGTACTTCTTCGGCTTCTCACGCGGTGCCTTCACTGTTCGCTCAACAGCTGGTTTGGTACAAGAAGTCGGTATCGTCAAGTCGCATTTGATGGCCCACTTTCTTGAACATTACGGCAACTTCATCCGGGGAGAAGACTTTAGCAAGCCGTTTTCTCAAACTGAGCATTGGACCAAGTTTCTAGGCCACAGTCCCGCGGCAGTAGCTTGTCCTGGCAAAGACACTGTGATCCAAGTGATTGGTGTTTGGGACACTGTCGGCGCTCTTGGAATCCCTGATATGGGCCACTGGGTCACCATTGATAACTCCCGGTTTCGCAAAGCGTACCAATTCCACGACACAGACCTAAGTGCTAGTAAGTAACCAGGAGACCCTGCCCTTCAACATCAGCTGACGGGATGTTGCAGATGTAAAGCATGCATACCATGCTCTGGCCCTAGATGAACAGCGTGGTCCCTTTTCTCCCTGCTTATGGTGCGTCAAGCCAGACAACAAGACCACAAAGCTTGTTCAGTGCTGGTTTCCCGGCGCCCATATCAACGTCGGAGGAGGTAGTTCTGACAACGCTCTCACGGACGAGGAGAAGAAGGAAAAGAAGCAGCCTAAGGGAGACAATGAAAGGCTCTCAAGTGTTGCATATGCTTGGATGCTCGACCGTGTCCGCCCACATCTGGCTCTGGATGAAGAAGCTCTCCAAATGCAACTGGCGGATATCGACGGTGTCATTCAAAGCCCCGGCGATCCCAACATGAAGGCCTGGGAGAAGCAGGACTGGCTTATTGGCAAGATCGACGACAGCTATACTGCTGAGTACAAGGCCATGGGCAGTGCTGTAATTCGCACACCGATGGACTACTACAAGCGCGAAGAAGGCTACACTGTTGAGCGTGTCCATCCGTCAGTTTTCTTCAGACAACAATACCATGAGAACCTAAACAAGACGCTCAAAAAGAAGGTTGAGGTGTATGAGCCTCTGGCTATGCAGGGCTGGAAGCGCGAGTATGAGTCTGATGGATTAGGAAAGGACATGAAGCCACGAAAGGGCTGGACGTGGACCAAGTATAAGAAGGGCACTGTTACACCTGAGAACAAGAAGACGATGATCGAGAAGAGGATGTGGGAGTTTGAGATTGGTAATCTGCCAGATGAGACGAGTGTCGAGAGGTGGTTGATCAAAAAGTCATGGAATGTTGAGTCTTATTTCAAGGCAATTGAGGAGGGGTGGTAGCGAAAGAATGTATTGTTACATTCATCACCAAATCCAGAAAGTCTATATTAGCCTAAGCCTCATCATCATCCATGACTCTTTCATCACCACAAGAAGCAATTGATGTGTTGCCTTGTATAGTCGTGAAGGATTCTCTCTTAAGTAAAGTTAAATAGCACTTGTCCCATGACGAAACCGACATGACGAGCTACATGTTCTAGAGCCTGCCTATCTTAACTGGCACATAGCGGGACAAATCAGAGGAGACCATTCAATGGGGACTGTCCTATTACCTCCCGGGAGGAGAGTTGGATTGTGGGGCTTTCTGCACGATAAGCGTTTAGATAAGATAAACCCTGTAGGGCTGGATCTAAAAATGGAGCCTAAGGGGAAGCAAGATGTCACGATGGAGGCTAATAAATAGGTACCGTTGGCCCCCAAGTTTATTCTCTCATTATGAAGTCATTATCAAATCTCTCTGTCTAATACTAAGAGCTCAAGCTATCATGGATTCTCAGCAAGGGCTGCCTGGAAAGGGAGCTGCCTACCCCAAGCAATACCGTCGAAACTATCCACGTTCCAGGGACGGATGTCTTACTTGCCGTGCCAAACGCAAGAAATGTGACAAGGCAAAGCCTTGTTGCAATGCCTGTGTTCGATCTATGCAGGCATGCGTTTGGCCTGACGATGATAAGAAGGAGACGAAAACTGGTTCAAATCCGAGTCCTACTGTCCCTTCATCTGAACAGACAGGCAAGGAAGTCAAGAAACCCGAGGCAAAGGAAATCGAGTCCGATCCTGCAATCGTAGATCTCAACTTTGCCATGGTATCACTGGTATGCTATCCATCTTATACTATGCAGCTCCAGCCCTAAGGTTGATGATTTATCATGCAGTCAACTTCTTCAGATACACAAATCTTTCGAAGATTTCTCTTCGACTGGAGTACCCCGGCAGATTCCACTCCAGTATATAACTTGGCATGGTTTGCCCATCTCCCCAACATCTACGCAAAAGCCAGCGTGGACAGTCTTGTGCACAGATCTTTCAAGGCTTTGGCCAACGCAAGTTACGGGCAGCGGTTCAACTCATCCGAAGCACTAAACAACGCCAATGAATGGTATGGAAAAGCGATACAAATGTTGAAAGCACAAGTTCTTTCGATCAAAGATTCTTCTTCATATTGCGATGTCATGTCTGCAATTGTCTTGTTGGGAATTTATGAGGCAAGTACAACTATTTGCTGGAGAGAATGCTTGCTGACTAGGTACAGAGTTTGATGATGGAATCCATGGCGCTGGAAGGTTCCTGGGCATCGCATACTAGTGGTAGTGCTGCACTACTAAGTATACGTGGACAAGACAAAATTATGAAATCTCCAGCAGAGTTTGAAGTTTCGGCAATCTGCTTTTCACAAATAGTATGGCTATGAAGGATTCAATATTAAGAGAGTGAAGCTGATTTTGTGGCAGATGTATAACAGCTTTTTGACGGGCGAAGCTCCTACTGTCTCATGGTCATCCGTCAACGAGTTGGGTTTGCCTAGCTTGCCGTACTTCTATGCACATACGGAACACATGTACCAAGCTGCATGTCTCTTTGCAGAATGGAGAACAATATTGCTTGAACGTGATTCCGATGATGGTTTTCAGCATTTGTCTAATATCGTTAACCGCGCTTTGGCACTGGACAAGCGATATGAAGAGTGGGCACGTAGTCTCCCCTCGACGTCAGCATATACGACCCAACCACTATCAACGGAATCTCAACCCGAATGGCTACAACCTCTACTTGATGGCCTATGGAAACCTCTCAACTCACATACATACCCTTCAATTATGATACAGGTGCTTTGGCGATTCTACTGGCTGGTTCGTGCCATCCTGAACCAAGCACTCTTGTTCACGAATAATATCTTCGAGGAACGTCAAGCAAACGTGAACCCAATCTTCCCTCACCGGGCCAACATCGAGACCAATATTTTGTCTTTCATCGATCTTTCATGCGAGTCTTGCCTATCAACTTTAGTTAATATTACTAAGCGGATCCCAGAGCATGTGGGAGCGGAGGCTGTCCCAAGTCTCTGGGGATATCTTATCCTTCAGGTTTTACCTACTATCGGTCTATGTCTCGAGCAAGTTGTTCTTCCAGACATTGACCTCTCGGGGAGACGAGAATGGGCTGCCAAACTGAGACACTTTCTAAGAGTCAATTTTGGTATTGCAAAGGGTGCTACTGCAATACCCCCTTCTCATGTTGGGAAAGTTCCCATTCAAACTTGGGGTCTCCCCCAGAAACTTCCCAATTGCCCCAAACAGACTAGGAATACCTTTTAAATAAAGACCAAACGTCCGCGAAGGTTTGCTTTCGAAGCTAGCCATCAATGAACAGGTTCATCTCCAATATCCGCCATCTTATCCTCCAACATCTTCGTCATTTTACGCACGACATCAGCGTATTTGGCCTCATGATAACAATTGAAGAGTTCCAAAGGATCTTCTTTGCAGTCAAACAACTCCCACTCTTTATCCTGTCCACCCTCTCTGGTACCCTCGATACCAAATCCTTCATTGTACCAGTAAATTAGCTTGTACCGCTGATCACGAACGCCATAGTGCGCATAAGTTTCATGGATGATATCGCGATGCATCCAGTACCGATGATATGCAACTTGTTGCCAGTCCTCGGGCGTTTTGCCGTTAAGGAGGGGACGGAACGAAACTCCTTGCATATATGTCGGGGTTCGAGCATTCGCAAAGTCTAAGAACGTAGGTGCGAAATCCACGTTACAAATGATGTCCTTGCAAACAGACTGAGCCTTGATCTCTTTCGGGTAGCGGATCATAAAAGGCATCTGGAAACTCTCCTCGTACATGAAGCGCTTGTCAAACCAGCCATGTTCACCAAGGAAGAAGCCTTGGTCAGAAGTGTAGATGACGATGGTGTCTTCTGCAAGACCCTCTTTGTCGAGCCAGTCTAGCATGCGGCCTGTATTGTCATCGATGCTTTGGATAGTTCGTAGATAGCGCTGCATATAGCGTTGGAACTTCCACTCGGCGAGCTCTTGGTGGGTCTTGAAGGTGAACACCTCCGCTGTTTCTTTGCAGATCAGTCTCAAAGCTGTGACGTCTTCTGGCACAGGGATTTTGCGATCGGTTGACGTCTCGTTGTCATGTAGCTTGACTCCGATCATGCTACTGGGGCCTTCGGGCTGAACAACTCCGAGGTCCGTGTAGGTCAAATCTTCCGCGACTCTCATCTTGGCCACCTTTGCGGCATTGGCACGATTCTTGTAATCGTCGCTGAACGTACCGGGGAGACGGATGGGATCTTTGTAGAGATCTTTATGCTTGTGATCATATTCCCATGATCGATGAGGTGCTTTGTGATGGCACATGAGGAAGAAAGGTCGAGACTTGTCTCGTTTCTCCAACCAGTCGATTGACTTGTCTGTAATAATGTCCGTTGCATAGCCAGGGACTCGAGTAGTACCATCCGGTTCAATGAACCGAGGATCCCAATACTCTCCTTGTCCAGGAACGATGCTCCAGTAGTCAAAGCCAGTAGGTTCGTGTTCTTTTCCCTCACCTAAGTGCCACTTGCCGATCATGGCGGTTTGATACCTAGCTGGACTTGACCTCAGCTGCTTGGCGACATTTGGCAATCCTTTGTTGATCTTGGAGTCTAGGGTTAATACTCCATTGACGTGATTGTGAGTGCCGCATAGAATGGCGGCACGGGAGGGTGTGCAGATGCTGTTGGTGACATAGCAGTGGCCAAAGCGCATACCTGCATTGGCAATGCGGTCTAGGTTGGGGGTTTTGTTGATGCCAGCACCGTAGCAGGAGATTGCTTTGGCGGCATGGTCATCAGCCATGATGAAGACGATATTTGGGGGTTTGGTAGACATAGCGAGATACAGAGAGTTTAGAGTAGCCAACACAGCATCTTGTGAGAAGGAAAACGTTGTTAAGAGGAGTGTATTTGCATCCAGACACTAGACGACAAGCCGATATATATACTGTTCGTGACGCAGGAAGACTGCCCCAACGGAGTACTCGGTTCGAGTAATCGACAAAAACATGTTCAGATCATGACAATATCTATTGTGGATTGTGTTCGAACTATTTCAGTAGCTGGGATGTCATGTCTGAGGAGGCGGAAATCAAATCGGTAGTCGGTCGGTATACACAACGGCTGGTCGTTGTGTGTTGTTTGCATCGGTTCTCGGGCCGAGAGTGCCATGATTGGTTGGGGTCGAATTCAAGTTGTTATTACGTGAGGTCATCCCTCCGAAACAGCTATACATTGTGTGAAGACGGCATATTCTCTCCAGTTTCTGGCAGGTCTCCATACTAAAGGCATTCAACAATCATCATTCATGTTTATTGAAAGCTTGATCTCATACATTAGTAAGGTGAAATAGTGAGCCGGCGGTCTAAGGCGGAGATCAGCGGAGTTGTTTGAGGGGAACGCTAATTCACGATGTCTTTTGCTTATGCGCATATAATAACGTTACTTCTCAACTTCTAAACAATAGTCTGTCTACCATCCATTCCAATTGACCGTCAATTCCTTGTCAATTTCTGGAGAAACCATCCTCCTGAGTTTCACCACAGCATGACCGTGTTGCGCTGGGGTATGCTCGGCACGAGCTTCATCTCCGATGTCGTAGCTAGATCAATCACCAACAGCCAAAACTCCACCATCGCCGCGGTCTTCGGTCGAAATGAAGAGCGTCTGGCGACCTTCGCCGACAAGCACAACATCGCTGAGCGGTACACATCAATCGACGATCTTCTTGACAGGGCCTCAATCGACGTTGTCTACGTCGGGTTACCAAACCACATGCATACCCCCGCAGTTCTAGCAGCAGCAAACAGAGGCAAGGCAATTCTCTCTGAGAAGTCCTTGGCGACGACAATGGAGGACGCGCAAGCTATTGAGAAAGCCGTCAAAGACGCAAATGTCTTTTTCTTGGAAGGACTGATGTATCTTACACATCCCGTGATAAAGAAATTGCAGGAGCTGCTTCTCGACGGGCGCATTGGTACGGTTCGAGGTGTCTCAGGATATTACTCTGCGAATATCTGGAAGAAGGCCAATCCCCTCAGTATGGGTACTATCTACAACTTGGGTTGTTATCCGGTCTCGCTACTCCATCTTGTGATTGAGACTGCTTTTGGAAGCGACGCGTTCGCGACGCGTCAATTACACGGGTTCGGCAATATCTCAACTGAGGGTAGCGTCCATGTTCGCGATGCCTCTTTGACAGTGCGCTTCAACAATGGCGTGCTGGCAAGCTTGCAATCGACAGATAGCTATGGCAATGATTTCTCATTTGCGGTTCTTGGTGACAAAGGACGGATTAAATTTGTCACCAATCCGTGGTTGCCAATGGCCGGAAATAATATCATCGAGCTCAAGACTTATGGCGGTGATACTGAACAGATACTCGTACCGGCCGAGCTGGATGCTTTTGGTCATCAGGTGAGGAAAGTGGAGGATTGCTTGAATCGAGGTGTCAAAGAAGCCGAGCGTCCTTCGCCTAATGTTGCCAAGAGTGTTGAAATAATGGGGCTTTTGACGGAGTGGGAGGCTCTCATTCAGAGTCAACATAAATGATAGCAAAATGGCGATGCTGTGATAAGTCTTTCAGTCTACCCTGAACAATGCTCTTACGATGTATGTCTGTTTACCTTTGCTCTTTCCTCCGCATCCATGGAGACAAGAATCGGCACATTGAAACATACAACATAGTGAGATGTGATGAATACTTGGAAGAAGCAATTCGGAACATTCGATAAGTCAAGCAAATACTCGTATTGGTTCGATCTCCCGATATCTCCGCGGCAGATAAATTGCAAGGAGACCGACGCGATACTCGAAATAGTGAGGCTTGAGAGATCCTAGTGACCTGTTCCCTGCCTTGAGTTTCATCTCGTCTCCATCTTTCTCGGTCAACCATCTATACGCGTATAGAAGAGACCTGCCATTTCCAGCAAAACATACAGCCGCAAACAACACCATGGAAGCCACGATCTTATACAACCATTTACAAAGCTCTGGATACATCATGTGTTCAGATATTGGTGATCGTCATCTCGTCCCAAATCTCATATTGCCGTGCCGTCCCTATAGTTCGGAGCCGTTGATTGACTAACGGACAAGGATTGCCCAATTCGGCACGGACCCGTAAACTCCGCTCAATGGCAATTCCTCCGTGGTGCGCTTAACGGGTCGACTTGGCTCGATACAGCAGGACCCTGTCGCATGTAAATTTAACAGCGGTAAAGGACTGCCAAGATGGAGTCCCGTTTCAGCACTTGATGAAACTAGGCTCATAGATTAAGGACTCGGGGCAAATGCCGACGACCAAAAAAACCAACAGTATAAAGATAATGTCACATCGCTGCTTTTTGTTTCATTTGAAGATCTGTTGATCAGCAACTCTCACTCTCATTCTCAAGCAGATCTGTTTCAATCGCCATCATGTGGAAACTCGTCGTCAGCGGTATGCTGGCTATGGCTTCGGCCGTCAGCGCTGCCTACCCCAACCCCGGTCCCGTCAACGGCGCTACCCGCGTCCACGATCCCACTGTCGTCAAGACACCTCAGGGAGGATACTTGATGGCTCACACCGGAGACTACGTCACCCTCAAGACTTCCTCCGACCGTACCGCCTGGAAGGAAGCTGGCGCTGCTTTCCCCAACGGAGCGCCATGGACGACTCAGTACACCAAGGGCGAGAAGAACCTCTGGGCCCCTGATATCTCTTACCACAACGGCCAGTACTACATGTACTACTCTGCCTCATCTTTCGGTCAGCGCACCTCTGCCATTTTCCTCGCCACTAGCAAGACTGGTGCTTCGGGCTCTTGGACCAACCAGGGTGTTGTCGTTGAGTCCAACAACAACAACGACTACAACGCTATCGACGGTAACCTCCTCGTCGACAGCGATGGCAAGTGGTGGCTCTCTTTCGGATCTTTCTGGTCCGGCATCAAGCTGATCCAGCTCGACCCCAAGACTGGTAAACGCACCGGCAGCCAGATGTACAACCTCGCCAAGCGCGACGCCTCTGTCCAGGGTGCCGTCGAGGCTCCCTTCATCACCAAGAAGGGCAACTTCTACTACCTCTGGGTCTCTTTCGACAAGTGCTGCCAGGGTGCCGCCAGCACCTACCGTGTCATGGTCGGTCGCTCCAACAGCATCACCGGTCCTTACGTCGACAAGGCTGGCAAGCAGATGATGTCGGGTGGCGGTACTGAGATCATGGCTAGCCACGGTAACATCCACGGTCCTGGCCACAACGCTGTCTTCACTGACAACGATGCCGACGTGCTCGTTTACCACTACTACGATAACGCTGGAACTGCCCTCCTCGGTATCAACCTTCTCCGATACGACAATGGCTGGCCTGTTGCTTACTAGACGGCACAATTGTCGTTGAGCTTTTTGATGTGGCTGGACTGCTTTTGAGTTGTGAGCTGGATGCTCGTTCCTGTATATGAATTGGAACCTGTAAATACTTCAATTTTAACCTACATATTTCGACATGGATAACAGACCCAAGTTATTGCCACCTGTTCCACCACCTTTCTGTGACCAAACACAACTTCATGCAGATCCGCATCTTGCCGTACGATCTACTGATGTCAGGTACTGAGAATAAACTCACATGCATTCCCCAGAATTAACCTCCACTACCCCAGATTCGTCCTACGGTACATCCAATGCCGAGGCATCGTTCCACTTCAGGATCTAACCTTGGAATTGCACGTCACGCGGAAAGCCGCAAGGTGGTATCGGAAATTAATACGAAGTCGCTGATACCTCCAACGACTCGAGCGCTTAAAGATTGCCCTGCACCCCGCAACGCCGATCACCCCAGATTTGACTGCGGGGAAAACAAAACCTATGTTGCGCGCGAATAGAATGCAAGCACCAAAAAAAGTCAATTTAACTTGGCTTCGGTCCGAGACGGTCCGTGAAATGGGAAGGAAAGTGACGATCTTCCAAGAAACAGTGGCACTAGGCCTTCGTCATATGAATGTATACAGACCAAATAGATATATAACTGAGTGCCAGCTATTGAGATGGAGTTGCGATAGGTGTCTGGAAACTCCGATAAGCCTCTCATCATGCGTTTACTATCCCTCCCAAGCCATGCCCTTGTGGCTCTTCTTACTCTCAGCTCCGCCTCGGCACGAGTCTTGTCAAAGCGCGATAGCCCTGTCCTAGCTGGACTCTGGGCTGACCCTAACATCGCCGTGGTCAATAACACATACTATCTCTTTGTCACCACTGACGGTTTCGAAGGCTGGGGCGGCAATGAGTTCTACTGGTGGAAGTCTCCCGACTTAGTATCCTGGACAAAGAGCGAAAAGCCATTTCTTGTCCTCGACGGCGAGAACGGAAATGTTCCTTGGGCTACCGGCAATGCTTGGGCGCCTGGCTTTGCTGAGCGCGATGGCAAGTTTTACTTTTACCACAGTGGGAACAACCCGTCTGTCAAGGAAGGCCAAAAGAGCATCGGTGTTGCTGTGGCTGATCATCCAGAGGGACCCTGGACGGCTCAGTCAAAGCCCATGATCAAGGGAACTTCAGATGAACCCATTGTCAGCAACCAGGCCATCGACCCAGCAGCCTTCCAAGATCCCGAAAGTGGAAAGTGGTACTTGTACTGGGGCAACGGCGTGCCCGTCGTCGCAGAGCTCAACGACGATATGGTATCTCTCAAGTCCGGAACATGGAGTCGCATCTCCGGGCTCGAGGACTTCCGCGAAGGTCTGTTTGTCAATTACCGTGATGGGACATACCACATGACCTATTCCATCGACGACACAGGTTCTGAAAACTACCGTGTTGGCTACGCGACAGCTGACAACCCCATTGGGCCTTGGACGTACCGAGGTGTCATTCTGAAGAAGGATGAATCGAAGGGTATTTTGGGTACGGGTCATAACTCGGTTTTGAACATTCCAGGTACGGATGAGTGGTACATTGCGTACCATAGATTTCGCATTCCTGACGGTGGCGGTTTTAGACGCGAGACTACGATTGATGTGTTGCCAATTGATGAGGATACTGGTCTATTTGCGGAGGTTACGCCCACTTTGGAAAGTGTTGATCCTAGGCCCTTGCCATAGAGTCGAGATACATAAGAGTTACATGGCTTTCTTGAAACTTCTCCAATGACAGTAGAGTCTGCCTAGTTGTAAAAACGTATAGTGTTGGTTGAACTGGCTCTTGTTCTTCTCAAAAGCTCAACCTAATCCAAAATGAGGACTACCTCAGTCCTGCAACATTTCACCTTACATACGTGTACCGTTTACAGCCCGCCAGCCACTGCAAAGAAACATCCCAACATGGTATTGTGCGACCTTTAACCCTGGTTAACTTGGATGTACATCTCATTATCCCAAGTCTCTCAACACGGTACATGATGAACATGGTCTAGGTGAAACGCCACAAGGTATTCTTAGCAAAACGAGACTCTCGAGAAACATATACACACATAACATGGACACTATCTTGTCATCTCAACATACACTCCAAACCACTAGTCGGCCTCTGATCCCTGAGCACCACACAGCTCCTTGCAGTAGTATGCCATCTGTAACATGGTTAGACCTTTATCTCAACAAAATTCATTAACGTACCTCATCGCCACCGATATGGCCATCGGGAGAGCTGCAGATAGTACCGTCCTAGCAATAGTGTCAGTCAAATGCTCGTCTAGCCAAATTTTATTGACTCACGAAGGCACAATCAGGGCATGTGTTCCACCATTCGCTTCCCTTGTTTCGCGCCTTGTAGAAGTTGCAGGCACATTCTGTAGCATCAGGGAGGACTTCATAGTTGGTCTGCCAATTGTAGCTCACGCTCCAAGGAGTGCCGCCTACAGGTGAAGACACCCTGTTGGAGACGCAAGCAGCGGACTTGTGGAGGGCGGCTTGAGCACTGCGAAGAGACGGTTTATCAGTTTTTGGAAATGAACGTGACTGGTGTTGAGACAAACCCAGCTGCAGCCATGAGAGCAAGTGCCAAGAAAGAGATCTGCATGATGAATGAGATATGAGTTACCAGATGGACTATTGATGCAAGGATAAGAAGTTGAGTGATTATGATTCCAACCTAGATTCCTGTAACTCTTTATACTTGTCGTCTCGGTATTTGGTCCGTGGAAGTCGCTATCGGTCCGACGGCAGTTGTTCATCCTGTCATGTCATGACTCCAGATACAAGGAACAATCATAACTTCAGATAAAGTCGGTATATCGGTACAAATATCCCGCCAATTAAATGGGGTAATTCAGTCAGTTTTGAAATGTAGGTTGAGCAATTTAGTCTGAATGGCCCGCCGCGTCTTGCCATGTGGTCGGTATACGAGGGTTGTCAAAACTATAATCATCCTGTTTGATTGACCACCCCCACAGCAACCCAACCCGAATAGTATCTTGATCGTCACAGATGCTGGACCAAACCGCCAAAATCCACAAAAGAGCATCATCAATCCGGTATATATGGCTTACAATAAGTGCCGTGCATGGTACCCACTCGTCAAACTTTATTAAAATGACGATAGACAACAAGGTGCTACGATGCTGTCCAGATACTGAACAATGAGTTGTTTGAATACGAAGCAAGTTGGATTTCGGAAGCCTCAACAGTCCGGCAAGTTGGAACTTGGGGATGGGTAACTTTCGGGAGACCTCAAGTTATCATGACTCGTCTTTCGTAATGGAAAGGGCATAAATAGTCACTTCCATCCCGCTCTTTCCATCATTCATCGGCTTCATCATACCTTCAGCATCTGTGTCAACTCACACCTCTTATTTCGCCATATCACCTGTGAAGACATCCTCAGAATGCATTACCCTGCCTTAGTTTCTGCCTTCCTCGCTTCCGTCGCTGTCGCGGTTCCCTTGGAGGATAACCCGTTCCCTGGAGCTACCAGATGGACTGCTAAGTATCAAGTCCAGCCGGGTGATGTCATCGTCCCTATCAAAGACACGGGTAAGTCTCTGCTCTCGTGCCTCTTACCCGGAATATACTAAAAGTTCCCTAAGCCTATGTTGTGAAGGAAGAGGAGTACCTTGCCAAGCTCAAGGCAAAGGGCATCAAGATTGGTGCTCCCACGCGCGACGAGAGCTGGCTCCCCTATGATTCATGGCGGACGAAGCACACAAAGCCATGGGGTAACTCCACGGATCATGAGGAGGAGAAGCGAGACGGCTGTGATAGCACCTTCTACATCACCACCGACAAGACCGAAAGCTTTGTCGACTGGGACGTTCAGATGTCCCCCGTCGTCTGTGCCGTCGGCGACATGGACATCAGTGTCTCGTCGGGCTACAACGTTGCTAACAGTGTTGGTGGCAGCGCAGGAGCTGATCTTGGATTCGTCAAGGACAAGCTGGGTGCTAGTCTCGGTATCGACTATAGCAAGACTTGGACCACCTTGACATCAGTCGTGACCAAAGGCACTATCAAGGATGGCAACTGTGGCGTTATGATCACCAAGCCTATCACCACTCGTCGTTCTGGTCGTCAGTTCCAGGGCTGTATCGGATCCGCTACCGAGATTGGTACCTGGTATGCCGATAGCCACGAGGAGGGTAGTTACAACGGCATCAAGTGGGTTGAGGGAGCTATCTCGGTCTGTGCCAAGCCAGGAAGCAACCCTCCCTTATCCCTATGCAACGGACAGGGCAACTTCCGATAGAGGTGCCTAGAGATTATCCTTTGTGTTTCGCGAGATGGCTAGCCATGAGACCCATTACAGTTACCTGCTGATGGACAGCTTGCAGGAATCTTACCTGGGAGATGAGAGTATTTAACAGCAGCAGAGGACTTCATTTGGAATAGATTTTAGACTCTGTTAACACCTGTCCTTTCTGTTTGCATCCCCTGTAACAGTCGTTTCTGTGCCGTGAATTATGAGGTTTGGCATCTTCTTTTGATCGATTATCTCAGTCTCTTTGAAGCAGATGCGTGCTACGCCTCAATCTTTTTGTTCTGACAACGACTCGACCAACAAGATAGAGACGCAAGCAGTTATCAACGTTCTTCTTTATCCTCAGAATCGTCGCGAGCAACATACTCCTCCACAAGCCTCGCCTCTCTCCGTTCCCTAATTTCCCTCAACGACGTTTCAGCAGAAAGCCATCCAACAACCAACATACTCCTCGTGACCCAAGAACGACGGAACGTGTCAGTAGTGTACCAGTCATGACCTTTGTCCCGCAAGTCTGGTATCCAGGGAAAGTTGGAGCAGATATGCAGTCGCAACAGTGCGGGGTAGCGCTCTAGTTGAAGTAGGGCTTCGTGAGTAGCGACTCTGTACCATCGGTAGCTACCGATTGCGAAGCCAATTGATGAGCCGAGAATGAAGGGGATTCCGGCTGTGCCATAGATCATGCTGCCTGCCATTCCGCTTGCTACGCCGACGACGGTTGCTGTTGAGACGCCGGATACTAGACTTCGGACCATACTGGATATCTGATTTAGTTGAAAAGTCACGTTTTTTTAAAGAGAAAACATACAAGAGTCCAGGGCCACTTGATTGACATCAGTTAGGTATTCGTGTCTCGATCCTTGGTTGTATACGTACCTGACCACTCCCCAGCCACTCAGCAATCTGAGAACTGGAAAGGTATCATAGTGATCTGACATGGTGAATGTTTCGGATGAGAGTATGGCCAGATTTTGCAAGACAGGAACGCGCTTGGAACGCGAGACTGCGAAGAGGGGATCAGTTAGCAGAAAACGCCAATGACGTCACTCAACTATGCACAAGACTTCAACTCTCTACTTGTCGGTGGAGGCTAAAAGGCTTAAATCTACCTAGGCCAGAGTAGACAGAGGAGATCTTGCTAAAATTTGAAGTTTTACGAGCAAAACAGGACACTGTGACGGCCTCCAGGGCAGACAACGGCGGCATGAAGTCTGATGACCCTGCACTATCAGAGCAGGCGATAAGAAGATAAGAAGATTGGCGATAAGACGATAAGACGATAAGAGCAAATAGGGTAAGCACACGTCTATGGTAACCAATTTAAGAGACGTATGATCGATAACAAATGTAAGGATATGCAAACCTGATATCGTTTTTATCTAAAACTAACGATTGAACCTTGATGGATCCATTCAGCTAATATAAAGCTTTCCAACCGAAACTCATATAGTGCGATGCCATAGAGAAAAGAATGTACCATTCCTGACTATCGGATCGACGAGGCAACACAAAATAAGTTTATAAGCAGGTCGAAATATTGACCTTTGAAATTGAATATAACCAACGATAAAATCGGCTGTTCATAATCCGTCTAACTGGCTTCACTTGGCGGTCTTCTATCATGACGTGTGACCGAAACTTGCGTCTGGACAACAATGCCTTGCTCAGCTGCCGAGCCCTTATCATGCCAAACAGCTTGTTCGCTGGTGCCTCCTCGTCCCACATCGTATGTCAGCTCAACCTCATCATCCTCGCTTTGAAAGCCAGTACCCTTGGCTCGGTTGACGCTGAAGAGTTGGAAATGCTTGGAGCCAGGCTTGGACAGCTCATTTGCTCCGGAACCCCCATAAGGCGTACCTCGTGAAGTTGAGCCCATACGGCCGAGTCGGAAGAGAGGTGCCAGTGTAGGTAAGCACGCTGAGATGACGGCGACGGATGGTTCGAGACTTGACCATGCAAATGAAGGACCCATCCACCATGTCGCATCGACGTTCTGGAAGAACCCCCAGAGGTAGTAAATTCGAGCGATACTGGCGACACAAACACTAATAGGGTTAGCAAGGGTACTGATATTTCGATCGAGGCGGACTTACAAGCTGCCAAGAAGCATGATGCAGATAACCGAGATCTTGGTCTTGTTGTTCATCTGCAGGGTCCAGATACGAGGGATAGGGACACTAAGGATTATGATGTCGTTCATCATGTTCATGACTCCCAGGACAAGAAAGAAGAGCTTCACCTCGATACACTTGCCCTGCTCGCCGATATATTGCGTCCAGAAGAACCTGATAGGCTTACAAGCAAACGCCATTGTAATCCAGAGGATGAAAGGGTATACAGTTGTCATGAATGTTGCGATGTAGAACATGATTGTGTAGGCGCGACTCTTGTCGATACCAAGAGGGAAAAGACGGCGGTAGAGAAGGAGGATGCTGGCTTTGACCGATGTGACAGCCAGGGCGTAGACAAAAGGCTCTGCATAGACGATCTATGGTGATTGTTAGTTAACTTGGATATTAAGTCAGTCGACGATGCTCAGCCTTACCTTGAAGACCTCGACGAGTGTCATGATCTTGATGGACCAAACGTGTGCTCCAGACCCATGCGCGCCAGCTATACGCGATTAGCTTCATCTCAAGTGCATTTCAAGATGGCGAACTTACCCAAAATCGTCATGGCCACAGTCGAGCCACAGCAGAACTAAATGTACCGTTAGTAAATCACCATTGCCATAGATATAAATGCGACCAACATACCAAGCTCACCAAAACAGCCCAATCATCCATCTCCAACTTGGCAGACTTCATGTTCCTCACATAGAACCGCAACGCCACCATCAAGAACGCGATGCCAAGAACGACGCAAGTAACGGCATTGTAGAGTGTGATCTGATCATGGTTGAGGTCCAGATCCTCGGGTGGTGGGCCAAAGAGGGCTACGACATTGGGATCCAGTTCCATAGCTGAATGTTGTAGTCTAGCTGCATGCAGAGAACAATATTACGGCAACTTGCAAGAGTCCGTCTGCCCATGGGGTTACCGGTCCGTTAAATGGGAAGAGAACAGAAAAATAGGATACAGTTTTCAGAACCAGCCCTGCACAAATCGAGGATTTGGTTACTAGGATGTCTTTTCTTTTTCCTCGTGGCAATCATTTGTTTTGCCTACTTTGCCCCAACCGTGCCTTGGAAAGCGACGGCAATCCTTTGGGTGCATTTTACTTCATTTCGGCGTAAATCGACACATTGGCACATTGGAGGAACTTTGATCGGGGGAACAAACAGCCCACAATTGAGAAAAGTTGTGGTGCGTAAAGCGAAGTGGGAATGGGTCACTTTGGAGTGTCCACTCTGATTGCTACCTGGTGTTGGCTGATGTCCTTGCCATTTTTGTCGCAATTCCCCGATGCCATGTCTTTGGAATCTTGTTCTTTTCCCATACTTAACAGATCTTGGCAAGCTATCCATCGCATTGAAGAAGGATATCAATCCCGTTGTGGTATATATGCAGATTCCTGCAGCGTTGAACTAAGATCTGACAGCTTCCACAAGTAAGGCTTGCCAAGACAGATGGCGGCTCTGGCACTCAGACTAGCCAAGACGCGAACAGCCCACTCGGGAATAAAAACCCCTGTTATCCGCGCAAGCCCATTCCAGTTCGGATACAACAAGGATTTAGTCCGGACAGGCACGTTTCAGGGCGTGGTCCATGTGTCAAAAAACGTTTATGCAGCGTTGTACTTGTGCTCAAGAAGGGTTTGGATCCACGATATTAATGCTGGAAAGTTTCATTCGTTTCTCGATTTGGCGACGCAACACCGTGACGGGGTAGCATCAGGAATTGCCGCGGATGAAAAGTCCCAGAGCCGAAGACGCGTCGATCGGTCGATGAGCTGATGAAAAAATTGGACCCAGTGGTTGGGTTCAAAGGATTCTTTAGCTGTTTTACGGCAGAAATCAATGGATAGACACATCCACTTGATTCATGTACAAATCTCACAGATTTACCTGTGCTTCATCATCCCTCAAAACGACAGGTTCGACCAGCAAGGTCCAAGGTTTTGACACTCCGATCCTGAGAGTCTAATAATTCTCCTAGCTCGCCTCTCTCCATCTGCTCCGGATAGTACGCTAGTACCATCACGGGCTTGGTTCAAAGCTTGAGCACAAGTGGACTGATATCTTAATCCTTTATCTCGGTACCCATAATGATCGCTAAACTCCGAATCACTTTCCTCCTGCCCCTGATGAAGAATTGGACCAGTCTCAAACGCGCCAATAACGGTTGACGGAAAAGCTTGGCCATTCGTCCATACTCCAACGAGTAATCAATGCCGATCCCAATTGTTGCTCGTGTAGCACCGTGTAACCCTGCACAACGACTTTGTGTCTGTTGGTTCATCGTTCAGTCTAGCAGAGGACCCTGATACAGTAATTGAGCAGCGGGGGAAGAAATGAAGCAAGAGTAAGGGACCAAAAAAAGGACGGGGAGTCGGGACACAGTGGCGGAAGGCAGCCTCGTGTTGCCACATGTGCTTTCTCGCTACGAGTATTAGAAGTCAGGCCTGTCCGCCGTATACGAAACGAGAAGGAAAAGTCCCAATATCCACTACAGTTACATCCATCCTTCCCCTCTTCGTCATCCTTCTACATCCCCTCGAATCAAACCACCTTTCACCTCCATTCAGTAAACACACCACCAAACACACAATCATGGCTGCTGTCCCAACAGAGGTTCTGGTCGTCGACGACCAAACCCATGAAATCCCCACCAAGACTGCTGTAGCTGAGCAAGTAAACGAAGTCTTAGACCTTGCGCCTCCCCTACTACCCACCGAGAAGATTGGCCCGATGGGCTGGGTCAGACTTGTTTTCCACTTTGAACTTCCCGAGAACTACGACTCTGAAGAGTTGACGAGCATCTTCAAGAAGGCTTACTCTTCATTCAAGGAGCGTGTTCCTATTGCTGGCTGCGAGGCTGTTCCTACTCCCACATACCTTGAGGATGGTCTATTACAGCTTCGTCACTACGGCAATGAGATCGAGCATGACTTCAAGGTCAAGGATCTCCGTAATGAAGACTTTCCTACTTTCCAGGAGCTGAAGAGCCAAGGCTTCCCTGCTTCTGCTCTAGACCCTGATGTCGTTTGTCAACGAGGACTTGGTGGTGAGTGGCCTGCTGCTGGTGTTGACAGACTGAACACCACCATGATGCAAGTGAACTTCATCAAGGGCGGTCTTCTCCTCAACATGCTCTTCCTCCATGCTTTCATCGATGGCGCGTGCATGTACAAGTTCACCGAGCTTCTGGCCGAGGATGTCCGCAAAGCTCAAGGTCTTGCCATCCCTGAGCCAGCTGAGATTCCCGTCGCGGATCGAGCCAAGATCGCCAAGTCATCCGGCGCCAAGCCTGGTAAGGCTGAGGACCATGCTGAGTACCTCGAGGTTCCTTTCACACCGACTGGCCCTCCTGAGAAGCTTGCTTCACCTATTGCCCACGGGCATGTCTTCTACTTCTCCCCTGAGAAGATTCAAGCCCTGAAGGAGCTTGCTTCCCCCTCCAACGCCAAGCTTTTCAAGTCCAACAAGGACAACTCCCCTTACATTTCGACCAACGATGCCCTCACAGCTCTTGTCTGGCGTTGCACAATGATGGCCCAGCACAAGCACAAGCAGGGCGAAGATAAGTCGTCTGGACCTTCCATGCTTGGTCTTGCTCTCGATGCTCGTCGTCGCTATGCTGGCCAGGATGTCCACAAGCACACCATCGGCAACATCCTCGGTTTCGCACCTACTATCATGGACATTCAAACACTAATCAATGAGGACGAGGCTACTCTGGCAGATGTCGCTCTCGTCGTCCGGGCCACTGTCAACAAGTCCAAGGACTCATACCTCGACAGCATCACGGCCCGCGTCGAGCAACTCAACAACGTCGCCCGACTTGTTCCCACCATCTTCCTCGACATGCCTGGCAACCACGCCCTCCTCTCCTCGTGGAGAGAGTTTCCTTTTTACGATATTAACTGGGGTCCCGCCCTGGGTGACCGTATGCAAGCCCTTCGACCCCCCAAGGTTGGAATCACACACGCCATGCACGTCCTTCTCCCCCACCGACTGGAGGCTGGTCCCGGTATCGAAGTATTTGTCAATACCGAGAACAGCGCTATGGAGGGTCTTATGAATGATCCTTTCTGGAGACAGTATGCTGAGGGACCTATGCGTGTTTAAGCTTTGTGTTTTGCGGGCAAGCGATGTTTTACGGAGCTTTTTGGCGGGGAATACAAATATGCAATGAGCTAGAATTAGAATTGAAGTAATGACTGAATTGTATCCCAATATAACCAGTATGACTCCCGGTAACTTAAAGCCATCATCTGTTTTGCATCCTGCCTAAGGATTCTGGCTGCAAGATCGTCAGGTAAGCTTTTTCTCATGAGTTTATCTTTTGGTCCTCTTCTCCCCTGAAGCATAACATCCCCTACTGATATGCAACTACGTTAGCTTTGGACAATTATGTCAATAAAGAGTCGTTGCATGTCATGAATAAGAATAACAATTGCATCATATTGCACAGACTCCTTCACGGCTTCACGGACTAACAGGTGGACAACAGAGGAATTATTATCCAAGATTTAGGCTACAGAAATAAAGTCGTCTGGATACTAACCTAAGCCAGCATAAGATGACTCAATCCTTTCGTCTATTATGCTTTCGGCGGCAATTCTTCCCACACCCTGACACCCACTTATTTGATAGATGTCATGATTTGACTCGCCCATGAACTGTCCGCTGTGTAATACCACTGCTTCCATCCTTCATTAACCCTTATATTCTGAAGCCAGACCGCTTTGTCACCCTTCTTGATCTCGACAGGAGGGTCTATTTTCTTCTGTGGTGGTTCGATAAAGCCGTGTCCAATAGTAAATGTGTGGATTGCAACAGTTATATTTGTTAGTTTGTACGCCTTTGCCCAGGTGAAGTCTTCGGTATCCCCAGAAATCTGCAAAAGGCCTCCCATGAAGCCCTTGAGGAACGTCTGAACAGGATCTTTACTTCGATTTTCACTTAGCCAACTTGGGATAGTTCCGAAGATGAGGGTTCGGAGATCTTTGGCCCTTGAAATTGATCGTGCGAGAGCATCCTGTGACTGTTAGAAAATGTGCTTCTTTCTAATAGTAAAGATTAAGAAGGAAGCAAGGAAGGAGAAGAGAAGGAGGCAACTGCTTACTAAGTCATCATCTTTAGGGGCTACTTCAAGAAGTTGTAGTCGAGGTAGACTCTTGGTGAGGGTCTCGATGACCTCAGCCGAAACGTAATAAGGAGGATGGCCTCTATATTTGAACTGTAATGACTCAAGACGCTTGTGATTGATGATCACTTGTTGAAGTCTTCCAGACAGGCCCGGGTTGACGAAATCACTCTTGCGGAAGATGCGGTCGTGAAAGACGTTGTGTTCAAGGACGTTGAGGGATGTCAGAGTATCGAAGGATGCAAGGAATCGGTAGATGCTCTCCAGATGTTCTTCTGAAGCTACTGGATTTGGCTTGTCTGCATCCAGGTCGACTGATAGCTTTCTCAACTGGATGGATCCTTTATCTGCCTTGCTGAACAAATCCTCGAGGTGCTTGAACAATATGACATTTCCTTTCCCCAGTTGGGTAAACTTGAGCTCTCTGAGCTGCAAAAAGTCGATAGAATTGTTAAGATCGGTCCACAGGAGCGCACGCTCGCCTTCCCAGCAATGACCAGTCAAGGTCAGTGACTTAAGCGCAGTGAAGTAATGCGGCTGCTCAAGGGAATCGGGATCGTGTTCCTCGATACGATCCTCGAATCGGTCCAGAAAATTAGAGCTATACCGCAGTGCACGAACATCGAGGGTTATGAGAGTTGACAGTGACCTTGCAAGGATAGTTTGGAGGACTTTCTGTGGACCAGATACAAGGTCGCTCAACATCCCGGCCTTGAAGGCGATATGTTTGAGACCGCTCAGTTGGGAGAGAGGAGAGGCAGTATTCTCTATGATGCAACTTGTGCGTGAATCAACTAGACGCAACGCCTTGAGGTGTTTTAGTGCGGCAATACTGTTAGCCATTGATCTGTGGCGTACGTCAGTCACTGCATTTCTCAGGATGCCAACAAGAACTCACGCATTAAGCTCCGTGGTATCCAAAACCTCCAAGTTAGTCAAGTTCTTCAAGACCTCCTCCAAGTATCTGATTATGATCGGTCTATGCTTCTTCCCCGGGTCAATGTCGCCAATTGTCATTTGACGGACATGAAGAGCGCATTTGGGTACAGCGTTTGGGTCAAGAAGATTGGAAAACCTTTCTTGTTGACCCTTGTATCTTCCCTTGCGCTTGACTTGCTTCTTCTGGGCGATGCTAAGATGGGGCTCCAAGCGACGAATGATCATGGGCATGTGGGCGAAGAAGCCCACTCTGACCGCGATGTGGTTGTGGACGACTGACATTGCCAGGTTGTAGTAGCGTTGCGAGGTGCATGCCAGATTGATCATTGCTGATGAATCATCAATATGATGTAAGATATTCAGCTGAATCTCAGCTGGCAAGACTGAGAGAGCATCTTCTGAAGTTGACGGAGCTTGCTGACGCCTGAGATGAATGTTAGGCACTCTCGCCTTCTTCTTCCTCTTTGCGCTCTCTGTCGCTTCTGTTTCAGAAGAGATCTTTCGTTTCCTGAGAACTCGCACCTCCACGGCCGCAGACTCAGGTGCTGAGGTGATGGTAGCGATTCTCGTACTTCTTCTTGGAGTCATGTCGTCCTCTTGAAGATGGCCTTAGATGTCGGAGAAAAGGCAGCCGAAAGCATAAGAGATGGAATAAGTTGGTTCCTTTATGACAGTTTAGACTAGCTCTTAGGTTACTTTACTCTAGCAGCCTGAGCTTTAGAGTGAAGTTATTTCGGATGAATGAGTATGTGAAGATATCTGAAGATTGAAGAATTGAGGGACATGGCTCGTGTTGAAGTAGGGAGATGAAGGTAGATGATGTTGTGAAGGGGATCTAATGACAAAGATCTCCTGTGTGGATTGATTGGTGGCTTTCTCGCGCTAAGGTCGCTGCAGCCTAGGGGAATCCACACGACGCTACCAAATCAGGAAAATGCCGAACTGTTGGTTGATGCATGTATACAATTTACCCCTTCAGGTGGGTGTCAAAAGAATTGGCCGCTGAGAGCATACGAGACAAAATGTTTTGGCCATCTTATGCCGACCTAGGCTGGGGTTTAGGCTACTTTATTTCTGTGAGAAGTACGCTGATAGGTCTACGCTAGATGAATAAACAGGGTATAAATTGTAAATCGATAACCATGGCTCCTGCCCCATATCGTTCAAACCCCAAATTGCATGAGCGACGGCGGAAAACCTGCCAGTGCAGGTTTCACCATTGCTGGATTATAGTGGGTATCAGCCCCGGATACAGTGACTGAATCGGCGGGTACCAATATGTCGTCGGGGCCTGGTAGTTGTAGTTCAATGGATTCATGCAGCTAAATGGCATGGAATTGGCCGGCAGTGGATTGTTTGGTGATGGCTTCAAACAGGCACCCTTCTTGTACCCCCTCGGACGGTAGACTGCTTGACAGACCTTACGCTCGAGCTTATCCGGGTGATAGACCACATCAAAAGCCGCGGGATTGGCCAAGTTGAGGATGATGCGGACAGGACCCGGACAGCCAGAAATATAGCGCTTGTTCAGGCAGAAGGGATACTCGGTCAATGAACCGTTGGACACCAATCCCAACTTCTCTTTGTTGTAAAATTGTCGGGGATACAAGGTACCGGTATGGCTTGGTACCTGGCTCGCCTGTTGTCTGAGCTGAGAGGCGGGGATCTTGCGATACCATCTGTCGTTCTCTAGGCCGGGGAGCGAATAATACGAGCACTCCGAAGAGGCATCGTCATCGACCTGGGTGGGGGAGAAGGGAGGTGATGCATTCATGGCTGCCATTTGGGCATTGTGCCCCTCGAGCGCGGCAAATGTCAGAGCCATTGTAACGAAATTTTGTATAAATAAGAGTATCGCTCCTTTTAGGGCAAGGCACTCGAGCCGAAATAAAGGACAGACAAAGTAAGAAGTGTCCAAGTAGAATGTGTAGAGAGTTAGAAGACGAAGAGATGAAGAGAATGAAGATGAAGAGAAGTTCAAGATGAAAAGATTCGACTGCTTGCAAAGATCGCTAGCTGATGTTTGAAAAGTACGGCAAATAGTTTGTAAATGTGTATGAAGGAGAAAAGATATCTGAGAAAGGGAGAGGAGAGGTGGTCTTTTATACACGATAGAAATTGTTTAAACTCAATTGCAAAACTCGATAAAGTTCTTTATATCCTACCTCTCACAATTCAAGTGACTCACAGTGTTTGAAGCCATCGGTAAGCTTTGATATTATGGAAAGTTAGATACCGAGGTTGCCCAATAGTAAGCTATACGTAGGTTCAATAATTCCGAAGTATTACGAGTGGCCTTACATTACACCTGACCTTGCTATTAGTTTACCTTTTCTCGTGTGAAAGTTTTTCACATCATGTTTCTATTCGCTTCTGTGTGCGTTGACTATTACAGCGTGTGCTTTTCGTTGTGAAATAGCTGCCTGAATTTCTAGCTGCCGACCAAACTTTCCCCTTCTAACGCCAGCGAAAAAACAGCAAGATGCATCCTTTAAAACCCCACACATCGATTCCAAGAGTTTTAGTCTCGCTGACTTAATTGTTGAGCAAGTGTTGTAGGTTGACAGCGTAGGTAGGAGAGAGAGTGGAAAGCAAAACGGATAGAAGCAAGGGAAGAAGAGGAATGTGTAGTCAACTTAAACCTTAGGTTGAGGTGAGGTAAAGAGAAAAGGTTTCTATGTATAAAGGAGTTATGATATTTTTTCGCAAAGTGTAGATATCTTAAAACCTTATTTAATGGTACATCAACTATCTTTTAGCCAAAGAACTAGGCAGGATGAAGACAGTTTCTCGGCAGAGTCGGATATTGCTAGGGGACGCGTCTAGATCATTTTCCATCTTTGAAACTGTGTTATCTAACAAGAGTCTGAATTATAGAACTGTGACCTCAAAGAGGAACATTTTCTTGATGACACTTTAATGAAAACCAGCAGCTTCTCGAACCCGGTCGAAATATTGACATGAAGTCCTGGGCGATGCATAGCCAGGCACTGGGTTCCAATGAGAACAATAATTGACAACAAGTAGACTGGCGTCGACAAGTCGGCTATTGGGGGGTCGATGAGACAAAAGGGTAAAAGCAAGCAGTTCGCATTCTGACATCTATCAGTGTGCAGGGCAGAGAAGACGGGCTAAGAAGGCATAATTTGTACGCAAACTCGGCTCAGGTATAGTTGAGTAAGATAGCCAATGATCCAATTTCAAGATGTGTATCTGGATCGATTTCTTCTTCCTTATGAGATAGAAGCAATGGTTGACTTTTTTTTACTCGAGATGGCGACAAAGTGGTATCGGCATCACAATCGGTGGCTTGATCACCAGACGCAGAAAATATTTCACGGGGAAAAGTCACTATATGTCCCCTTTGGGGGCGGAGCGAATCGGCTTGTCACATAGGGGGTGTTAAAGATAAGTTTGTTACCTAAAGCTTTACATAGAGGATGGCAAATAGACCGTCAGCTATATCAGAAAAGCTATGTGATAACTAGAACTTAATAGAATCATGTGACTAGATAATATTTGTGCCCGGTAAAGACTGTAGTTCGAGTTTGTCATTAGATGTATAGTTTAGGCTTTCAACCCCAAGTCGCTACTTCAGGGACAGAATATGTGTTTTATTAGGGTTTATTTCGCATATATCCCTGACCATCCATCATTTTAAATCTGGCGGCTATGTCCTTGACCATTTTCCAAGTTGCTCTCGTATCGGAAGACAATATCTGTCTTGACACCAATCTGACCATTAGGCATGACGAGCACCTCCTCACTACTGTTATCGTCAAGTCCATTCTTGATGTTCGTCTCAAAAGTGCTCTTGGGTGCGCCATTGCTAGGCATGCTGTTGTTTCGTAGCTCGACGGGCATTTGCTTGAAGCCAGACAGCTTGTTGCTGGAAATACCAGTACTTCCGAGCAGACGAGGTGCGTACTTCTTGGCAATAGCTTTGTAGGAGGGAATCGAGGCAGCGAGGATTCCGATATTCGTTTCGATGACGGACCAGTACATGGCATTGGAGATGACCCAGGTTTGGTCGGTGGATCGGAGCATGGGTGGGATGTAGGTGATTCGGATTATGGAGGAGATACACGCGCTAGAAGGTATTAGCATTGGGCCGTCAAGAGAACAGTGCTCGTAGGCGAGATAGAAGGGAAACTTACAAGAGTCCGAGACCGAGGATGATAGCTAAGCTGATCTTTTGTCGTCGCGGAACACGGAGCCGTGCCACCAGGGGAATTGGCAGGGTGTAGGTGAGGATGTCCGTGAAGATATTGACGGCCGCGTTGGCAAGGTAGAAGGCATTGATGTCGACGCACTTCTTCGCCTCCACTGGTATCGTGATATCATATGCAGCAGGAATAGGTGAGCATTGGAAGATGCAAGCAAGGACGTTAGCTCCTGCCTGGCATCCTACAACTCCCATCATGAAGAAGGCTGTCTTGCGGAGCACCTTGTCGCCGAGGCGGGTGTACAGGGCGAGAACCGAGATCTTGATGAAGCCGAGACAAGCATTGTAAAAGATGGAGGATAACCAAACAATTTGGAGGTAGGCAATGAAATTATCGGTGCCTCGTTTTATGACATCCTCATAATGGCTGCCGAGGCCATGGTTGACTGAGGCTATCGTGCACCCGATGAAGGACCACGAGAGTAAAGCACCCACGCAGATGAGATCTGTCACAAGTGTCAGAAGCAAAGAGGGCGGGCAGTGGAGTTATGGGCCTCGTTTGTTTTCACTTACAGTCGTCGGCACCCACTGACCGCACAATACTGATCCGCGCCCATAAGCGAAGCACGACAGCAATGAAGCTAATAACGGCAAAGACAATAGCGACGGAGTTTACCGTGGGACCTTGCGACTCCATGATTGCATATAACTCAACGCAAAACGAAACAGAAAATGGAAATGCAAACGCAAACGAGAAGAAAGAATGGATAAGTATGTGGTTCGAGTTTGTAGCGCAATGGGAAGAATGCGCTCCGAGTTAAATGGAAGACCCTCCCCCATTGTAGTCCAACTGAGACAGGCAGATATCAGTTTCATTACAACAAATCCTGCGCAATGATTAGTTCACTGGTACTATGCCAATCTCTTTCCCTTCTGTAACGTGTAGTTGATGCACAGACGTCAGTTGGGAGGCATCTCTATGGTTTGTTCGTCTCGCCCCCTTTCGCGCCATCCTTTCACGCAATGATCTTCCCGGCTGGGACCTTTTCCACTTCGCCTGGGAAAGACACAAGGATTGTTGACACAGGGGTCCCACAGGACAAGAGGCTTTTTGTCTTGGTCTTGGTCTCGAGAACAAAGCAATCTTCAGGAGAACTGCACAGTTTTGGGAATGTTTTATTCGCTGATTGGCTTCTGGGATTGTTCGACAAGACCGGGAAATTCGGATAGAGTGCCCCGGAGTGGGGGTTTTCGTGTTGATCAGTCACTTTTACGGATTAGCCGACCTAGCCTCGGTCCTTTAGCTTGGTCTTAGTCTTGTTTCCTCATCTTTAGCCCGTCTTTTCCAAATTCCCCTAGCTGCCGTTGTGCTCTTCACCGTTGAGCCTACTGTGTGTTTGTCTCAAGCTAGGCTCACGGGCCGTTATCTTGATTTCTTCATGTCCGGCACTGTCGATGTATTGGTTGTGCGCCTCCCGCCTCGGCCGCCGAGCCTCGCTGCTTGTTTTTTTGCCTCCTTGTTTCTCATGACTCGGACTGTCATGTTTACATAAATGACAGAGACCCGCCTCGTCTTGTTTCCGAAGGTGTTGGTTGTCTCTTTGCTTTTGTGGGTAGCCTCGCAAACGAGGTCCTGCTCTTTTTCATCTTGGCAATGATGGACATCAGATCATATGACTGTGGAGAGTTCGCCTACGATATGATACAGGGGTATTATACAGGAGTCGATCGTCAAATTAGTCCTCTATCGAGATTCGCAGATTGCCGCCAGATGCGTCTCTGCAACAACCTAACATGTGAAGGATTGCGGCGCTGTATTGTAATTGCAACAAGGTGCTTAGCAGGGACACAATTTCAGAGCTGAATATGACGATCCTGGTATATGGGTGGGTAGGACCAGGATCAGAATTTTTCCCGCCCGCGTAAAGTTCCTTGCAAAAGTCCACGTTAGCCAGTCGCAATGCCAAGGCTGTTGGTTGATGACATACTCGTAAAAGGCATTTCAGGTACGTCAATCAGAACGGTGGAACTAGCATTACCTGACAACCGAGAATAACGCCAATTTAACACGGACATAAGCCAAGCATCCTGGACTTGAGCTGGCGAAATAATGCAGTCCAAGTTCCACTCTTGGACTAGTATAGAATGACTGAGTTATTTCGTCTTATGCTGTTGCCCTCTGTAACCACCTGCCAAAGAGAAACAGTTTCGACACCAAGTCCACTTGGCTGCATGCATAGCATAATAATCACGGGCCTTTCAACGTCCTTGGTAATGGGTCGTCCAAGAGGCACGAACCCCCTCAAGACGGTTACAGGGTCCATTCCAAATGGATACTAGGATGTGCGAAAGGATGCCCCGGAGCTACGAGCCGCTGTGGTTCTTTTCGCCGTCGATCGCTACTACGTAGTACATTTACATATCGTAGACGCATCCCCTGGTTAAAACGCATGCTTATTTTCTAGCTTCCAACCATTGGCTTGATTAAACTTTCGTTTATTGCTTTTGACAGGTGGTTACACAATCATGGCTGTTCTAAGCATCACGAACGTCGCCCTTTTGGGTGTCGCTTATGTTGTCTTTTGCGTTGTTTGGCAGGTCGTCAAGTACCGCTTTTTGCATCCCCTTGCCAAATTCCCTGGTAACTTCTGGGGAAGCGTCACACGCCTTTGGATCACCTACCATAACGTGGTAGCAGATGAGTGTGAAACCTTCCAAGCGCTTCACCAGAAGCATGGTAAGAACATCCAACCATACGAACCAATTGAGTTAATACTGACATTTTGCAGGACCTGTCATTCGAATCACCCCTACCATGCTGCTGGTCAGCGACGCTACCCAACTCCCCAAGATCTACAACCGTCACGCAAACAAGTCAAAGCACTACATCACTGGAAGCTTCGGCAAAGATGAATCGCTCTTCAACATGCAAGATTCGGCTATGCACACCAAGTACCGAAAGATCGCCGCCCCTCTATATAGTCTGACCAACATCAAGAAGATGGAACCCTTGATTGACGGAAACATCGACACTTGGATGGCCCGCCTCCAGCGCGACTTTGCTGCTACCAACAAGCCTTTTGACTTTGCACCATGGGCTGTCTTCATGGCTTATGACATTATTTCTGAGGTTGGCTTCGGTGCTCCTTTTGGCTTTGTGAAGGAAGGCAAGGATGTTGAGGGCCTCATCCAGGGTTTCCACGATGGTCTTACACCTTTCGGTATCATGGCTAGACTGCACCCTTTCACCAATTGGGTTAAGAGCACTTTCTTGGGCAAGTACATGGTTGCTAGTCCCGAGCAGGACTCTGGTATTGGAACGCTGATGCGCTTCCGTGATCGCTTGATTGCGCAGCGCTTTAAGGATATTGAGAATGGCTCTACTGGTGGACGCATCGATCTTCTTCAGACGTAAGTCAATTGTCCTCACATGTAAGATATGTCACTAACGCATCGCAGTTTCATTGAGGCTCGTGACGAGAATGACAAGCCTCTTGATATCAACTACATCAAGGCTGAGATTCTTCTTGTCCTCCTCGCCGGTGCTGATACCACCGGCACTGCCTTCCAAGCTATGATGATCCACATCCTCACCAACCCCACTGTCTACAAGAAGCTCCTCGCTGAGATTGACGCGGCCACTGCCGCTGGAAAACTTTCCGAAATGCCCCAGTACGACGAAGTCGTCGAGCACTGCCCCTACTACATCGCCTGCGTCAAAGAGAGTATGCGTCTCAACCCCTCTGCACCCAACATCTTCCCCCGTATCGCTCCCGCCGGTGGCCTTGAGATCTGCGGCCACTTTGTCCCTGAGGGTACCGAGATTACCTGCAATCCTTGGCTCGTACACCGTGACCCCAACATCTACGGCGATGACGCTGAGAAGTTCAAGCCTGAGCGATGGTTGGACGAAGATAAGGCCAAGATCTACAACAAGTACAACATGGGTTTCGGATATGGACCTCGAGTTTGCCTTGGACAGGATGTTGCCAGGATGGAACTTTACAAGGGCCCTCTGCAGTTCTTGAGAAGCTTTAATGTTGAGTGGGTTGACGAGTTGAAGAGGGGCAAGTATGTTGTTAATGGTGGTGTGAGTTACTTTGAGGACATGAAGATCAAAATCTCCCCTCGCGATGCTACTGCTTAATCTGCCAAGTGGTATAATCGTCTATAGAATACCAAATATCACTTACACAAAGTCAAGCACTATTCAGACCTAGATGTACTAGATCAAATCGGCAAACGCCATGTGCTGTGTGACAGTATAACTCTGTACGTTCTGTAGGCAGAGAGGGTCGCGGCAAAGGCATCCCGATATGGAATCATGCATGGCTTGGAGTGATCAAGATGCCTTGGAACTCAGTATTGATTGAGCCGGCTCATAGGCCAAATGCTACCAAATCCGTGCCCCTACCACTAGCTTCTAATGCTGTTACTCCATCTTCAACCCCACAGAACCGTTGGCATCTTAGCAACATTAGTCTCGGTATTTTCCTCCGTTTTGAGACCGCTGTCAGCTCCCTTCTTTTTCAGCTCTTCTTCCAAGTTCACACTATCATACGACAAGTAATAGACCTCGATGTTGTCGGGATCGTCAGGGATGTCGAAACAGAATTCGACACTGACGTTTCCGTTATTTGCAGGAGGGAAGATGGCCTGGCAGGCACCCTTGAGCTTGTGCTCGTCTTCCACCTTATCCTTGCGGATCTTAACAGTATGGCAAGGACGGCCGTCTTGAAGAAGTCGCTCCATTCCTACAGTCTGTTGAATGGAATCTGTTGTATAAATGTTTTGTTTGTCGCAGTGAGTCTTGGTGGCTTTAGCAGAGTTTTTTAAGGCTCGAGTTGGAAAATGAACTGGAATGGGCGTCGGAAGACGCTCTTTAATAATAATCGTAAGCCTTGAATCACAGATAGAAGATATGCCGACAATAACATAGATTTTAATGTGTCACAGATCGGGTGCAGCCTGTGATTCAGATCGAAGAACCTTGTTGCTTCCATCATGCGTGATGCTATTCTTTAGGGCTTACATGATGATTAGCATTCAAACGTAGACGTTATCAACATACAGAGTAGGACTTGCAATAACATTTATTCATCGCGCCAAGCTCATGACTCTCTAGCTATAGGTTTTTCCCACTTTTATAGAGAAGGTTAACTTGTAATGAGAAGCTTGGAATGATGTCTACTGATATTTCTATAATTTAGTTCATCACTATGGTGGTACAGCGTTGTCAAAGACCTTTCTGGTCTCTTAGTGACCCAGCCACATCATATTTAATCCCCCCTCAATAATCTTCACCAGATATGCTTCTCCCTTTGGTCATTTACTACCCCATGGGTATCTATGTAGTGTCACCTTCCTTCTTGATCTGCACCATCTCCTCCTTCCTCTTCACGCCATTCTCATCAGCATTCTTCTGTAGTTCTTCCATGAGGTCCACAGGCTCTCGAGACTGACAGACCACCCTGAAGGCGTCTTCATTGTCTAGCAAGCCGTGTTCTACCTGGACAGTGGAGTTTCCACTCTCATCTTTGGGGTAGATTGACTCAAGAGCGGTCTTGAACTTCTGCTCGTCGACCACGTCAGCGTTGGGGATCCAGTGAATAGCAAAATCTCCGAGGGTTAACATTTTGAAAGGGTTTTGCTGTAGAGATATAATATTTAGGAGTTGTTTCTTGATGATTGAGTTGTCTTAGTAGTAGAATTATCTTAGTTGGTATGGAATGTTGATATTCTAAGGTCAAAGTTTGACGAGGCTCCAAAGCTAGGCTTTTATAGTATTTTATCAGCCTTGACTCACTGAAAGCTGATTTTCCCTAAAGCATTGTGATAACAAGTATTGATATACTAGACTCAATGATTCTTTATAGATTTGGTTTGTGATTGAGACTACCTGGAGCAAGATGGAAGCCTGTGTGTGATGTTGCGCATATCAACAAACCATGTTGTTTCCCAATGTGATCCCGTGATCTATTTTCATATGCTATGCCGGCATATCTGCCAATGAAGCACTGCAACAGAGTAGTAAGTTTCTTCATACCTACTCACTAACAATATCACTCTCGACTCGAGAGGCAGCATCACATTCACCGAGTTAAAATTGGCCTTCATCATTTTGACTAACCTATCTAAGTACTAGTGCTGTGACAGCTCCATAGATCTACTGTGATCCAATGAGGGAGCAGATGTTAGCTGATTAAGCAATCGTCGTGGAAATAAGGCGGAAATTAGTGTTGACCTGGATTCAAAAGCCCGCAGACATCAACCTCAACATCTTCAATTTTCGTGATCACAGATCACGACTTAGATTGCACTTGGGGTGTTTCACGTTAATAACCGAGACTTTCTAGGGTACTCTGGTCCGGAAAGTCGTCGCCAACACAATCAAACTTCGAATGTCAAACAATTACAGGGTAGGTTGCGCGCTCAAAAGTGGACACTCGTGCTGGTCAATGTTACGCGTTTCTCTTTGACGCGTTTAGAGCAGTTCAGTCTCGCTTTCGACGCTATCAATCGCTATACATTTATGCAGGTAGAGCTCCGGAATGTCTGTTACTCCGGCTTCCGTCCGTAAACAATCCTCATCCGGCAGTATGGGTGATGGCTCCTATTACGCAACTCGCGTCGCAGCTGGGCGCAATACACGAGGACTTCCTCCTGCGACCAGCCCAAGACAAAGCTTGCCATATAGAGAACGAACCCTTCCAAGTCTTGATCCATAGCTGCATGTCCAAATCTGCCAATCTCCTGCATCTTGGGGTCTTTGGGCCAAGCGCCAACCGGAGCCTACAGAGTTTGGCCAGGTTAGTTCTCATCGCTTATGTACGGAAAATCAAAGCGTTCACATACCTTAAAGTCCCAGGTTTTTATGTCGACGAACCCTGCCTCTTCCATGCCCTTCTTTTGAAGATCATCATCAATAATAGTAAAAGTTCTTCCTAGCTTTTTACCACCTTCAATAAAAAACTTTCCCCATTCGTTGATGGCACTGCCCTCTTGGACGCTATCGTCGTCACTCTCTAAGCGAGGTGAGGCCTCGAAGCTTTCGACCCAACCACCTGGTGCGCAAGCGCGGTATGCTTCTTGGAACAAAGCACCCCAGTCACCGATAGAGCCGTATAGGTAGCGCATATGAATGAAATCGAAAGTATCGGGGGAGAATGTCCATGATTGGGTACAGTCCTCAATTTCACTAGACCACTGTCAGTGATACAGAACCTGGAACTGACCGAGGCCCTAAAACGCCACAGAACCAAAACAACTTACAACTTAACGTTTGGTGGTATCCAGCTTGGCTGGATCGGTGAGATATCGGTTCCTATCACTTCGGCATTGGGGTGTTCATCTGCGAAATCGCTACAGACGAGTTAGCTTCGGACAGCCAATTCCTTTCACATGCTGACATACATCGCCCAGATACCTGTACCGGTGCCTACATCTAGAACAGACTTCACAAGACTCAGCCCTATAGTTTTGCTTGTAACGAGAGAGTCAAACCTTGATATCGTCCTTGACCGGAGCTAAATGAAGCTTTTCATCAAGTGCCAGGAGGAGGTAGTGATGACTGGAAACGCGTTAGTCATTGACAATCGGAACACCTCAGAGGTCCTGACATGATATCTATCGCTTCGTTCTGCTGAGCATCGTTGGATGCCCTAAGAAATTTGTAAGTACGCAAACACTCGTCTGAGTCAATGACGAGCTTTACCAGTATTCTGCGTTGCCCCTCTCCGAATGGTAGGTTCTTCCCTTGATAGTCCTATAGTTCAAGATGCTAGAAGACATAGAAGCCGTGGAAGACTCAACATCACTCTCAAGCGTGGAGTCAGTGTCATCATCGTGGGGTTCCTGGGGTGCGGGTTAGCTCACGATCCTTCTAAAGGCGACTACATTTCAGCTTACCTGCGCTAAGTTGGCCCAGTGCTCAGCAGTTTGAAGACCCGCAGCATCCGCAGCTTCGCGATCAGCCCCAGACCTGTGTGACTTTTGCGACACAGGTGACCTAGGCGATTGTTTAGGAGAAGGTGCAGCAGCAGGATCAGTGGTATTGGCCATTGTTTTGTGCGGTTGGTCGTCTACGTTGGCAAATAACTCGATTTGTCCAACGCGCAATTTCTTTTCGTGAGAAGGGGGCCTTGCGGGGTTGGTATTGAAATGAGATTTTGCTCGGCTAATTGCGGATCATTACTGTAACAGTAAGAATCAGATCATGGGATTCATGTGCTGGGGTTTTGCTGAACTGGGGGTCAGCTTTCGTATCCTTGGCGAATACGACCTTTGCTTTTTGTGAAGAGACCAAAGCGAAGACAAACTCTACTGATGGGGTCAGGATACAAAAACGTGGCGGACGATACGTGACTCAAATACCTAGAAGCAATTGATTGGAAAACTCTTTGGGCTAGCTATTTATGATTGTACCCGATGTCGAGAGATCAGGTATAATAAGACAACGCGTGGGGTTGGATATTTAAGTCCCCCACTGACGAACTTTCAGACCCAATGAATGTGAGCCTTTCCTAACACCTCATCTAGCCAAGAGTTTAGACATCAAGTGCAAAACGTTGGCATGGAAAAGCCTATTATAGCTCTCAGTCTTGTCTAGATACTCTACTATATGTAATTAAGGAATTTCAAGTCCCTGCTTATTCCCGTGGAATTCTAAAGATGGGATACTCCATACCTGTCTCAACCGGAATGATGTTGAACTTGACATAGCTATCAATGTTCTCAGGCTCAAGCGCAATGAAAGCCAAAGCTGCATTTTGCTGCCTGGTGCTTACATAGTAACTTCCAACAGGTAGCACAACCTCTCTTGTCGTAGTGTTTGTTGTGACCGTGTTCAGGTAAGTTCCCTCATACAAGCTGGGCTCAACAACGGAAGACTCGATGACCATGGTCTCGAGAGTCTGTCTGAACTCATAGTCCAACTTCTCAACCTTGAGTCCGAGAATCTCAAGTCTCTGGGCGACATCGATCCACGTTCTTGGGATGATGTAAGCTTCAGGCCTGGCTCTTGTGAGGTTTGCGATAGAGGGTGTTGTGCGCTTGAAGTCAATTGGAACCTGGACGACACTTCCGTTTCGTTGATCGACCATAGTGAATGTTCTTTTCTCAGGAACATAAGAGTCTGTGATGACGATGTCTTCGTCGCTGTTGATAAACTCCTTGCGAGCGTCCTCAACGACAGACTTGACCTTGTCGGCATTATCTCTTGCAAGTTCAAGGATGGTCTGGATTTTGATGAGAGCAGTGGCTACACGACGCTGGAAATGCTGGTCGGCGATACGGATACCGCGCATCTCGAGCAGGAAGGAGATAGTCTGAGTCAGGCCAACAGCATTGCGACCAGTTCGTGCCTCAGTGACAGCCTCGGTGAATTGTATTCTCGATCCTTCAGTGCGATTGGAAGCGCCAGTGACATAAGGCTCCCAGCGGAGACCATAGGACTCGAGCTTCTCTCCGACAGCAGGGATGAAGAAGTCAAGAAGTTGCTCTCGGATGTTGGGGTGGATGTTCGGGTTGATGCCGCCGGAAAGCAGAGCATCTGATCCGTGCTGGTAATTTCCTCCGTAGACGGTGGGAGCAGTGAATTCGTCTTCTCAAGAGTCAGTAACCTTGGTTAGAGAGGAAGAAAAAAGCAAAGACTTACGCATGTCCAGAGCGATATGGGGGTTCCACTCAGAAATGACCTTCTTGATCTCTCTTGACTGACCACGCATGAGCTTGAGGTGCTCACGGTTCGGGTCCAGATTGGAAGAGAGCTGTCTCTGAAAATAAGCAACGCCATCCACGTTGTACCGGGGAAGGATCTTAATGTCCATCTTCTCCAGAATAGAAGCAGCCCACTCTGGCTCAGCATCCATCTTGCCTAGGAATGCAAGGACGGACTGATCAGCAGCCGGCTCGTTTCCATGAATGGCGGCCTGTAGATATACTCTGAGCTTGTTACTGCTCGAGTTGGTACTAGGCTCTGACAGAAAGACGTATGGAATTGAGCGGCCTTCCTCGGACTGGAAGGCGGCGGACTCGTAGGTCATCCAATCATGCTTTCGTGCCAGATTGCGAATGAAGTAGTCTGGTCAATAGTATTAGCGAAGAGAACGAGAAGTTGGCGGAAGATTCTTTCGTACCAAGTTCAATGTCATCCGTAGGCCCCTCTGTACCGTTGGCAAACCGAGCAGGCACTGTCTCGGGGTTTAGAAACGCAGGAGACCGAAGAGTGATATTGACGTCAGGAAAGTTGGCCGCAACAAGGTCTGAGTCCTTGATGGTAGGCGTCCAATTCTCTCCATATTGAAGACCGGTCTGGATACCACCGGATTGGGCCGTGGCAGTGGACACAAGTGCCGCTAAGGCATAAAGATGCTGGACCATATTGTTCACACTACGAGCCATGATATCACTGCTAGAGCATAAGGGAACCGACAGAGACCCAAGTAATCGGGGAGATGGGCCGTTGTTGGTTTAAATACACCCTAGCATTAATCGTCTGTCCATCGCGTCGACCTTCCTCCAACAATCCCCGGATCAAGCCGGAGCTTATTCTGAACCCGTATGTTGCATACCAAGGATGTTCATGCTGTCTAGCAGCATCGTGACATCAACTATTGATTGTTGAGCGATCAACTCCGCGAACTAACCAAATTCATGAAAAGAATTCACTGATGAATTGAGGGGTCAAGCTTGGCATTGACCTTTCCAGCGGAGACAAAATAAGCGATGGCGTTGATGGACGACAAGTATTACTGCTTTAGGGAGGTGAGTAGATAAGCTTAACTAGAACTCCACATTGCGAGTTAAAGCCGGTTTTAGGGCGTAACGTAACAGTGGGTGATGCTTTGCCCGGTGTTGCGCGACTTCCCCTCATTCACTTGCAGGTGCCTGTGGAATCTGTTGCTAATAATGCTACACTCCAGTTTGTTTGGGCTTGCCTCCTGAATGGACAGGCCAATTGAAGCGGCAGTGAAGGAAGCCAAGTTGGATAAGGTTTCCTACGTACTACACTTCGGCTTTCTCTTGTGGCTAGACAAGAGCTTTTCAACGCCGCAAAGCTGATCTGTGGCATTTGTTTGCTTAAGCACTATATCGAAAAGCTGAAAATAAATAGAAAGCTGTGTATTTGACTTATAAAGATATCACAAGTTGATATTAAACTTAAAGGAAGGCAAAAGCTTTCTGGGCACGTTGACGATGAAGTTAATAGGTCTCTTGATAGAGGACCTTGAAGAGAACGGAGAACCTAAGAAAAACTTGCTACAGCCTATGAACTCCTGGCAATAAGCTTAAAGCCTTAGCCACTATCCTGTATCTCGAATGCCTCATTTATTATCCGAGTCCTGCACCCCGTGAGTGACAGGCTCAACATCGATATCGGTACTGGCAGGCGCCTCAGGAACCAGTCGAATCAGAAACACCATACTAGGGATAGTAAGTAATAGAAGACCTGCGTTGACATAGAACGGGATTCTCGCATCTGATCCAGTCTTGGAATTGATAGCATACGAGACAGCTTGTCCTGCAGTTTCAAAAGCTCGGAACAGACCGCCAGTGCGGGAAGAGGAGCCGACGTCGGTAGAGAACGTGCCGAGAATCCAGTAGATGGAAAGTTGGCACCAGTAGCCGGTCGAGAACATAATGAGGTATGGCAGGTAAGCTTCGACCCATCTCTTGGTATGTCTGGGAGAAAAGTTAGTATTGTTCCGAGGACGTGGGTATTGGAAGGACATACAGCTTATAGTCCAATGCGTCAGTAGCCCCGCCGCCAAACTTGCTGTACTCAATGCCGATCCAGATGAAGCATGCAGCTTGAGGAATAGCCCAGAAGGCGAAAGCAATCCAGGCTCGCTTCTTCTGTGACCAGTGAGCAGTGTCGAGAAGCTTTCCGTACGCAATCACCATGACGATAACAAGGCAGGCTGGACGGTCACCATAGGTTAGTATCTGTTGTCTTCAAAAGAAAGACGAAGTATACTTACGCATGACCATAGAAGACAATGCACGAGCTCGGACGGAGAAATGCAGGTTCAGATATGTACCCATACTTCCTCCATAGAAGAAGGAGTAAAAGGCGGGAACAAACATGAGCCAAGTCTAAACCAAGTGTTAGATATATCGGCAGCTAGCGGCTCGGGATGGAGAAAGTCACCTTTGGTCGCTGCATGTGCTTCCACAAAGCATTGAACTCATGCTTCCAGGTTGATTTTTCGCTCATTGGGATTTTGGTACCATCAGGGCGGCGGACTCGTCTTGTTGGTGTAAGCAAGAGAGCCCAGAATGGACTTGTGCATTCTGTGTTGGCACCGTTAGATCGCACCACCAACAACGGTAATAGTGAGACATACCAAACGCGACAAAGATGAGATAAGTCGACAATGCAATGCCGCCTGCATTTGCTTTACTGTGGTTGTTGGAGAAGTTGATAGCACCACCCATTACACTACCAGAGTTTCGCATGGCAGACCAGATACCTATGATAGGACGAATCAGTCAAGAGTTATATGGGAATTACCAGAGCTCTACGAACCTAGATAGAAACCTCGATCGTTCGCCTTGGGGTATGAGAGCATGGCTGTACTTTCGGCGACATATAGGAAACCTAGACTGAAACCAGTGATCACCTAGAAACCATGTCAGATGCGTTACATGTCTCGGGCGATTGCGCCTACCTTTGCCAGAAGCAGATACCAGTCAACGCCATACTTTGCACTGACGTACCAGCCTGAGCCCAAAAGAGGCATCGCTACACCGGAGATCACGCAAGACCACTTGATACCGATCTTGTTGATCAAAGGGCCTCCGAAGAGAGTGATCAAACAACCAGATATGTAGTTCAGCGATGTCGCGAGGTTTCCCAGGTATGGTGTCGAGAGACCTCCGCCGCCGAGGTTGGAGATGGCGTCGTTCATAGCTGGGCCGACAAACGACAGTCTGTAGCGACATGCGTTAGTCATATGGATCGGGGTGTGTGAGAAGGAATGAACGTGAACTTACGTTCCGAACATGATCATTTGGAACAGAACACCTCTGTAGAACTTTGTGGTCTTTGAGGCGCGGAGGTAGGCCTCGTCGATCTCCTCCGTGAGTACCTCGCCATCATTGTAGCTGGTAGTGTGGTCAAGAGCATTCTCATCAACAGTCTTATTGTCGTCTTTTGTGGTTGTGGTCGCCATGATGGGTAGACAAGGACAGGAAGTTGGGACGAAGCGATGTCCAGCTTCAAGATTAGAGGATCCGCACGCTTTAACTATTATATAACACCAGAAGGGACAAACCGAGACGTGATTGTAATAGAAGAAATATCATTGGCTATCTAGAAAAGGTAATGTTGAGCTAAATCTTCATGGTAACATAGACTATTGTCGGGGAACGGTGGAATGGCCCCTAAAGCGTTCATCAGACCGAATCAGTCTCAAAGGCCCTAGGCTAACAGGCGAAATACCGGGCAGGCAAGGAAGTAAGGACAGTGACAGTATAGTGCGCTATACTCGAAACGTTTAGACCTTGATATGTAGATAAGCAATACTCGGATATCCTTCTTGTCAGTATCAGTTGGAAGATACTACGCGAACATCTTGCCTCTTGGTCGAAGCTCTGATAACCGGACCGGTGACAGATCTTGGAGATATGACGCTTTTGAGGGGTTATCAAGCTTGGAATCTTGATTGCAGTCCGGGGAAAGGGTCTGGGGTATCGTTGATAATGCATGAACGTGTTTCCGTGTTATCTACGGGGTGCAAGGCAACAAGACAAGGACTCCGTTACCCCGCAGACAACCGGGCCGGTTCTCATGGCAGTGCAACATCTGTAAGTTGTAAATCTTACTGGGGGGCTCATCCTTGTTCTTCGGTTATGGTTCTCCGTAATTTGTAATCTCTTAAACTTTCGGTAGTTACCTCTGCACGCCGAGCTATCGTTATAGGCGATAAGAGAAGTGGATCTTATCTAATTACGGGCCTCATATCCGGCTCACATAAAAAGGGCCTAGTCTCTTGTCACTGATTGATAACAGAGATACTCGATTCATGTACAGCCATTGACTGATTGCCAAAGCCAAGCCATGCCTCCTTCTCTTTTGCCCGTTGATAATTCCACAACCTCATTTTGGAGGTCGGACCCACATGCTCTGGACAACCATCGATCAACTCCTGAACTCCCATCTCAGGTTGACATCGCCGTTATCGGCTCTGGATATGCTGGTGTTGCGACAGTCTACAACATTCTAGAGCAGTGCAAGGCAAAGGGCATTTCACCACCTAAAATTGCCATTCTTGAAGCCCGTCAAGCATGCTCCGGGGCCACCGGCCGAAATGGTAAGTCATCCAAGTGCTCAGTGGTAACTTGACTCCACTAATGCTGCGTAATAGGCGGTCATCTCAAGCCCGATCCTTATAGCAGACCCGCCGGCTTTGTTCCTACCCATGGCGTTGAGGCAGCAGCTGAGGTGGCCGAATTTGAGGCCAAGAACCTCACCGCTGTCAAGAAAGTCATTGAGAAGGAAGGAATTGATTGTGACTTTGTCTACACTCGGGCAATTGATGCATTAATGTCTGATGACATTTTTCAGAAGATTAAATCCGGCGTAAAGTTGTTGAAAGAGAATGGAGTTTCTACCATTGACGATGTGCACTTTGTCGAAGGGGCGAAAGCAGAGCAGGTAAGCCATCCCCAAAAATACCATCAACATCATCGCTCACATTACTGACTACCTTTTCTTCAGTTCTCTGGTGTCAAAGGAGCAAAGGGCTGCTTTTCTTACACGGCAGGTCACCTGTTTCCATACAAGCTCATCGTTGGACTGCTCTCCAAAGCGCTCGACGCCGGTGTCAATCTGCAAACAAATACGCCTGTCTCTAAGGTCACCAGAATACCTGACTCAGACGGCCTCTTGACGATAACAACTCCCCGTGGCGAGATCCGTGCAGCGAAGATCGTGTACGCGACCAATGCATACACCTCAGCCATCCTGCCCGAGTTCACCGATAAGATTGTCCCGGTACGGGGAATCTGCAGTCATATTGTACCTGGCAAGAGTCCAGGGCCCTCACTAGCCAACTCTTATATCATTCGTTGGTCGGATACGAAATACGAGTATCTTATCCCTCGAACAGATGGAAGTATTGTCGTTGGTGGCGCCAGGTCGATGTACTACCATGATCTGGATAGCTGGTACAATAACGTGAACGATGATAGCTTGATTGATCTTGCAAAACATTACTTTGATGGATATATGCAACGTGTTTTCCGTGGATGGGAAGACAGCCGTGCGATTACAAGCAAGGTTTGGACTGGAGGTAAGTTACTAAACCTCGGTACTTACCAATGGCAAGCAGCTAACAATTGTGCAGTGATGGGATATTCATCCGACGGTTTGCCCCATGTCGGTCAGATTCCTGGAAGACAAAATCAGTTTGTCATTGCGGGGTTTAGTGGTCATGGCATGCCGCAAATCTTCCTGTCAGCTAAGGGAGTTGCGTCGATGATCATGGATGAAGCTGATTACAAGAGGTCTGGTGTCCCAAAACTCTACCAAGCAACGCAGGAAAGACTCGACAGTTCTAAGAACACGATCCTGGATAATTGGGAGGCTGTTCAAAAACGAGAGCAGGCGAGCAAGCTGTAGCATTCTAGCTTAGAAGGATATTCTTATAAACCAGATTATGCCTTTGTTAAGTATTCTTAAACTGCACCTTGTTACTCCTGGTTCGCCGGAAAAGAAGCAACTCTGTGGCTTGCTTGTCTCTCCAATCCGGTAAGTTATCCCTGGTGATAGCCTCCAGCCCCACAGGTTCGAGTGGTAGGTGGAGCACAACAACAACCCCGCAGTTTATCATTGTCACTGGAGATGTTACAAAGGCGTCAAATGACATCCCAAAGACAGATCGCCATAGCTCTTATCTACTGTTAGTTAGCCTAGTAAACGGATTTCCTTCTCTAGTCCTACCAAGGTTCGGAGTGCCCACCTCCGCTTTTATACGCTTTTAGTCTGTTTCTCTTGATAACCGAAACCATGCTCGGCTTCATGTCTCCGCTTTTGATAAGCGGCTTGCGTATACCGGCTGTCTGTCGTCAAACTACCCTATGTAGCTACTGAACCACGAAATAGCAAAGATGGAGCGTCCAAATCAGCCCATTGACGATGCCACGGTTCTCAAGCGTGAGAAGTTTACAGTCAAAACGTTGTCTCAAAGTACAGCCCGTTAGTGCCCTCAACTATCCACCTAAAACCTCATCTTGTAGTTACTGACAGGGTGGTGGCAGATTACTCTGGGGAGTTCTCACATTGGAACTTCTCGCACAAAGTCCGTCAAAAGGTTGGACACTACCTAGATGATGCCGAGCCGTCACTCAACGGCAATGATGATCCGCGACTGGCTTCGCCCAAACCCAAGTATGTCGAATACTGGCGCGCTACACAGCTGCAAGGGTCCGCCTCTCGGGTTCGGGGTATCCTCAACATCCTACCCCCAAAGAGTATAGCAATGTTCCTTGCACGTATGTATTTCAGTTTTGCCCAGACGAACTCCTTCTTCGTTCACGAACCATGGCTGTATGATAACCTCAATCTCTTGTATGAGAAGCCGGAGGCTGTCACGGCTAATTCGACGACCTGCGTCTGCTCTGTGATTCTAGTGTTGGCTATCGGCACTCAGTTTGCGCATATGGGATCCGGTGACTTGGCCGTAACTACGGCAGGTAACAGTGAGGAGGAGATTATGGAAAGAGAAGCAGGGACCGTATTCTACGAAGCAGCCACTACACTCTTGCCAGATGTTATCACCATGGCGTCACTTGAAAGTGTCCAGGCATGCCTACTCTTGGCTCACTACACGTTACCTTTAGACGCACATGGATTGGCATATACATACCTGGGGCTCGCTATCAAAATGGCCATCCAAAACGGTATGCACCGAAGGCCTCGAGGTGTCGAGCTTGACAGCTGGACAGTTGAGATGAGAAACAGACTTTGGTGGACATCGTTCACTCTTGAAAGGTAAACATAGGCGTATCTGAGACTTGACGAGGGACAATTTGCTAAGCTGTCATTACAGACGCGTGAGTGTGCTACATGGTCGACCAGCTTCCATCACTGCCATGGAGATGGATACAGAGCTGCCACAAGATCTGCCAGAGTTTCGACATGATGGACAGGTATCTCATTACGAGAACATGATGGCCATGATACATCTGACTGGCAATCTTGGAGATATTGCTACAGCCTTGTGTGTATATCCCAGTTTGCCTCGAACTCGCGATCTAATCGTTGTTGCAGAGCATTCCTCAAACGATGCCCCAAACATTTACAATCCACCTATTTTGATAGGATCTTGTTGATCCGTGAGAAGCTTTCCGCATGGTGGTCATCCCTCCCAGAAGATGTCCAGACACCATCTGAGTCATCGCCACTTTTCCGTGCAAATGCCCACCTCAAGCTCAACTACCACCTCGTTCAAATCTTCACTGGTAGACCGTTCATCTTTCTCGAATCGTCACCATTGAAGGACACGGGCAACAGTACCCCTCGTCAAAGCCGGCGGGCTATTCTCGTATCAGACGCTCTCGAAGCAGCATTCGACACCATAGACTTACTAGAACATCTCCACGAAACTACTGGCCTGGCCCGAGCAAGCTATACTGAATTTAGTTCATGTCGGGCTTCACTTCTATTAGTTCTCGCTCACAGTCTCAACCACAGTAATGAACGGTCGAGAATGGCGGTGCGGCAGGGCATGAGGTTTATCAAGGCCATGTCCGTGGGGAACAATATGTCGACTAAATCGGAAGCGTCCCTGATTGAGACGATAGAAGCGGCTGTCCGGCGTATCTATTCACGAAGAAGTTCCTCATCAGGGGAACAGCGAGTGGATAATCAGGAGCTTCACAGTAGTTATGATAGATTCAAAGAGTGGACTACACTATTCGCTGGAGGTGGCACCTTCGCTACAGAGTCCCCCTCTGTTTCGAACTCATCGGGGGCTAGTAATGGTGCAGCAGCTGGGTGGCATGATGAAGCCACGGCGATGGCCGATCTTATGAATTGGACAGAACGTATGGACGGTGATATAGAGACGAGAGTCTCCGTTGATGGTTTTTCCGATGGTCAGGTCAACTTGATGGACACAGATACTCTTGAGATCAATTGGGATGATTTTGGCTGGCATGGAAGTACGTAGATGTTATACCACAATGGCTGTATCAAAACTTGAGTCGCAATCAGATTATTTGTTTCTCTGGAATCTGTTTTCTGTTCTAGAAGCCCTGGCAAGCCATCAAGATCAATTGGAGCAGCAGCGAAGAGAAGTAGTGGTATGGACTCTGGTCCCAATGCGATATGATAAACGATCGGCAAAACAGAGCCCGAAGCAGCTGGGTGTCACGCCCACTCTGAACCCTGCAAGGAGGGGAGATTCCTCAAGCGTCCGAATACCGGTCCGGCGTTATCAGTCCCATTGTGGTATCGATAACCTTAGCGAGACCTCCGCACCGGACCGGTGCTGCGCGGGGAAAGCTAGATCAAAGTTAAACGATAGATAGCGTTACAGGGACATGATGGAACCTTGGGAGCTTCATCTTGCATTTCCGATGTGGGGAAGGAAAGGACAAGATACGTGGCGCAAAATGCCGCAGACGTACGTTGTCATTCTATTTAATCCGTATCCTGAATAATTGACTTGATTTGCATCAATCTATCGCAACTATTCCCTTTCCATACCCTTACCTCATTTGTACTATCAACATGTCATCCAGTAAGAACGTTGTCTTCGATGTCGTCGGCACCCTCGTCAGCTTCGACCATCTCTACGAAGCAATTGAAGAGCGTCTTGGCGAGAAGCTTCGCGCCCGGGGTATCCAGCCGAAGCTTCTTGGCTGCTGCTGGCAAGAAATGGCCGAGCGAGAATACACCTACCTCTCTCTAGCCGGCCGCTATAATATCTTCTTCAACGTCTTCAAGCCTCTGTTCTTCCGCTGCCTACACTACGCCGGCATTGAAAAGCCGCATGAATTTGCGACAGGGGAGGATGTTGACTATCTGATCAGCGAGTGGAAGAACTTGAGATTGAGAGAAGGTGCCGCTGAGTGTGTTGCCAAGCTTCGCGATGCAGGCTTTACCGTTTGGTGTTTTACCGCTGGAGATATTGCTCGCGTAGGAGGATACTTGGCCAAGGGCGGCGTGGATATGCCAGCTGAGAATTTACTGTCGTGCGACACAGCAGGAGTAGCGAAGCCTATTCCCGAGGCTTATGCACCTGTTTTTAAGAAGCTTTCTTCTGATGGTAGCAAACCTTGGTTCGCAGCTGCTCATCTTTGGGATTCCTCGGCGGCTCAGACTGTTGGGTAAGTGCACTACCTTATGACCGTCAGTATCGATTCACTGACTTTTTGCAGATTCAAGACGGCTTACTGCACGGCACTAGAGGGCGAGGAGTTACCTGATATCTTTGGCAAGATGGACGTTGTTGAAGAAACATTGCCCGCTATGGCAGACAAGATTATCGAGGCTGCCAAGTAGTAGAAGGATTCCTCACAAATTAGTTTATGTAATAATAAATCCATCTTGCAAGACTGCTCAGCCACTCCGAGTTTTGACAAATGATCGACAGCCCTCAACGCATGTTAGATAAGCTTACACTACAAATATGCTCCGTCGATAGAACAGCAAAGAGGTAAACATCTAACTTAAATCTTACTTCGGGATGATCTCCAGCCACAAAGGATCTGAATCTTACAAGTCTTATAACGTGCATCGTTGGGCTATATCTAACACATACCTTGACTGCGGTTAAGCATGATCGCTAGTGCTGAGTTTATTCTGGACGACCTCGCGTTTGCAACAGCGATGATCCTTCACTCTCATTACATGGGCATAGTGACGTCTATAGTTGTTTTAAACGAATTCTGAATACTCTTCGTAAAAGAGACCAAACACTCGAGTTTTAGCCTTGTAGACAAACAAATCAAGTTCCCGCAGATCCATTGACAACTACTTCAAAATGCGTCTCGTCCTAGTCCAAGCTCTCTTCTGCACCTTAGGCCTCGGCCTGAGCGTCTTTCCTCGCTCAAAGACCAATATCGGCCCTTTCAAGAACCCAGAGATCACACCATTTCTTCAGCTTGACCTTGCCGTCGGTCGCGAAACCAATGTCACCGCACCCGAGAACAATTTGATCATGGCCCCCAATGTCAAAGGCGGAAAGGTGACAGGCGCTTTTGAAGCTGATATCCTTCCTATTGGGGCATCGATTGAGAGAGGGGTCAAGACCAAGCTGGGCGAAAACAGCGTGAGTTCTCCTTGGACTTGGTGGTAGTGTTATTCTAACTCACGTAGTTTTATACCAATTGGTATATTCTTCAAACCGCGAACAATAATACGATCGGTCTTGAGGTAGACGTCATCGTTAACTATCGCAACAATGCACACCATAGCTTTGGCTTTGGGTTGGTTCCTCCTTGATATTCTCTAATGGTGCCGACATATGATACTGACAGGTGGCAGCAAATTCACAACGGATATCCCAGATCTGCTGTATCTGAATTACAATATGTATCTTATCGAGGTCACCGGAGATTTCAACACAGGCGGCGGGGCGGGGCAGATCTTTGCGCTCAAGTCTGGTGGTCGAAGGGATGGTGAGCCTATCACGGCGCTTCTACCTGTAGGAGGGAAGGATTAGAACCCGACAAGATGCTGAAAGATTTGTTTTCAGATGTCATTATTTGGTTCCGGTGTCTGTTGCATATCCCAAGGTCTGTGTATACAAAATAGTTTATCATAAATCATCAAAGCTCTATGCATCTTCTATTCTATAACCAAACTATGGTTCCCTTCTGCTCTTTCATCTCTGCTTCAAAGTCGACGCAATAACAGCAGCACCAACGCCACTACCGGGCGAAAGCATAAACTCAACATGGTCCTTCCTCGACTCAGGCGCAGCATCAGAAGCCAGAATCTCACTAACAGCCTTCGACAGCTCCAACTGGAAGTGAGGGTGTTTCTCAAACAGTGATCCCTCAACGCCGACGTGGCAGGTCTGAATGTCACGCTTTTGGCAGATGGCTGCTACACCTGTGGCTGATAGACGAGCAGCACGGGTGGTGATTAGTTTGGCGATTGCTTTCATGAATTGGAGCTCGGGTTGCGTTGGGGAGATGCCGAGACTTGATACGCATATGTCGTAGGCTTGACGTAGACCTTCTGATGTATCCCTGGTGATGTTAGCTAAATGGCTCATGGTAGTTCAGATTCTCAGACTCACTCTTCGATAGCAGACAGGAAAGAAGAGTCAACACAGTAAGGATCATGCAATATCTCTGTACTTTGCCCATTCAAGAAAGACTCCGGATCTCTCTGATGAATCTCCAGAACAACACGACGGAACAGCTCGCCCAAGTAGAGACCTGCGACCATCTTTTCAAAAGCCTGCTGTCCTTTTCTCGGGGACGCCTCATCAATGGCAATGTCATACGACGTCAAAGGCAGCACGGCGTGCTCATTGTCAAAAGCGCCCCATTCACAGTTGATAGCCATGAATTCTTCACCATTAAGGTTATCGTTCGCAAGCTTGGGAATAGCATCGATCTTCTCGAAATAAGCACCGTTGCAACCTGTTCCAAAAACACAACCGATGGCCGTTTCGGTGTTGAGATACGCAGATGCCATCATTGTCGCCGTTGTGTCGTTTGTTACGACTTTGACTTTCAGTGGCAGACTCTATCATGTGTCAATTCCCTGTCTGTCTTGCGGCTCATGCGAGCACTTACCTTCTTATCAATAGCTCGTCTTAACGACGCAGCAGCATCTTGCCCCTCGCTATCAGCCACGTTGAACCCCTTCGTCCATCTCTGCAGGATTCCCTCATCTATCGTTCTCTGCGTCGTAGGGAACGAAAAGATAAAGCTCAAATCTGTCTCAATACTCAAGTCGAAACCAGCGTTGCGGAGGAACGACTCAAGATGTCCCGCAATAAAATCCCAAAGCTGGTCAGCCTTTCCAGTCCTGAGTTCGTCGGGCAGTTTGTGTGATTCTTGACGGATTTCGAATCCACACTTTTCACTGGTGAGTTGAATGGAGTATACACGTAGGTTTGTGCCGCCCATATCGAGAACCAGGTACTTTCCCGTCTCATTGCCATCGGGATAGTTCATCACCCATGTTGGGTTCATGGGAATGCTGCCGCCTGTGACACTCAGTCCTACAGTCTCTGTTAGCCCATAGTCTCATTTTTGGGATGACGAAGTGTTACCTCTTTCCAGTTCCTGGACAAAGTGGTCCGTGACATCTTTGAGCTTTGTTGTGTCGACAGTAAAGTCTTGTTCAAGCTCGTCAAGGTAAGCCTTGAAGTCCGCCATTTCTTCAGCAAGCATTGGATCTATAGTTTTAATGATATTTACAGAGCCAAGATTGAATGAGAACTTCGTACGCAGAGTAGATATACATTCCTGAAGCCAGCAGTTGCATCACTCCATAGAAGTCCCGTAATCGGACCGGAGGATTTGTGCCAGGACTTTTGACCACTGTGAGATTACAATGACGTCAATTCCACTTCAAAACCCTTCCAAGACCCTCTCTCGCCATCTCTCTGACTCTATGCACCTTGTTTTCTTCTTCATCATCGCCTTACTCGCAATGGTTTCGTGTTGACATTCCGGTGTCAAAGCTCCGGGATAAATGCTCCGGCCCAAAAGCTCCGGATGACAAGATTGGCTGTCACTCAGTCATCATTCTCGTCTAAAAACAACGTCTCATTTTACTGCAAGGGCTCGGCGAGATGGCGATTGGAGGTGCCTTATCGCTCTTATCACCCTTATCGTGCTTATCACTAGCCCTTCCCACTGTCAAATTTTAGACTCAAATTGCCTTTGACGTCACCTCGATTGTCTTGTATTGCAGTATCCACTACTCTGTACTTTCTGTTGCATTAAAACATCCGATGCAATGCCATACGCTGGTATTGCGGTAATAATCTCGTTCTTATTGTCATCTCCTGCATTGAACCATGCAACGTGCGATCCTCAGGACGAGAAATATGTCTTGAGCTACGACTACGTATCACCTACGCAATTGGCGTGTGAAATTCTCATGCAGCCATGCTAGGTTGGGATATCATAAAGATACGCTGGACTAAACACATCAAAACGCAATGATCCAATAGACAAATATAATAAATAAAGAATCTGAACTCTAAAACTTTCATATGACAGTGATATTATTTCAAATGGCAACTTCTCAATATTCATCCTTCGACCTCCTTTCTATACCCTGTAGCTTTTTGAAGCACCATACCAATTTTCATCAATATCTCACCCTCCAACTTGAAAACGAAGCCATCAATCGCTTCAAAATTACATATGCTTTTTATCGGTGAATGCTTCCAGCGCGTTGACGAGCAACACCATGTTGACTCTCACTATGCCTTCTTTCAATACCCCAGTCCTGCTCCTTCGTATGCTCCGGAAGTGCCGGCTGTCCGCCCAGACTTGCAAGAACAGCCTTGTTAGTGGCCGTGAAGTCATCAAGGATCTGGAGTTCTTCAAGGCTGAACCAGCGAGGCACGATGATAATGCGTAGAGGGATCAGAAGGATGATCAAAACTGGGAAGCCGATGGCTGCGAGGGTATGCGATATGGCAACACAGGCAAACACGCCGACAAGCTGAAGGCTGATAAAAAGAATAATCTTGCGCCTTCGGACGCGAAGAAGTGGCTCGTCACGTTGAATAAAGCGCTTTTCCGATTGGAGATAGATAAACTTCTGGAGAATTCCGTTGGATTCGATTGAACCCCACTGAGATCTGTATTAGCGACGATAATTTAAACCAGAAAACCAAGATGCGAAGGCCTCTGATGTATTGGAGGGTGGAACTTACACCGACGACAAAGAACACACCAGCAAAAACAGCAGCTGGCATGGTATGAAGAACCACTAAAAGAGGACCAGTCATGGTTCCAATCAGACCCAAACCCATAAGGAAGTGGGAGACACGTTGCTCAACCACCGCTGTAGCTTTTACGATAGGCCGGCGGATCTCGGTATCTTCAACTTCAGAGGTTGGAATAATCTTTAGTTCTGTCTCGTAGATAGTAAGGGAATCTGTGTGGACAGGTGCCTGATGAGATGTTAGAATAGTCACAATACGCTGACCAAACTGATACATACCTGCGGGACGAGGCCGTTGGGCATTGGCAAACCGAGAATACCAGAGACAAACGTCGTGCAACCAAGAAGGAAAAAGTCCCAGTGGAAACCACCAGGCTTCTTGAGAGGATACTGACGGGCCTGGGCAGTGATGCTGCTGACGTTCTGTGCACCAAACCATTAGTTTTTCCCTGAGAGATCGAGATCATGTCAACGTACGTGATCATAGTAGAACAGAAGCATAGTTAAGAAGCCAAATGGCATAGCAACAAAGACCCATTTGACATCCAAGTTCCAGAAGTCGATAAGCCAGTCCCTGGGCTGTGTTGGGTAGAATGCTTTGGTAACGGGCACACGCTCGATATGCGTTGCGTTGAGTCTCCCAGGGAAGTGAGAAAACCCGACCCAGAAGAGTGTGGGAAACTGTAGACAAGGTTAGACTGTTATTCGGGTCGGATGGGCTTTACTCACCACATAGGCATAATCCGCGAGAATGGTTCGAACTCCTGCTTTCCATACGGTACTAGACCCAAGTTTCTCAAGACCGTAGACTGTACCAAAGTATAGGATGGCAATGATACAAGCGAGATATCCTGCCGCAGATCCTTCTTGGTCGAATTCGTTCACGAGTTCCTCAACACCCTTGACTAAAACATTGTTAGTCACGCCATCGGTCAATTTCAAGGGGTCTTGACTTACTGATATAAATGATGCCCACATACATCCCGAAAGACTCACTCGAGAAGTCAGTCACGTACCGCATATAATCACACGTATTGAACACAGCAACGAGCCAGTGGAAGATAGCGGCCCATATCCCTGTCCAAGCCATGAACTGAGGATAAATCGAGATGTCATAGATCTTGAGGATATCGTAGATGGTAAAGTTGAACAAGGATATAAGACCTGTTACGCCGACAATGGTAAGAGGTTGGGTACTCAGTGTGCTGAATACAATGGCGGCTAGGGCTGAGGAAAAGAGGGCTTCGTTTATGCCAAAGAATTGGCCTGTTCGGCGATACATGTCGAGTGTGTAGGCTATGGCTGGGAGAAGACTGCCAAGTTCGTTAGGATCTGTGTATGTGTAGATTTGTTGTGGTGCTTACTTGACAAAGTACATCCGAATAGTACTAGCGACGACACGGTAGGTGAAGGCATCAGTGATGTCGCTCCAGTAATATGGTAGGCGACGCTTGACATCGTGGTACATTCCTCTGCCAGGATGGAAGACCCTCCATCGTCGCCAGCCTCGTCTATTATCGTAGCTATAGGATAGGTTTGTCTTTTCTTGTGTCAAAGTAGCGCCACCAGATGAGTCTCCGGGTTCTATGTCGTTGGACATGTTGAATGATGACGAGTGCAACTGGCAAAGGGATGAGGAATACAAGGAAGAAGTGCAAAAGGGAAGGAAGGCTTGACACCTAAGCCGGGTCTAGAGGAAATATGAGAGCTCTGTTCTAGTTGAAGACGAATAGTAACTCGACCGATTAGTAGCATCTCACTCATTTATGCTTACCCTGACCCGAGCACTTGGAGTCTCTTATACTTGGCACAGACCGGTGGTCCTCGGGCGTGGCGTCTCATGGAAGAAGTGGATCCATGACTACAGTATTGGCTGCAACGTTGGATCCAGACATGTTTTTTTTTCTGCCCGGGCAGTACAATCACTTGCAATATAGACACTTCCCGGTATTTGATGATTAGGTAGAATAGAAATTCGTGAATGTGATTCATAGTCATGTCGCTCGCTCGATCTCCAATTTTCTCCAATGCTCTTGTCAAACTGCTCCCATGTGCGACTGTTCCCGATTGTTCCTCCATTCCTCTCCTGGTATCCATCAGCTCAGTAATTTAGATGCCGACTCATGCCAGCATGAGTCACTTCCATATAAGTCCCATGCGCACAGCTAAATCAAGAAGCAGATTAAAATGCGGTCAATGCAAAACATCCGCTATGTCTTTCTGCTCATCTGCTGCGGCGGCGGACTCGATGAGAAATCTGCTTGATACCTGGTTAACATGGGGATTTTACATCGTAGTAAGAGTCGCATACCACTCTGATGAGAAGACCATGAGAAGTTGTAAATCCCACGTTGTTCGCCCTGGTCATGGCTCCACCCAAAGCGGTTCTTGATATCCTCTTTGAGTAATAACATCTGAATATCAAATTCGGCTTGACATTGAACGTAGTCGACCCCAGGTTTTCTATCCTCTGCATGAAAAGGCATTGAGTCCATATTGAAAGAGTTTCTGTAGCTATTTTCCTTTGTATAAAGATCAAAAAGAGAGAGAATAAATTTTACAAAGGGAAGAGTCTCTTCAAGCATGAGATGTAAGATGACCAGGGCGGTCATGTCTCGCTGTCAGATGGTTCCCCACTTACTAATCGCGGATAAAAAGGTCCTAGTCAACCAATGAAACAAGGGTATAAAGTTCCTCACAGTTGGTCCAGTGTCACGTAATCGTTACGAGGGAGCGACTCGGACTCAACATCATACGCAGAAATCCGAGATGCGATACACGGATAACTGTACCCGAATGATGTTACCGACATTCTAGAAACCGTTGTGATTGAGGACCTTCTTGAGCCAGTAGCCTGGATAATAAAAGATCCTCCCAGACCGGGATCTTGATCATTTTTTACACGATCGGCCGCTACTCAGTAACCGAGCCTGATTCTTGTTTTCTTTTCTTTTTCTCAACAGCCGAGAAAATGCCAAGATCAATCGGTATTCATCGTGTCTCGTTTATGCAGCTGTCAGCTGCGTAGTACAAAGCCATTGATATGTGAAGTCTCATTGTGCCGCGTCTTGAGGAAGAGGCGCAAACCATGGAACAAATAACAAATCACAAAGATCCGGACCTGGCGGAAGACACCCTAAATATAAGCCAGAAAACCGCCGCGGACTTTGTCCGAAGTCCCACCAATCAATGTCAGGGAATGACGACGTCCCATTAAAGTCTTGGCCCCAAAAGAGGTAAGGCCGGAAAGGTTCCAAACAGCGAGCTAGAATGTATTAAGAAGACCAGAAATTCTGCCCAAGCAGAAATTTCCATCTTCTCGACCTTCTTCCACTTTTTTTCGCCTTTCGCGCGGAAACCCTTGTCTTTCCTCGGGGGCTATCAAAAATTGCGTAATATTAGCCTATCCAAATATGGAGGTGGAGTCCCTGCGCGAAACTTTAGAAACGTCGGACTTCTTCGAGAACTTAACCGCCGCGCTATCATCCTTCCCTCTCGAAAAGTTCGGCAACCCGACGTTGGTTCTACGAGCTTTCGTCCAGGAGGGGGATAGCTCTGATGGTGACAGCTTCGGCACTTTCGAAGCCAATGAAGAAGCTGACTTACACTCGGTGCCGATTCGGCTTCTGACTTCGGTGCGTACTTTATTAATTAACCACCACTCAAACAGGCGAGGGTATCACTTACACAGGCATGAGCTCATCCTGGAGGCGAAGATCCTACGCTGACGAATCTGATTGAAGCATAAAATCCCTTTGCGCAGTAACAGCACGTGCACCAACGAACATGCGAGTCCGAGCTCCTCTTCGAGGCCAGCATCTCCGGAGGGACGTACATCAGCCAATCGGAGCGAAAATCGAAACCAAATAAGTTCCCAAAGTCGTCAAACACGGAAACGGCAGGGCGGTTTGAGGCTGGCTGCGGTGAATGGTAATGTGGCGGCAGAACAAAACGGCGTTGAAAGCGAAAGTCCGAGGCAGATGCAAGTCGGACAAGAGAACTTTCCGAAAAGAGCAAAGGTCAAACATGATGGTGTGTTTCATCCGAGGGAGTCCTCATTGGGCAAGTTTGTGGTCGGCGTTTGGGAGCAGATACACTCTGGGTTGATCCTTGAACCGCATGTTCTCTCCGAACAGGTACAGCTCACAGCTACATCGGCTGGTACTGGAGCACCTGGCGAGATTATACCGGCTGCTGCAGACGTGCAGAGCCATCGGTCAGACCAGACTTGGGAATCGTTCAGTCGGAGTAATTTGTTCTGTCGACGCGTCACACAAGCTAGCCGCACATGCCGCTCCATCGAGGTCATAGTTCAGGCACGATGGGTTGAGCTGTTTGACTCATACGTCGAGCATCTAGCCACTACTAATCCTGGCCTATCAACCACAAAGAGTCGCATGAGAGCCATAGCTGAGGCATGCGCCGATTTTGGCTGGACCGAGAAGGAGCTTCGAAACAAGATGGCCATCTGGCGAGGATATAAAGAGATCAAAGATGTCCTTGGCTGGGTTGCGTTGGTCTTCTCGGGAATGGGTCTTTATCGGCTGTGCAAGTACCGCATTGACTTTGACGTAGAAAAGTTCTCTCGAGCCCGAGCTTTGAGGATGAGGATGGAAGTTGCTGCCGACACTTTGCATCATAACTGGCGACAGCTATTGGCTATTGTGGGTGAGCCGACCGAGAGACGCTTTGTTGGACATCCACACGACTGGGTAGTCCATCAAGATGGCTCAGACCCGGTTCCTCTCCGATCGACATACCTAACATACGACCCCAACTTCACCTTTGAGCATCTTGATGAATCGGTCATCGATATCACATCATTCGGAGCCGATGACCCTCGTTGGACTCCCCCATCGACAGCGGTTTCCATACCAGGATCGAATATCTGCAACCTATGCAGCCAAGTACAATCCAACGAAGCCGCAGTCAACGCTTGCAAATGTTTTCCCAGCCTCTTCGGCGCTCCCAGATTTCCGACAGCTGTCCAAGTCTTCCGCACATCCAACGGTCGGAATAATGGTCTTCAAGCTTTGGTAGCTTTTGAAAGAGGCGTCGCAATCGGAGAGTTCGTCGGTTTGATCACCAAAGATATCGAAGACCAAGATGTTTTGGATAGCAAAGTGGGTGGAAGACGGTTTCAGATCTGGCAAGGTCGACAAGGTAACTTTACTCGGTTCGCCAACCATAGCTGCAAACCCAATGCGCAATTTGAGAAATTCGTCTGGCTGGGTACCCAGCATATCTTACTAGTAAGCAAAGGCATTGAAGCAGGAATGGAGATCACGGTGGACTACTCTGAGAGCTATTGGCGGGGTCTCGATAAGAAGTGTCTCTGTGGGGAGCCTTGTTGTCGGTACAAGAAGAATGAGAATGCGAGGTAAGCGTGCTGAGAAGTCAGAAGCCCTCAGATGCGTTAATACGTAGTGTATATACAGCATTAATCCACCAACTGCACATGAACAAAATCTTGTCGACACTCTTGGTGAAAATTCTACTCCATCATGACCGACATTTCCATCTCGAATTGGACCAAGACCATCGCTACACTAGCCGCGATGTGGTGTGCCTCAGCATCCATCTCATCCGGTGGTCCAGAAATGAGCGAGGGTTGGAACGTGCTGATGAGTCCTAACTTTGTCGTGTTGTTACTTTCAGACCAGTACGCAAACACGCCAATTATGTCCATAATGTAGACAAGCAAATGGCGGCTAAGTGGTGGCAGTTCCATGACGAGCCCCCTCACTATTTCCAATACCCTGGGTGTCTCCACATGGTTCAACTCCCGATCAATAAACGGTGTGAGTTCTGACGTAAACCTGTTGTAGAACGAGTACGGAATGATAGGCTCCGGCAGGCTTTTCAGATATCGCAAGAGGATGCCAGCTGCATCGTGAACGGTGTACCCAACCCAATCGAGACCCTTTCCATACCGTGGGGGTGAGTCGAAGGCTGCTTGCAGCTGGCGCATCCGGACAGGATTTCCAGCAGTGGAAAAAATATCCTCAACTTGAACGCCTATATATGCATGTGTGAGTAATCATATGTATAGTTTGGATGTAATGCCAACCTTTCTCCTTCAAGAATATACCTCCTTTAGCGACAACAATGGGTATATACCCGTAGATTTCTGACTGCCCCTCATCGTTGATTCGACTGATAGCAACATTCGCTGTCCTAATACTCGTTTGTAGTTCAACTCCAAACACAGGTGGTAAAGCAGCATGATCTGGTTCGGGTTCAGGCACGCGTGGTATACGAAATAGACCTTTCAGTCGATCTCGCCGCGACAGTTTTAGTGAGTCTGTCTCTTGCAGGTCCTCTATACGGATAGTGTTAGCAGCAGCAGGTGAGAAGTCATAACACTCCTTATTAGCTATATCGCTAGCGTAAATCGGAAGAGCCTGAATGCCAATGTGAGAAACCTCGGACAGACTGAGACCAGATAGCATCGACCAAGATGCCGTTCTTCCAGCTGAACTGATAATGGAAAAGGCATCTGAGTTGTCTTTTGCGGCAACTCGATAAGCTCTCGAGCTCAGAAGTATTTCCTCAAACGCGAAGCCGTAAGGGTTGCGTTGCCATTCTGGTGGCTTGTTAGAAGGGGAGTCAGGTTGAGGTACTGTATCCACTTGGGGAGTGTCTCCCACACTCAATTCGTCGAGTCGTGAGTCTATCGTGTCCTTTGGCATTGTCGCCTCATCGCGCACCTCTATCGCAACAAGCCGTTCTTTAAGAGTGGTGTCGCGTGATAGAACCTCTTCCACTAGGTCACAGAGTCTATCGACTCTGCTCTCGGCCTCTTCTTGCCTTTGACTGAGAAGGATGACGTGAGTAAGAGTTCACAATAGAAAAAGCGTGATGTTTGGATGCATACCAGGACAGTATTGTGAGCATAAGAGTCAATGATGATTTGTGGGATTCAAGCCGCACAAGCACCGCCTTGATCTCCTTATCCTTACTTGACCAACGCAGTCGATCAAGGACTTTCATCTCGGCATCGTTCTGCAAAGCGATGGCGAATGTGTCAAGTTCTGAGAACGTCGTAACACATGCTGCCAGCGTTGCGACTACCTGCTCCACCATAATGAGGGACGTTCGTGACCGGGGAGCACGACGGGCTCCCATGATGTACAGTTGTAGCGTTGTGAGGACATTTTGTATGTCGCTGACTTCCGACAAAATGCGATTGCATTCTCTGGGCGCATTGCGAGCTTTATCGATAACATTGGCGAGTATCTTTGATACCTGAGCGGCAGCCGTGACGATGCCAACGACACTGGCTGCGATGCTCAAAGGATCGGCCATTTTTTCAGACTCAATTTTCGAGGCTTCTCACTACCTTCAAAGTCTGATCTTCTGAATAGCGCACATTTTGTGATGAGATGATTGAAGATTGTTCCTGCAAAAGCGGGGTTGGTACAGCATCAGAAATGCTTATGTTCAGCTGAGTCCGTCACTCGAGGGCGTCGAGGCGCAGCTTGCATAAGCGCCCGCCTTGTGCGGACCGCCATCGGATTTAATAAGTACTGACATTTTTCGGAACGTTCCAGCAGCCCTCCGTTTCAGTCATAGGGCGGTGGCTCTTCGATGACTATAAAAGAGTTTGAAGTATATTGCATTTCTTTCATATTTCTCTATCCCAAATCTTCTCCGTCTTGTTTGCTCTCTGGTCCCATCATTACCATCGCACCCGATTGTTATTCACCCGTTTGTCTCTATAGATGGGTTTTCTTCACGATGACTTCTTCCAAGGTAGAGATCAATTCTTGGATCTCCTCGCCTATGCATAGTTAGTATTGCCTTCCATCATGTGGTCAAACACTTACGTGTATTATAGTGTGCCATGCTCACTCGCACAACTCCATCTGCGGTATCCAAGTCGAGGAGCTCCTTGACCAAGCGATGGGAGTAAAAGTGACCGTGCTTCAACCCAAATCTTGAGTTGCTTTCGATGGCAGCCACGACACTTCGCGAGTCCCACCCCTCAACCGTGAAGCTCACGATAGGTACTCGGTGATCCGTACTAGCACTGGGTTCGCCATAGATGGTAACGTCGTCTCGTTTCGATAGGTAGTTCAGTAGCATCTTCTGGATCTCTCCCTCCTGCTTAATGCTATCCTCCCAGCCATGCTTCAGTAAGTGATCAACCACGGTAGGAATACTCGCTATCAATTCATAGCTCCCAGCGGCGAAACCAAGTTTATCGGCCAGGGTCTCAGCAGGGTTGAAGTAATGACCAAGAGGTTTGAGTTGTTTCTGGGCCTCACGACTTCCGTATAGCATGGAAATGTGGGGTCCAAAGACCTTATACCATGAAAGACAGTAAAAGTCAACTCCCAAGTCTTTCATGTCGATGCCTCGATGAGGGGCATAAGCAACTCCGTCGACACAGACAGAAAGGTTCGGATATTCGTGTGCAGCAGCTGTGATTGCTTTGACGTCGTGAATTGAGCCAAGGAGATTTGTAGAATGTGTAAAAGCTAGGAACCTCGTTCTGCCTGACAGGAGAGGTCGAAGGTTATCGACTGTGAGTTTTGGGTTGTTACCTTGGCCTTCCGGATTCCAAAACTTGACATATAGTCCCTGTCGCTCTGCGAGATCTAGCCATGGAGCGATATTGGCTTCATGGTCGAGTGTAGATACGATGATTTCGTCGCCTTCTGCGAATGTAAGGCTGAGTGCGAGGTTGCGAAGAAGTTGAGTTGAAGAAGCGCCATAGACTAGATTCTTCATCAGCCCTGCTCCTTATCCAGAAGAATTCAATGTATCTCATACCGACTTCATCTGGCAGTGCATTGATGTATCGCGCACCGGCCTCATACCCTTTGCCGACCTTCTGTGCTGCTGTCTGACTGCATCCATACGTACCACCCATTTGCACATTCGTGGTGATCAAATAGTCCCGTATCCTTGAACTGTTAGCGAAGGTCCAAATCCAGAAGTCATTAACTCACGAGTCAGCGGCGGCACCTAGAATTTGGCTTCCACCTGCATTATCGAAGAACACCTGCTTCTGCTGCAGGGCAGGGAACTCGTCCCTTAGAGCCTTGATGTCGGAGACCATCTCCACTGATTATTCAATACAGATACAGAACGGTCGAGTCTATGGGATTGTTTCTCAAATTATTAAATGATTAGAGATTGCTCAGCCTAAGAGGCCAGGTTGTATCAAGGTCCGTCGGGAGAAGGCGGGGTAAAGTCATACGGAGGCCCGGTAATTATGATGCAATTATTCGCAGGGGACAATGCGGGCGAAAAAGGAAGGTAGGACAGGATTCGACATCCAAGATTGCGATGGGAAATAGTAAGCAGATTTGATCCGATGGCAGGGGTTCAATCGTGGCGTATCATTCAATGACATTCACATTAATTGAAGAACATCCAGCGCACACCCGAACGGTGACTATGATGATGAATTCTATCAAGAAGCGGCAAGAAATTAGAGAAGAGAAAAGGCTGGACGTCAGTAACACATGTCTCGACTGTTTTTATGAGGCTATCGCACCTGCTCAATCCGGCTTGTGAATGGGTTGAGCAGGTGAACAATCATTAACCTACCGCTGATGCAGGAACAATGCGCAAAACATCGCCTATTCATGTCGCCTTCCTTATAGTCCAATCCATAATGCACGATTTCTACTCAGCCAGTGTTGCCATTGACAATTTGTCTTACCATTACAACCTCCAGTTCAGTGATCTTGTACATCCAGCTCCATTCAGCACATAGCAGCCAGCAATCATCAACTATAAAAGCTACAGATCAACCCTACACTATTATCCTACTGAATCAAAGACTACTCTCGTCATCGAACCTCCGACGCAACATACAAGCCACAAAGTTCAAAGAAGGCCTCGAGCTCAACAACTCAAAATGTGTACATACACTCACCAATTCACAAAGTGCGACCAGTGCAGCACTATAATCGGCGAGGACAATCCATGCATAGTTCGATGCAAACTCAACAAGCAGGGACGCGCGTGTGAGAAGAAGACTGATAACCTACCGACTGTGTACGCTGATCCTGAGGAGTGTATACCATGCTCGAAGGCGAAGAAGTGAGACGTTCTGCCTATCGTTGATGAAGGCCAGGTGGTTGAGAGGTATCACTCATAGCATTCAAATAAGAGCTAAAGCTTATACGAAGTCTTTCTAACAGTAAACGTGATCATTCTGTTCGGTAGTGTTCGTGCAAGCTCGGCGATGGTACACGATGACGGTACGGATGAGCATACTTCCTTTGAATTACTTGACACAATCATCGTTCATGAGCAACCTTCCAATATTACAAGTGAAACCTTTCAATTTTTGGGAGATCTCAGTGCTATATAATGTCCCTTGACCCTCCAGACATGACCTTTCGTCGGGTCCCGCCAGCTGGTAAGCGTCGTACAGGGCTTTGTAATCAAGTCAAGATGTGTACCACCATCCGCATCATAACCAAATGTTCGACATGCTGGTACGTCATCAATACGACGCATGGTGTAACTCAGCAGTGTGAAGGGTATATCGAGAATGGCGTTTGTTCAGGTGTGCATCATCCGACCAAGACTGAGTATGCGGGTGAATCAAGTTGTCCTGAGTGTGTGAAGAAGAAACAGACTGGTAGATGAGATGGAGACCAATTTGATATCTTATGAAGGACGGAGAAGCAAGGATCCAGGTTTCACGAGGGTCGGCATGAATGGAGCGATGCAATTTGCTAGCATGTGTGGTCAATTATTCCATGATTGTCTAGAGTTGTATCATGTGACGGTTGGGTATTGTGAAATTCAGATTGACAATCCAACGATGTTATTTCTATTCGGAAATCTATAAAATGCAGCCAATCTATAGTAAAACCCTGAAACTGAAAATCTATAGAAATCCAAATCTACATCATAACCATCGCAGCGCATAGAGCTCCCAGACTCAACCACATCTTGGGCATGTTTCCAGAAGCGCTGTTCTCGTCGCTCTCAGCGGTAGAAGAGGCAGTGCTTCCCGTTGAGGTAGCATCAGCATCCGAACCACTTGTCTCGGCAGCTCCGTTGTTCTTGAAGTCGGCGCTGGCGGTCTCGCTTGACTTGGCGGTAGACATGGTGGTAGCCTCGGAGTCGGAGGCAGTCTTGCTGGAGGAGTCGGAGGAAGTTGTGGAGGCGGCTTCAGCAGCAGATTTCGTCTCCTGCTCCTTCTCCTCGTCCTTCTCGCTCATGTTGCCCTCCCGGCCGCTGTCCTTCTTATCAAAGTCGATGCTCTTGTATGATCCGGAACTGTCACCGTAGGTGTATTCCTTAGCGGGGTTGAGGTTTTGAACCTTGATCTTCTGGACGGTCATGGTGTAAGGGACATCCTTGTAATCGGTCTCTCCGCCAGCCCACTCAATAGTTCCCTCTGCATTATCGGGATCACCACCAGCCCAGATACCGAGCTTCAATCGCATGGGTGTTTGAGGGTAGTTGGACTCGGCGAACTTGAGGGTGCGGACCTGGACGTCGTTGACGTACCACTCGACGGATTCGGGGGTCCAGGTAACGGTGTAGTTGTGGAATACGCCTTGGTTGTTGTCGGCGGGGAATGTGAGACTTTGGGTGTTGTCGCTGCTGCCCTTGGCGTACCAGTTGGTCTGAACTTCGCCTCCAGCACCTCCGAGGAACTCCCAATCACTGTTCTTGTCAGCACATGGCATACATTGTATAGTGAGTAAACTTACACCTCGTCGAGGACATCTGACAACATCACAATAGAAGAGACAATACCCACACCAGGTGCAGCCTTCATGTGAACCTCATAACGACCAAAGAACATGTACCACTTGCTCTGAAGGGTGGGGGAGTCGCCCTGCTTGTTAACAGAGAACTCGGCACCTTCCGAAGTGTACTTGACTTCTCCGTGGCCCGTTCCCTCCCAGTTATCATCGTCAGCGCCCTTTGTGAAGTCGAAAGAGTACAAAGAAGCATCTAGTCCAGGATTAGGCTCGCAGCCCGCTGTCAATCATATCAGCTCTGCTATAACCCACAGGCGGGTCTTGTTTGCTTACACTTCTTCATGGGATTGCAGTCGGAATAAGTTTGGCCGTAGGCTGAGGCTGCGAGACCCGCAACCAAAGCGACCTTGGACCAAGCGGAGACCATTGTGATTGATTGATTGATTAAAAAGAATATTATTATATATGAAAAACGAATGAAGTGGTTATCCAAAACAGCAATAACGAGAGACTGTAATGGAGTATTAAAAAAGAGTAAAAGAATGCGACGTTAGCCCACCACTTAAAGACTGGTCAGAAAGAGCAAGAACAAACTTTCGGCAAGTGGGAAAAAGAGAAGAAGTAGGGAAGGGGGAGGGTCAAAGTGGATATAAAAACAAACAATGGTCTTTGTGCTCGAATGAATGCGACATTTCTTTTCCTCTTTCTGTCTGCTGCGCCTGGCAGACTTGATTCAAGAGCGGTTTAGCTGATCTTGGCTAATGGCCCGTTGGGTAGGTTGATAGCTTGGGTTATCAGCGATACGGGAGCGAAATGAAGATGGTCACTGATTATTCTGGGCCCTGGTCGCCAGTGCAGAGGGAGTGGGTACGCAAGCTCTGACGCGTAATAAACCATCATCCTTGCTTTTCTCGATTATTTACGGGGAAAGCTGGATGATCTGACCCTTGGTTTGTCTGTTTACGGTTCGGTCAAAGACTTCGAGTGTCATCATTGACTTTTATCTCTCTTTGCCCTGACGATCCATTCTCTCAGTTAAAGGTTTGACGGTGGAGGCCTGTTAGTCAGGCACTGAATCCTCTTGTCAGCTTGCATAGGGGTTAGTCAAAAGCCTCGCCCTAACATTAGGGCGGCGCAAAGAGAGACGGGATGGACCAAGACACCATCTAAAAATGGCACAGAACTCAATAATTTCGTCTCTTCAGTTGAGTGCTCGTAAGATTTGAATGAGGGTGAGAATCAACTCAATCAGACGACATTTGTCGCTTATTATACGAGCACCTTGTCTATCTGCTACCGTTACATTATTCATCCCCATTGGGATTTATACGACACTCCCGTCGATAAGAAATGGATGCTTATCATCAGGAAAGGAATTTGATCCTCAGCTGAAAATCCGAGTTTAGTTGGGTCCAGGGCTTGAGTTTGGGGCTCTCGGTGCCCTTGCAGCACTAAAATTGGGGAACGCGTCGCGCTAATGAGATCTCGACTCCATGGATCAGCACGGTCGGGATGAGTTGTAGGGTAGCAATTGATCGAGATTCGCAATCAACAAAACTCATTGTTGCGGGATGCGATTCTTGAGACAAAAAAACGTATACATGTGATGCAATACCGGAGAGAATAATCAGAAAACTATCTTTTACATCTAGTCTGAAAGTTTGATGGAACCATAAGCGCTTATCGAAGCATCGTCATGTCAACAGTCTCATGGCTTGCAAGCGTTGTGCTCTGATCATTGTCATGTCTGGACGACACCAACCATCATTTGACAACTATCACGTGGACTATGCCAAGCTGGAAAAGAAATGAAGACACAATCAATTACAAACAACCAAGACTGGCTATCTATTTAACTTTTCTTGGTACTCTTGATTCATGACCGTTGTTTATGTGAAGCGTCACTAAGCCATATACCAAGCTCAACTCCAATCTGAGCCCCCTGATCAATCATACTCAAATGACCAGCCTTATCGATAACGACAATCTCCTTTGCCTTGAGCGCGTCACTCAGTCGATAAGCCACTTCAACTGGTAGCCACTTATCATTTTTACCCCAAATGATCTTGACAGGCAGCTTCGGCCCAACCTCCCCGTACCGCCCCTCGACTTCTTCCGTGCTCCGCGAATTAGCCTGGCATAATTCTCTAATGAAACCTTGTTTGCCGCCTTCCCGCGTCCACGGCTCTTTGAGCATCTGCATGGTTTCTTTGGAGAGTTCGTGGTACGCGGCGTCGCTAATGTAACTTTCAAGAATACCTTCGAATGCAGTGTCGGGCAGCTGTTCGAAGATGTGTGGGTTCTCGGCCATGCTTTTGAACAGAGGTTGGCCGAAGGGTCCAATTGCGACGACGTCAATTAAGCACAGACTCTCGTAGGGGAGATCATGAAGAAGATAGCCCCGTAGACTGACTAGACCACCGTTATCGTGACCGATAATGTGTGCCTTATCCTGAGACCAAGTTTTCTTCCATTCTTGAAAGAGAGCTGCGTAGACCTCTGCTTGACGCGCGAGGTTGCTGTCGAACTTTTCCACTGGGTTCGTGCTGGATTGTTGGCCTGGCTTGAGGGCTTCGGCGGGTGTTTCGCCGAAGCCAGGTCTGTCGAAGAGATGAACGCAGAATTGACGCGACAGCGCCAGCGCGAAGGGAACCCAAACGCGCGAGGACCATGGTGTTCCGTGAATAAAGATAAGAGGAGGGAGACCTTTATCGCCTACAGTGCCCCATTTTACATCGTAGATGTGAGTTGAGGTCTCATAGTGGAAGCTCTGAGTGAGAGCTGTAGGGTCTTGCGATGAGGTCATCGTGCGAATTTTGTGAAGTGAAGTGAGATGAGTTGTGAGAGTGATTCAGTGGTTAATTGAGGAAGAAAACGAGACTGGGATAAGCGCAATACTCTCACAATATTTATTCTCAAATAATTAACGTTTAATAGAACCTATGATGAAATGCGACCGAATCACAGTTCAATTGAGGGTGAGATTTGCCCCCGCGCCTTTATCTCGACACATTCTCACTGACCATGACATCGTCCTACTTCACGCACTTGATGAGAGCAGTTATCGATCGGACTTGACAGAGATATAATCCCGTCAATTAATACAACATCAAGACAACTAGCGAGGCATGGAATGAATTGATTAGCCTTCATAGAATAATTATTATTGTAGAAGTCCTCCGCATTCAGCCATCTCTTGGCGTTGACGATGATGTAACACGCGCCCTACGCCCTTCAATTGACACCCAAGATAAGGACACTTTTCGCCGCTCATTTCTAACCCTCCATCTTCTTCTATAACGCACATGGGATCATAAGAAAAGGCATCTTCAAAATGTCTACCACGACAGCCGTCCAGCTCGAAGCCATCGGCAACGGTACACACAGTGAAGCTCCCTCGACCCTTCGTCCAAGAGCAGGACTCGCCGAAACCAGCTCGTCTCATCACAATGACTCGGATGATCCAGCTCTCGAAGCTTCTCGCATTGCTGATAGTACTGTCCCGGATGGAGGCTATGGCTGGGTTGTTATCATAGCCTGTTCGGTGGTTGCTTGGTGGGTGATCGGATTGAGTTATGTCTGGGGTGTATATCAACGCGCCCTCGTCGAGAGAGGAGTCGGATCACCTCTCGCTTTGTCCTTCTGCGGTTCCATCTCCCCAGCGCTTATGGCAACGGTCGGAATTCTTGTCGCGAGGATGATTCGTTCCTTCGGGACGCGAAAGCTCAGCTGCGTGGGCATTGTCCTCATGGCTCTATCCTTGATCTGTGCGAGCTTTGTAACAGACCATCTCGTGGGATTGATCTTCCTCCCCGGTGTGCCGTTGGGTCTGGGCATGAGCGGCTGCTTCATGTCGTTCTCTACTGCGCCCGCGCAATACTTTGTCAAGAAGAGAGGGCTTGCAAATGGATTGATCTACGCTGGAGGAGGCTTTGGTGGTGCGATCATGAGCATCGCCACAGATTCTTTGATCGAGAGGTTCAACGTGGAGTGGGCTTTCCGCATCACCGGGTTGTTGATCTTTGTCACGGGCTTTCCAGCCGCGTTCCTCATCAAGGAGAGAACACCTCTCGCCAAGACAGGCATCGTGGACTGGAACCTATTCCGTCAACTGAACTTCGCCATCCTCTTCTTCGCAGCTGGCATTGGCATCTTCCCTCTCCTGGTCCCTCCTTATTTCCTCCCCTTGTACTCTAGCTCAATGGGCCTTAGCACAAGCACTGGTGCTGGCTTGTTAGCCGGCTTCAGTTTTGCATCAGCTGTAGGCCGTATCGTCAGTGGCTATTTCTGCGACAAACTGGGCCCGGTGAACACTCTTGCAGCTTTCTTCTTGGGTAACTCGCTTACGATGCTTGCTCTTTGGCCTGCTTCGACGACGCTTGCACCGTTAGCTGTCTTTGCTGTTCTGAACGGTCTGATGAATGGCGGTTTCTTCTCCTCGATGCCGACCGTTGTCTCGAATGTCTTTGGGTCAGCTCGTGTATCTACGGCAATGGCAATGATGATTGTTGGCTGGGTGCTAGGTTATCTCCTCGTAAGTTCACAATGAAAGGTGTAGGATGCGACTAACAAGAACAGGGATCTCCCCTTGCCGGCTTTCTGCTTCAAAGTCACGGTGGTGCAGACGGTGGACTTGGTGCTTATCGTCCGGCGATGTTCTATGCTGGGGCAATGTCAGCTGTTGCGACTATGTTGACAGCATTCTTGCGATGGAGAATCAGCAGAAAGCTTCTCGCCAAGGTTTAGGGATTACAAGATATTGGTAAAAAAATGGAGAGTGAGCATGATTTACTATTCTTGTAATATACTATTGCTACCAATCTATGCTTGAACTAGCATCGCCAGTTGAGCAACCAGAATCACTCGACGCGCTTCCTTGCGTCCTCGTCCTTCGTCCCTTGATCTTGGGCACCGTGATATGTCGGAACACCTTCCGTCCCAGCTTACTATATAGCGGTAAGACACCTCCTGCTTCAATGAGAGTCTCTTCAACTTCTGACTGCTCGTACCGGAAAGCCTCTTCCGAGCCCTCGATGTGGATGGTCTTATCGTCCTTGTTAATTGTGATTACCGCGTCTTCATGTGCAAGCTCGTAGAACCGAGGGTCTTGTAGCTTGATGTTGAACAGACCCATGTTCAGCTGGTTCCGTTCATCTGAATGGTGTTAGTAGGTGATAGCGGTGGGAGATTCGAAGGACCTACAGATAAAGGCGAAGCCCTTGGCGATGACGGCTTCGACGCCAGCTCCTTGCAAGGCTCGGACCGCGTCCTCACGGGATGAGCCACTGCCAAACCCATGTTCTGCGACACTTGACAAAGTCAATTTCCATGGCATCAAGTGAAGCGCAAGGGCAAAGACTTACATAACTCGTGACCCATTGTTCGCCTTCTCTCTGAACTCTGGTCGGTAGTATTGGAAGCAGTGACTTCCGAGATCAGCGTTGTCGATTCCAGGCATAAACTCGGCAGGGATGACCGCATCGCTAGGAGTCCGTTAGTGTTGATTCAAGCAACATGGGGCTTGACTTACGTGTCAACGTTCTCTCCAAACCGCTGAATCTTAGATCGGAGGACTCGCGCACTTAGTGTCCTCGCTGTCTCTGGTTCAGAATCCCCACCATCGAGGATTCTTGGTACTTCAGTCGAAGAGGCCTCAGGACTCGGCTCACTGATCTTCAAAACTGGCTGCACTCCCTTCGCTCTACCACCACTAACGAGTCTCTCTAACTTGTCACGATCCAGCTGGTCCAGCAAGAATTTGGGATCTGTAACAACCATATCGAAACTTGACGCCGCAACCGCAGCAGCACAAGTGATATTGCCAAAACTTCCCTTACCCATTCTGTTTCTGAAGTTGCGGTTCTGAGAGGATAACCAGACTTCGCCTTCGCCTGCTACATCGACATCGTTAATGCCGACACAGTATGAACAGCCGGGCGCGCCGACCTCGAAACCCGCTTGGCGGTAGATGTCGAGCAGGCCGTGTTTGTTGAGGCGGTTGATGATGATGAGACTTCCGGGCGTGACGCGACGCTTGCCATGAGATGAAGGACGCATGCCTGCGTAGAGACCGGCTTCTAGGACCAAAGCGCCAATGATCAAGTCTTCTTCCGTGGTAGTACAAGCCCCGATGAAGCATCCATCAAGCTTCATGTCGGCCTTCTCCCAGATGGGAACGACATCATCCGGGTTTGGATACATAGCCATGGTCAAGCGGACTTCTGAGAGATCAATGGTTCTCTCATCGACATATTTTGCTCCATGGTCTGCACGAAAGTAAAGGCCGCCCTCACGATGTTCAGGCAGCTGTCGTCTTGCAATCCATGAAGAGGTCTCCTCGTCAGCCTCAAAGCAAGTACCCATACCACCAAACTCAGTCGTCATGTTTGCAATGGCAAATCTAGCGTCCATAGACAACTCCTTGAGGCCGGGACCACCATACTCAACTGCTCGTTGGAAAGCGATAGTGTTGCGCTTGAAGAGACCCAAAATGTGAAGAATGACGTCTTTGCCACCAACGCCAAAAGGTAGTTTGCCGACGAAGTTGATACGACAGACTTCGGGAACGCGGAACCAGGTTTCGCCGGTCACCATAGGCATGACGACGTCTGCAGCACCGAAACCAACGGCGAATGAACCCATGCTTCCTGCTGAGCAGGTATGCGAGTCACTACCAACCACAACACGACCAGGCTGTGCTCTTTCACGAGTAAAGTCGGTATGCATAATGCTTGTGTTGGCAGGAAGGAAGTCAATGATCTTGGCCTCTTTCCTAAAACGCTCTGCCTTGGCAATAAGACCCTTCTGCCGAGGCTGATGGTTCGTTCTCGGATCAACGATATGATCCACGGCCAGCCAAAGGCGATCATTACGGAAAGGCCGAGGGCGTCCCATTTGGTCGTAAGTCTTCTCCATACCACCCCAGAGAAGCTCAGATGTAAGCGTCCAGTCCACTTTGACGCAGATCATGTCTCCGGTTTCGACGTGGGATTTGGAGAGACCGATGGCTGCATGGGTAAGAATCTTCTCGATGATACCCATGGGACGGCGCTCATGTGTAAAGTTGAAGGATGGTGATGATGGTCGAAGGGTTGATAAGTTTGCGGTGTCTGCTGAGTTAAGAGCTTCAAGGTAGTAGTCGAAGTTATGAAGGAGAGTATGCATAAAATCGTCGGGCGTGGCTGTACCACCAATGTCTGGTGTTATCGTGTCAGACCCAACTTGGTCGACAGGGTCTAGAGTGCGACGGATGGCTTTTGACAAGGCTTCAGCCTCAGATTTCAAGCCTAGTGAGAGCTCTAGCATCAAACCAACTGCTTGTACGATACCGAGTGGATTCCCAGCCTTGTCTTTGGGCTTGAGGTTGAACGGCTCGAACAGACCGGGTGTTCTTGAAGAGCCTGTGTTGTGAGTGGTGGAGATAGCCGCGGATGCAAGGACATCTGGAGATCCGAGAATACCACCTGCCTGATCGGAGAGGATGTCGCCAAACATGTTCTCAGAAAGAAGGATGCCATTCAGTCTGCATGGATGGGAAGAGAGAATCATGGATGCAGTATCGACCAGAACATGATCCAGTTCGACCTCTGGAAATTCGTTCGTAAAGATGTCTGTAACAACAGATCTCCACAGTCGTGAAGTCGCCATAACATTCGCTTTGTCAACAGAGTGAACAGGCTTTGGAGGGGTGAACTGCATAGCATATGCACCAGCCATTCGCGCCAACTTCTCAATTGTCTGGCGAGAATAGACTGTAGTGTCATACGCTTCTCCATCAGGACCAGCCTCTTGCTTAGGTCCATAGTAGACACCACTCGTCAAATCTCGAAAGAATGTGATATCGAGATTCTCAACTGAATAGGCTTTGTAAGCACTCAGCTCAGCCAGCCGAGCAGAGGGGAACTTGACAGGTCGAATATTCGCAGACGCTCCAAGTTCTTGTCGAAGTGCCAACAATCCCTTTTCTGGCTCAATGCCATAATTGGAATCACCACAGGCACAAACAACTGTGGCATCAGATTTGCGACATGCGTCCAATATGGAGTCTGGCAAGGCTGTTGAGTGGCCTGCTGCTAAAGCGACACCTCCGAAATCGTGTCTTGAGATTTGGAAGGTTACACCTGGACGGATGTTCTGGATGAGGTGCAGGGTGCGTTCTGCATATGACGCGAGTTGAGAGCCATGGGCGTCCCCTGGTAGAATGGATACCCGGTAAGATAATTGATCCTTGATTAGAGGCATGGTGAAAATTGCTTTGCTTTACTGGGTCTGTCTCTACCTCGCAACGCTTTCTGCATGTTATATACAGGAAACGGCGCCAGAAAGCGGGCAAATAGCATCCGACATCGGTACTGCGTATCAATCGAGGACCTATGAGAGATTCTGATACAGCAATAATGGGAGCTGACCTTTGTTAGCTACTTGACCGGCACCACGCGGTGGTGAGCGGGGCCGTTCTTATCCGGCGGCGTCCACTCCCCGCATTGAACTAAGCATAACCGGAGGAGCCAACCGGGAACCAGAGATAGTAAGAAGCTTTTAGTGATAGAGCAGTGTCTTTATTTGGACTGGTATGATGGAACCGGAAGTTTGTGTACAGTTTGGTGGTACGATAGCAGCGTGGCGCATAACCACCAGTGCTGTGCATTGAGCGAGAGTGTGAGACCCAGTGAGCAAAGACATCATCGAAACTTCATCCATTAACATTTCTTTTATAGGAACCCGGAACTGATGTAATGGAGATTATCAGGTTGTTTCTTGGACTACTCTTGCATAGCGTTCGCATCGTGTTTCTGCTCCAGCTGTATCCTACATCGAGATGCTACGAGTCTTGCACATAAGCGCAAGGATAATGGGGCATTTGTAGATGACATCGGACAATCCAGTAAAGAGACCGTGATGCAAAAGATGAGTGCTATTGGTGAACTATGTAACTAAGTCTGATAAACAAGCGCATCTAATTCTTCCACTGGTACCCATTCGCACCATTAGCTCGTCCCTCATACTGATATCTCTCCTCCAACTCATAATACTTATTAAATCCCACGCCATCACATACCTCCGCGTAAGATAAAACAACGGGCGGCTTTCCAACCGTCATAGACCCCTTGATACCCTCCAATGCCTCGCGAATACTCTTCAGCTTGGCAGCAACAAGCGTCCAAGGATAAGATACCGCGCTATAGCCAATCTCAGCAAGGTCCTTGGCAGACAAATTCTGCGTCTTTCCTCCCTCGATGATGTTAGCAATTACAGGGAAGTTGAGGTCTTTGCGCAGACGCTCCATGGACTCGCGGTCGGGGAGGGCCTCGACAAAGACGGCGTCTACGCCAATCTCTATGGCTTTGCGGGCACGGGTGAGAGCCTCGTCGTAGCCGTGGATCAGACTGTCTGTGCGGGCCATGATCCAGATGTCTTGGCCTTCATTTCTGGCGTCGACGGCGGCTTGCCACCTGGCGTAAGCTTCGCTTCGAGACACGACGCTCTTGCCTGCAGTGTGGCCACATCCTATCATGTCGGGTTAGCATGACGAGCGTTATTGCAGAAGGGGTTTGGGTGCGACTCACGCTTTGGCCAGGACTGGTCTTCGATCATGATGCCTGCAGCACCAGCCAATGCGAATCTAAACAGGGAAAATTAGTCTTGCTCTACCATTCTTTGGGTTGGAAGCCACTTACCCTTGGACAGTCCTGCGGACGTTCATTGGGCTACCGTATCCTGTATCGCCATCCACAATAACGGGAACATTAACTTCCCTGATAACTTCTTGAACCTTGTTAACCACCTCTCCAAAAGCAATGTATCCTGTATCCGGCAGTCCAAAGGCTGAAGCCATGGGGTATCCCGCCAAGAAGACAATCGGAAAGCCGGCTTCTTCGCATAGGCGAGAGCTCAGAGCATCGTAGCTGCACACATTGGCGACGATCTTGGAAGGGTCCTCGTGAGCTTCTTGGATAAGAGCGCGGACACGGGAAGCTTTGATAGAGGGAGTAGCGCCGCGGCAATTGGCGAAGTCGATGCTGACACCCTTACCAGTGCTTTTGATAGGAGGGTATTGACTTGCTTCGAAGGTGAAGGGGTAGGGGTTTGCGTTGACAATTGACTTGGACATAGTGATATTTAGATGTTGTTACTATTGTGATTGTGTTTGATGTATTGATGTATTGCTTTATGCTTATTACTCTCAATTCCGCCTGTTCTTTGCATCTCTTTTATACTCAGAATTACTGCATCTTGGCCCAACATCCTCCGATTTCTACCCCGACTTTCGGCGCCGAGTCGGCGAGCTTCAAGTATGACATGGAAAGAGCATTTGTTATTTAGACTTGAGCATCCCACGACTGCGATGGGATATTAACGGGCAGGCATTGGTTCGTGGTTCGTCGTCCGCTGTGCGTCTGCCGGTGTCTGGCCCAGTCTACGTTGCGCTAGCGGATCGCGCCGGACCGACACGGATACTCACGGCCGTCACGCCGGCCTCTTCAGCGGCATCAATCCTGCCAGGGATCAATCACAATCTTTCAGATTACCCCAGATTCTCTCCAGAGACCAACCTCGGACTGATCTTCTCCATTCACAGACCATGGAAAGCCCTGAACGTCCCAGTAATACCCGGGCCTTTAAGCGCAGCTATGTCGCTTGCGTATCCTGCCGGGCGCGCAAGGCAAGATGCGTCATCAAGGACAATCCACCCTGCGCCAAGTGCGCCCGCGAACATCGGGAATGCCATTTCGATCATCGGCCGAGAGCCCCGAAACATCGCGACGCGCCAAAGTGGACTCAGGATGCACCAACTCGGCCTGTAGCTCAGATGCCGCTTCCGCAAGAGACCCAGACCACGAATCTCTCTCCGCAGGACGTCTCTGGGTTCGGTCCGTCGCCAAATAATTCCAGTCAATCGCTGTATGACAGAGTACAGTCGACTATAGTCACTGGGACTACTGATGCTTTGGACTTTTTGTCCAATGCAGCTGGTCAACGACACAGCATAGCGGCATCTACCCCATCTCAAGCAAATCCCCTGACAAACGCCTCTCACTCTAGTGGACCCAAGGTTGTATCAGGCGGGTACAATGGAGTCGGGTTCACCATCACCGCCCTGTCAGAGCCGGATGATGCCTGTCTCGACATGTGGGATAAGTGTCGGTTTGTTCGTCAAGGATGGTTTACTGCTCAAGAAGCTGTTACATACATCGATCTGTAAGTCAGACGCCCATACTCACCAACAAATCTTGAACTAATAGTGGTAGGTTCTTTGAGAAACTGGCCCCTCTCACACCTATGGTATTAGACCAGTTTCGCAGCCATTCATCACACACCCATCTCGTCTGCGAAGAAGCCATGCTCTGTGTCACGCTCCTGATGATCGCGTCACGCTTCTTCAAGCTCCCCGGCGCTGGTGGGACCTCGAGAAGCCACAACGCTCATCAGCGACTGTGGAACTACTGTGAACTTCTCATCAAGCGCATCCTCCTTGGTCAAGAAAAGCAGTCTACTTCCCAGACAAGAACAATTGGCACAATAGAAAGTCTTTTACTCATATCAGACTGGCACCCAAGAGCACTACATCTTCCACCGGAGACTGAAGGTTGGGATGGGTTGCTAATCACCCCCACGTATGATCGAACAAATAGAAAGTACACCGACGATGAGATGCCGCTTATTCGCTGGAAGCAGGACGTCTTTGACCCTGCCAAAAGGGCCAATAGAATGTCTTGGATGCTGCTAGGTATGGCTAACAACCTGGCCTATGAGCTCGGCGTTCTTTCCACGCACCAAGATGCAAGTCAATCTGTCAGTCCGGAAGTCCTTCGAAGCCGTCGAACACAGAAGCTCCTGTATGTCTACGTTACGCAAACTGCGACCCGCCTAGGATACCCTTCTGTGTTTCCTGAGAGTATCTCCATCACCGCTTCGAGGCTACCAGCTCAGAATGCAGGCGATCCAAGTAGCCGGCCCTGGATAGCGTACATGGACCTCAGTCTAGAACTCACTCAGCTGTCACGAACAGCCTCATCCATGTTTTTCCACTCAGCCGCTCATTTACAAACCCAGGTCATGGGAGATCACTACGCGGATCTGTTGGAGCACTTTTCGCTGTCTTTATCTAAATGGCAGGACAAGTTCGACAATCTGAGTCACGATATCGCCGCACCTCTTCGCGACACGCTTGCAATTGAGTTCCATCATACCAAAGCCTGCACGGGCGCTATTTCCATCCAAGCAGTAGTTGCTCGAGCGTCGTCAGCTGGCTTTACTTCAGCCACAACAAACCAAGACGAAGCGCTGTCTGCTTTTATCACACCGAAAGACGCGAGGTTCCTGCAAGAAGTCATATCAGATACAAAGAAGGTCTTGCACACAGCGACCATGAGCGACTTCAAGCACCATCTTCCTTATGCCCCCGCTCGTATCAAGATTAGCGTCATCAGCTCGTCTGTCTTTCTGCTCAAAGCACTAAGTGTTGGGTCTACTCACACCGATGTCAGCGATGCGTTGTATACTCTAGACCAGTGTACATCAACGCTTAAGTCGTCACCCGCAGATGATATGGACTTTGCGTTAAGATACGCAGATCTCATCGAGAAGCATACAGCTCAATTTAGAGCTCACCTCACACAAACTAGGGGCCATAGCTCTAGTGATCAGAGCCGCACCTCCATACCCGCAGGTACCAGTCAACCTGAGAACGGCACAGGAGGTTCAGTGTCGTATCTGTCAAGCTTAGAGTCCCAACCGATTGAAGATGGAGGGAACTATATGAACTTTGATGTGGGGGATACCTGGGTTTCACTCCCGTTTGATTCAAGTATTGCGCCGTTTGGCGAAGGCGCTGATCAGTTGGCTCTAGGATTGGATGTTGATTCATTGAACTTCCTTTGGAGTTTGCCGGAGCTGGGGCAAGGGGAGACGGGGTTCGTGTAGACGGGATAGCAACGGTCAAATTCCGAGCGATTTGTCGAAGCTGTGAGTGTGTATCGTCATATCTTGTAGTTTGTAAAAGGCCATGATGATAAATATGCTAGCCCTTCCTCCTGGCATGGAGTGTTATGTGTGGCGCGAGAGTCAACACCCACAGGGTGCGTTCCAGATCCTGCGCGGCGTGCAGCCATGCCGGCCCTGGAACATCCGCTCTTATCCGGTACATGGACGGTGAAGGGAGGAGGCAAAGAAAGCAAGAAATTGTGCATCACTAGTCTTAGCCAAGATTATCAGCAAGAAAGCTTTATCCGACATCAAAGCTTGGACTAGGAGATGGATAGTCAAGGCTGTGACATATTGCGCCGTTTCAGCTCGATCGAAGACTTCAAGAAGTCTGATATCCAGGGCCTGGAGTAGGCGTAGCAGCTATTTTACCACGTACCAGTGACATGTCTGCGAATGCTGCTTACGCAGGCACCACACCAAGAAGCTAGCCATGTCTAAGTCAGGACTACAATACCAAGACTTGGCTGAACCTTGTTCATCTCAACCATGACCTAGCGTCCCTTGCAGCGCGGGGTAATCTGGGGTAGCATGCACTACAACACCCTCTACCATAGAAATCCTGATAAGACAACTCGTCGCCACGACTGAGTTGAGTATCTATATCAATGGCGACCCATTCACCATTCCATCGATGACCATCAAGCTCATCCACAACTTCAATTAATTCACCTCTATCTTTTCAACATGTCCAAAGTCCAGAACAAGAATGTGACCGATGTTGAGGAGAAGGGTCACTGTGACCATCTTGAGAAACATGACACTCAGATCTTCTCTTCGGTCGATGAGACCGGCACCCATAAGAAGGTTGATCCGGTGGAGATCAAGCTTGTGAAGAAGCTTGACTGGATCATTCTTCCTATGTTGTGGATCATGTACTGGTTCAACTACCTCGACCGCAATGCCATCACCGTTGCGAGATTGGACGGTCTTGAAGAAGAGCTCAATCTCAGTTCTACAGAGTACCAAACTTGTGTGTCGATCCTGTTTGTGGGATACATCCTTGGTCAAATTCCGTCCAGTAAGCTGCCTTCCCTTATCATAACACCAGAAACTTCAGCTGACTTACTTCAGACATGCTCATGACACGGATTCGACCTTCGCTTTATATGTCCGGCGCCATGGCACTTTGGGCCGTGGTCAGTACCCTTACAGCCATATGCCACGACTTCAAGGGCCTCGTCCTGACACGATTCTTCCTCGGCGTCACCGAAGCACCTTTCTACCCAGGCGCCCTCTACGTTCTGTCGATTTTCTATACCAAGAAGGAGATTGCAACGCGAATTTCTATCCTCTTCACTGCCAATATCTGTGGAACTGCCTTTGCAGGACTCATCGCTATTGGTGTGTTTGAGATGAGTGGCGTCGCAGGGCTTGCTGGTTGGAGATGGCTCTTCATCCTTCAGGGCATCATCACTTTTGTCATCTCCATTGGCTCAGCATTCATCTTGCCCGATGAGCCTGGAAATACAAAGTGGTTGACTGAGGAGGAACGGCAGCTGGCCCACGATCGAATCGCCGCGGATACAGTCCAGATTCGAACCAACACAACTACTTGGGCTGGTCTTCTCGACGCATGCAAGGATCCTCGCCTTTGGGTCCTTGTATTTATGCAACACTTCCACATGGCTGCCAGTAACTTCAAGAATTTCTTCCCTACTATTGTTGGAACTCTCGGCTTCGATCGCAACACTACTCTTGCTCTTACTTGCCCACCCTACATTGTTTCGGGCATTGTGTGCATAGCATGGGCAGCGAACTCTGGTAAGTAGTAGCACCTTGATGAGCAATGAACACAGACTAACATAAAGCAGGTCGAATGAACGAAAGAACTTGGCACATCACTGTTGCCAAAATCATGGCCGTCATTGGCTTTGTACTAGCATGTACCGTTCACAATACAGGTGCCCGCTACTTCGCCATGTGCGTTTTCGCCAGTGGAGTCTACGCTTGCAACAGTGTTATTCTTGGTTGGGTCGCTAGTACTTGTGGTCAAACCAAGGAGAAGAAGGCCATCTCCCTTGCCATGGCAAATACCATTGCCACACTAGGACCTATTTACACCCCAGTAAGCTCCCTGGACTCGGAGGACGAAACATCACTAACTCCTTTAAGTACCTTTGGCCAAGCTCTGATGAGCCCATGTATCCTGTCGCTATGTCAAGCAGCGCTGCGTTCTCAGCTGCCTCGGCTGTCCTGGCTTGGGTGCTGCGTTGGATGCTAATTCGGGAGAACCGCAAGATCCGAGCGTCGAACAACGAGGAGAGACTATTTTACGCGTACTGATCAAGATCCACGGTATATAAGGCTTTTGGGTACTTAGTTCACCTACTTTCTACCGATTTTTTCTCATCAGTGCGCTTGATTCACTTGATACGAAAGATGCGTGTAATCAATATCATATTGACAATACAGTAAAGAGCGGAAGTAAGTCGAAACGAGTGAACAGAAATGAGCCAATGGGTACCATAGCCCACAAAAGCAGATTTGGACTCATACTCCTTATAACTCTCCTTATTCAGTGGAGTATTCACTTGGTCTTCCTTGAGTTGTAACTTTGTGACATCGACTACTGGCTTGGCAAATCGATGGTCTCGAGGAGAATAGTCTAGCGGCAGCGGCCAAGTTACATAACGCCATTATCGTCAAATTGTACCTCTGCGACAGCTGAAGTCTACCTCTCATCATGCATATTCCGCAAAGAATTCACTCAATATCCAAATTGTCGTTTTGTTGCATGCTAAGAAGACATGCATGTCATGATGGCTTCAATATCGGATAAACACTGTCCCGATTGCGGGTGCGGCAATAGCATCTCGACGTACAGATTTCTTATTCCCGCGTATCAGAACTGAATTTCGGTTATGCCGTCGCTTATTCCAGGATGCTAAACCCGACGCAAAGCCGTGATTAGCATGAAGTTATCGAGATAAGGTTTCACAGAGTTCATATCTGCACATAAGGCAGTCATTGAATCCTAATTGAAGCAATGCACAACTCGCAAATGCATCCTTGATCAAAGACTAGATGCTCTCGCAAGAATGGCATCAATAAACCAGCCAGATGTTGAAGCAAAAACGCCCGAGAAAGAGCCAGACAGAGTATCCTTCAGCCAAGCCACCGCCGATGTCGGACAGAATGAGATACAATTGCCAATTGGTCATGAAGCACTGGAGGCATCATTCTCTGTGACTGAGCTTCTTCAATCGAGACATATTGATGCATCACCAACCTCAGACTCTAAGATTCCCGACTTTCTATCCCCTTTTAGATGGTCTCTCAAAAAGAAGATAACCATTCTCTCTGGTGCCTTCATGGCATCAACACTCGCGTCATACTCCTCCGGTGCTTATGCCCTCGCCTCAAACCCCCTTCGAAGTGAATGGAACATTGATGATACTCAATTCAATGCTGGAATTACCCTGTTCGTCACAGGCTTCGCCATTACGCCCATGGTTCTCGCTCCTGTAAGCGAGGTACACGGAAGATATTGGGTATTTGTGGCTTCCGGCATAGTCTTCTTCCTTGGTAGTCTTGGATGCGCTGTTACGAACAGCTACGCTGGAATGATGGTCGCCCGCCTGATTACGGGTAATGGTGCTGCTGTCTTTGCCACCTTGACTGGAGGCGTTGTCAGTGATCTATATCGGAAGGAAGATCGAAACACACCAATGGCTCTGTACTCACTGTCTATCATGATTGGCACTGGCTTGGGTCCTCTGGTCAGCGGTATCATAGTTGATCGCCTAGGCCGGAGATGGATATTTTATGTCCAACTCATCACCATTGGGACTGCGACCGCCCTTATCTTCTTTCTATTTCAAGAAACGCGAAGTAACGTGTTACTACGACGGAAATGCGCCGCCCTCAATGAGATGCAGTTCAAGATTCTAAACGAAACGGCTGTGCTCTTTGTTCCGTCGGTTGAAGAAAACATCCATGTCGAGATCAGCATGCTTTGGCGAAGTCTCGCATTTCCCTTGCGTTTATTGATGACAGAGTCCATTCTATTCTGGTTCACCTTGTGGGTATCATTTGCTTGGGCAATTCTTTACATGCAGTTTAGCAGCGTCGGCCTTGTCTTCACAGCTGTATATGGCTTTGACAGCACTCAGGTTGGAGCAGTTTATGCAGCAGTTGTCGTTGGGTCCATCATGAGTATCATATTGGCTGTCATCCAGGAACCAATTTTGCGTTTGGCTTTTCCTCACAAGACGATTTCTACGACACCAGAGCAGCGACTGCTATCTCCCTGCATTCAGTCCATTCTCCTACCCATCGGCCTGTTCTGGTTTTTCATGTCTGCTAAACCGGATACAACCTGGGTTTCCCCGACACTAGCGATTGGATCTTGCACAATGGGTATCTATAGTATTTATCTTGCTGTCTTTAATTACCTTGCGGATACATATCATGGATACGCCTCGTCAGCCTTGGCTGCCCAAAGCCTATGTCGTAATCTGATAGGAGGCATCTTTCCGTTACTTACTGCCAGAATGATAAATAGTTTAACTTTGAAAGGGACTGGTGGTCTTTTGGGCGGACTGGGGCTAGTCTTGACTGCCATTCCATGGCTCCTGTATTTTTACGGGCGGAGAATTCGAGGTCGCAGCCCTTTCGCCAAAGAGATGGAATAATCTGGTGTCAAGTAATATCTATGGAAATCGCGAATTGCTTCAAGCTTCGCAGATAAACAATGATGGAGAGAATTGTTGTATGAGCACTAGACATAGTTCCATCTTCTGATAACCAGGTTAGCTACATTGTGCGACCTCATTGCAACTTTTATTTGTCGGCAAACGCCTTGAGTAGCTTTGCAGACGCCAATTCAACCACGGCTCTGGCAGTAGGCGATCCCCGAATAGGCGCCAGCATAGCAAAATCGTGAACTTGTCCATCGGCCTTGATAACAGCCGCATCGACGCCCAGCTGTTGCAGTCTATGCCCAAAAGCCTCGCCCTCACCGATAAGCGGATCGGCACCAGATAGGAAGATAGTCGTAGGTGGGAACTTTGCAAGAACTTCATCAGGAGCGAATTGCAGGGGTGAAGTTAGTGGAAGCTTTCGGTCTTCTTCGTTAGGGAGGAAGGCTGGGATCATCCAATCCATGGTCTTTTCCGAGAGATAAGGACCATTTTGGAAAGTTTGATAAGTTTTGGATTTGCTGTGTGTGTCTGTGACTGGGTAGAGAAGAACGATTTGCCCGATCTTGGAGGGAAGGTTGCGGCTTTGGGCGAGTTGTGTCATTGCAATAGCCATGTGGCCTATACCTTAATTAGACTCTCAGTTTGCGAGAGGAATTTGGTACTTACCGCCGACACTATCGCCAGCTAGACCAAAGGTATCAACCTTAAGGCCATACTTGTCGCCATTCTTGATGAAGTGCTCCAGGACGCCGTACACCTGCTCAAATTGGACTGGGTATTGTGCTTCAGGAGCTGGTGTGTAGTAAGGGAACACAACGGCAGCCCCAGTCTGGCGTGCAAAATCTTCCATCAATGCGCCATGCACTGTCGGACTACGAGAGTTAGTCAGTAAATATCATCTGCCTTTTTCGTCTTCTTACCTTCCGAGAATCCATCCACCACCGTGGGTGTAAAAGATCACGTTAAGGGTGCCCTGCGCGTTCTTTGGCCGGAAAATGACAGTCGTGACACTTTCGCCTTTGACTTCGACTTTCACTTCTTCGCTCTTGATGTCATCAGCAGGCTTATAGCTCTGAATATTTTCCAGGATCTCGCGAGCTTCAGTGTAGGACTTTGTGTATAATGGTGGACCTTCAGCTGCCGCGTCGGCGAACTTGCGATTGATGGGATCGAGATAAGTATCCATGGTCAAAATTTGTCACCGGTTTGAATGAAGAAAATGTTTGTAGGTTCTGGTAAGTCATGAACGGATTCAAGGGTGTTCAGTCTTCTTATATCATAAGCCAAACCCGCATCAGTGGCTTGCTTATCCAGATGCCCGAGATCAGGCCCCCGCACCAGGTGCCATCCTGAAGAGTTTAGCATGAATCGATATCACCAAGTCTTCATAAGCAAGTGCTTACGTTTGTATCATCTTTCTAAGCTTCTCCCCTCGCCTCATTGGTCGAGAGCAGATGGAATTTCCGGTGATCTCTGGAAAAGGAAGAATTGGCTGCAAAACAAGGAAAGTGAAGTTGTGTTCGTCCTTTGTTTTCGTATACGCTATCTGCATAAAGGCATAATTGGTCATTCTGAATCTGCACAGTGACACCGTACTGCATGAACTGCTTCTGTTGGTGGGCGTATGTAGTTTTTATTCGACCCAGCCTCGCAAGTATCTGGCTATTCAAACATGGAGTGAATCCGTTCACATCATGTACTGCAGACCGATTTTGTAGGCGTGGTATTCGGGTTGGATTGGATGTTTTATTTACTCCCGCCGCCAATTAAGTCCACTGCGCCGGGTGTATTCCAGATTGGGACCCGACGAGGCTCCAGGCGCCTGCCATAACCCCTGCCCGCTATAAGTTAGTCGTTCACTGTAAGTTTTGTGCCTGCGGGGCAATCAGTCCATCGCAGAGCCTTAGAAAACCAGCTCTGCAGACGGTAACTTTAGGCATGGTCTCAGCGGGCTTGAAACGTAGACATGGGCTCAGTAAACATTCCATTCAGCCTCCAACACAGCCATGAAACAATGCTTGAGGCTGCGCTAAATTGAGGTCAAATTGAGTGATGAGCACTTTTTCCAGTGAAACCTCTTGTATTGCTGATGGATGACTGGAAGGTACCAAGCATAGCGGCGATGGTAGCAATCCATGGCAGTGACTGTCAAGCACGATACCGTGTTTTACGAGACAAAAATATATATATTAAATTATTGAATGACTACCTCTGTATCTAACTGACTCATTGGATGCATTGAATCCCTCCCCGAGTTCTAAGCCAAGTTACTCTCACGTTCTCCCGGCTTCTTTTGATCCATCTTTCGCGAAAGATGCTTCCACCAAATCGCAACCTTGCCTAACAGCGACTCTGACTTCATTTCTACTGAAAAGTCTGGGAAATCGTGATATCGCATACTAAGACCAGGACGCACCTAGGACTCAAGATCCTCTTGACAGATAGCATGAAGTCCGGGTTCTTGCCTTGACCTACATGCGTTGCGGACTCGAGAGCTTATTAGGTCCCACTTGTAGCCGTATAGAAGGGCGATGCTGAGAACGGCTAGCGTTAATGGTATCGCAGAAGACCAAAAGATCTTCTGGTTCCACTCAATGTCTCTCACGTCTGTTGTGTTCATACCGAAAAAGCTCGTGACGAAGGAACTATGCCAGGTGATCAGTCTATCTTCTTCACAATAATCGTTATGTCGGGACTCACAGTGGGAGGAAGAACAGTGTAACAAAGGTAAAGACTCGTATCGCTTTCCCATGACCTTCATCAAGAACTTCCAGAACCTGTCTCATGTCCTTTCTTGCCTTATTAGCAACGTTTCGCAGCATTTCCAGAGTCTCTCTATCGTCAGCCAGCCTTTTGATCTGTGAGTTAAGATAACGCTCTTCCAAATGATATATATCTTTTCGATCCTGCAAATACGCCAGGCTTGTTGGGTCGGACTTCAATCCGACAGGGTTGATTGCAACTTTGTATCTCTCGAGTGTGCATTCTTGAACCTGAAGTACAGCCTGAAGAGCCTCCAACTCCTCTTCAAGCCTTGATATCTCTAGAAATCGCTTTCTGGCTGGATTTCGAATTGCCGCAGAGCGAAGGGCGTTAGACACCCGCTGGTAATGCTTGACGATGTCCAATTTCTTTCTTGTTCCTTGGACGATTGTGTCGCGGTGAAGATTGTTCAAAAGTATGGTAACCAAGACTTCTGGGTTGATGGTTGAAATATTCAATCGATCACGGCCATCATGGCCTATATCAGCCATAACGACACTGTGTTTGGCACGATTGAGTGAGTCCCAGACCTTCTGGTTCGTATGTTGTTTGGATAGGGGAAAATAGGTTGCTTTCGATGTTCTATTCTATTTGTAGAACCTTGTTTCAGGGAGTCTCAAGCGGACTTGATTCATTTGCGCAAGCTCTTCAGCTGCGAGTGCAATCTTGATGACGATGTGCTCGAATGTGTCCATAAGGCTTTGGAGGAGAAACAAATTCTTTCCCAAAGCCAAAGTATGGATCTCGTGTGCCATCGTCCAAATGTCAAGAAGGTCCTCTGACAATTGTCTTACAATAGAAGTATATGATTCGTCGAGTTGTGGTTCAGAAACCCCCCACTGAAGCCATCCCAAACAAGGGTCGTAGATAATCTCATCTTGTTCGACTCTCTGGTAGACTTCGATATGGTATGCGTATATATGTCTTAAGGCATCAGATAGCGACTTATAACACGCACCTCGCCCACAATCGCTACACCCCTCAGGTAGGAGTTTCTTCCATCGAAAGCTGAATTTGTGATCAGGTGCTGCTATACTGAGAAATGGTGAAATAGAGAGCCATCTCGGATTTTCGAACTCATAGACCGGCACTGAAGCCAGGCTGACTTGCTGCAGAAGGGTGTTAGCATATCGTTATGTCAAAGGAAGGCGAGCACATACTCTGACAAGCGCATCTAGTGTCCCTCTGAAATGATTCGCTAATGCAGAGTCGTACTGGTCAGAACTGAAGAGATTTAAAGTTATCTCACAAACTTGCAATAGCTGCTCAAGAATCTGTGTATCTGAGGAATACTGAGAATAGTCACGTTGGGTATTGCAAGTCTGTGGATCTTCGTGATGAGCCGTATCGCTTGCAGTAGCCGATGTGGTTTTCTCGAGGTTGTCCTTGGCAATCTTGCATTTCAACTCGAAGTCTCTTCTAGTGCATTGAGCGACAGACTCTAGCCTACCAATAGGTTCTTCAAATTGCATTGACCGTAGCCTGTCTAAAAGATAAATACCCTCAGTCATCTCTTGGCTGGATCGCATTTGGGGATTGATTTTTGGAGACTTCCAAAATAAGAAAGGTACGAAACTACCCTCAGAAAGGGTACCTGGCGATGAAAATGTCGATGACGCTGAAGACGGGTTTCCCGGACCTTCGTAGTCGTCGATGCCCGTAAGTTCAACAAGTGGCTTTGATGGTGAAGTAAGGTCTCCTGACGAAGGGGGCTCTTGTGAAGTTTCGGACATGCTGTCGCTGATGTCCTTACCTGGTATAAGAGGCAACACATTGGCTTGTTGTTTTACCTGGAGCGCATCATCAGGTTGACGAATACCTTGCTCCCAGAGGCTCCTCAGACTGTCATCAAAGTGGAATACATGCCTCCCAACCTCCCCTGAGCGCGTATACTCTGTCCAGGTTTCTTCATCGATAGGGACTTTATGTTCCTTAATTAGCACATACATCTCAAGCCCAACTCCGATGTCAAGCGCCTCCTCAGCTTTCTTCATGAAAGTCTACAAACCTTTAGTACATGCTTTAGACTGATGATGATACTTATACTAACCTCATAATCACATGTCTTTCCAATGGTGATTGTAGACTCCAATGTTTGCGTATTCTTCAACACTTTAACTTCATAGTGGTCGTTCTCGGTGTCTTCGGTGCTTTGGATATGCCACCTAAACCTGATGTTTGATGACACCAAGTTTTTCCAAGACTCTGTAGAGAAGTTTATGAGAGTTTCTAAACATGATGTTAATCCTAGTAAAAGTTCTAAGCGGCATGGTGTATACCGCTGCCTATCAAAAGAAAGCCTGTTTCTGGCACCTTGAGTGCGTTCACCAGGTCGCTCTGGGGGCGCTGCAAGGCTGGAACCCCAACATTCCGGTCCGAGTCAATGCTGAAACCAGATCCATATAGGAACTGGAGGAGTGTTCTAAAACTGGTCTCCAAAGTCTGTCTGTCTTTCGCTGCCTTTTCTGGCACAGTGAGGGATGGGGTTGAGAGGAATATGACAGGCTCAGTAGTATTGACGAAACGAATAGGTTTGTCAATAATATACCCAACATGTTTTATTACAGTTCCTGTATGGACCACAGAGGTAGAATTGTCGGGGAGTTGTTCGTTCGCATCAAGCAGAACTCCCAATGTAACGGGCTTCAGCCTATTGGAAATAAATGGACAGTCGACAACAAGCCGCTGCCAGTTCGTCGTCAATACCTTGGTCATCTGTTTACAAGAGATGGGGAAAGCCTCACTTGTAATAGTTTGAGATTAGGCTTAGTGCTCTGAAGATGCCTGGACACACATTCAGTTGGATTTCAGCATGCTATTGGGTCCATTACTCACAACCATCTTATCTTTATTTTCCTACCGTCTCTAAGCTCTCTCCAGTTGCAGTCAACGACATTAAGATCAATGTTTGGTGACTCTGTTGGGCTTTCAGCGTAAACGCCTTCAATTATTTCGCAAAGATGAGTATTCACGCTCCAGTCTTTGGGCAACATTGTCTGTCTTAACCAGGCCTTAACAGTATCTGGAGGCTTCAGGCCCGTTACCAAGGATTCCGTTGCTTTTTGATGGTCACATAAAGGAAGGCTTTTTGAAATTGACATTTGCTTGATCCAAGGTCTCGTCGCCGCATGAGGAGGGTCATAACGGGTAGATGGCTCGTCATCAAAAACGCTGGGAGCTGGTATACTATCGTTGACTTTCTCAGAAAGATTCTGAGGGCTGTATGAGGTCTTTTCGACGGCGGGTTGCGATTCACCGTTGGTATTGCTTGGAATATTCTTCCCTTTCTTGCCAGACTGGCTGCAATTGTTGACCATGGTCGCTAGGGAGGGAATGGAAGGTCAAATGTGGACTGCTATCACATAGCTACTGGAAGGTCAGTGAGAGGACTTTTCTTCACATTTAGCCGCAGCTTCAAAGACATCTGTCAGACAAATGGGTGGGGGAAAGATCATCCATATCAACGCGAAGCAATGATTACTAAATTTGCCCAACAAAGGCTTCATTCGCATCGCTACTGCGACGCAAATGATGTGGAGTTCCCGTCGATGATTTGTTCACAACAGAAGGTGCTATGGTGCACATGGTAGACAATCATTTCTTCGTATGGCTGTCGACGTAAGACAAGAACCAAGATGGTCGCAAAGAATAATAGCGAGTCCCCAACTTGGCCTTTATGCGACACAAGAGCTCCCGTCCAAAACGCTGACATCTTGTAACTAGCAGGTTCCCGGGACTAGAGAAAGCACAAGGTCTCGATGAACTCGAGCGAATCTGATCTCTGTAACTGAACACCCGGCAGACCCCAAATGAAACGAGAGACTTCGGGCGAGTTTGAGCTTTCAAACAGTGTGAATCTGTACGATTGTAACAGCAAATAGTTGTACATACTCACAAGCACCTGGTCTTGTTTGTTGTGCACTCGCCAAAGCCATTGTTCTTGTACAAGGACAACAATTATCTTTTGGCCCTTGGATAGTCCACGTTCAGTCGTACACGGGTACAACATCGGACAAATCACGACCTATGCCCTTTACAGTTCCGTCTAGGACCTTTTCCTGTGTTACAGACTGTTGTGCATCAACACAAAACGAGCAGCACCGGAGTGTTTTCCTGTTCGGAAGTTACGATGGCGAGCGCACGGCCAAGTGTAACGACAAGAGCTATTTCTTACTTGTCACGGCGAGTCCTATATGCGTTTCTGTTCCCTCTGAGTTACTCGGTATCGAATGGTTCATGTTAAACATTTTGATCAACCGAGTGCATTCAAGTGGGACAGGAATCGTAAGGTTGATCGTTCTCGCGGTTTCCTTACCCTAAACCATCAATATTCACAGTCAAACGCAAATACCATCTTTCAAGAAGTTTAGGGCTAGTGAAGAGACAAGGGTCAATAAAAGTATTCTTTGACTACTTGTACATCTTCTGTCACAGGTGTCTATACCAGGTTTGTGTTCGTTGAAATTACACTCGCAGGTTGAGTCGGGTGTCCTTAGTCTCCCGCGCCGTAAAAAAAACATCCGTTACCAGAAATTTCTGGAACCTTTGTTGGCAGTTCTAAGTTCTACGGATTTGGATACTTATTTATGAGCATATTATATTCTATCAAATCAGATGTTTACACACTCTTTACCTCCAGGTACTAGTATGCCCTGACTGGTCAATGAAAATTGTAATGAGAAGGATTTAAAGTGGAACTGAGTCAATTGTGCGGCGTAGCCAGCAAAAACGACGATGGCCCAGTGATCCGCATCACCGAGCAGCTTTTGCTCAATTCACAACTCGCAAATACAAATAATATTTCTTGAGTGCCTCATAGAAGCGATGCGTGGAAATGCGAACCCATTGCGCCGTTGTGCGCGCCATCTTGGTGCTTTTGCCACCTTTGAGTCGCGTCCCGCCACATCAATTCATCGCCTCTTACCAGTGACCAGCCTCCAGAGACAATGGACAAGCAGTCAATGCTGCAGCAAAAAGAATGCGAACACACCAGCACCGACTTCAATTACGTCGCCTACATTCTGGAACTCAAGATCGACATGGAAGAGGGCGTCAGTCAATACCACGCGCTGTCTCATCGGTTGCACGGCTGGTGATTTCACCGCGATGTGGATCCTGCAGGCCTACTACCCAGACCTGTCCATGGCAATTGTCATGCCAATCTCCAGCAAGTCGCCCACGACATAACTGCAGCTATAACACTCGCTAACAGAAACAGTGGCCTCTGGCATCTCAACATCTATCCTTCTCGAGACTGTAATGCTGCGCATCGGTCGCGACGGGCTTACATGGCTCACCGCCGCAAAGACGGCAATTGGGATGAGCTTAATCTCCATGTTGACCATGGAAGCGGCAGAAAACGCAGTGGATTATTATCTTACTGGCGGACAAGTTGCGCTTAATGATCCTTCGTTCTGGATTGCGGCATTGGTATCTATTGCTGCTGGATTTATGGCGCCGCTGCCGTACAATTATGCGAGATTGAGGAAGTATGGAAAGGCTTGTCATTGAGGGAGGTCAACTGTACCATCGTATCTACCTTTGCGCTATCAGTGTTCTAGTGTGATGGAAAGTGGATGTCTTTTCTTTTCCCTTTGCAATGGAACCGTGTTTTCCGAATTGTGTTGAGTCGCTTGTAAATCCCGGCAACGGTTTTCCGATTCGCCGTCACCGATTCCCAGTGACATTTTCCCATGTCAACAATCAGTCCCCGAAGCCCAGACGCCAAGTCGGCAATTTAAGCCTGCAGCCAAGCCGAGACATCCCCAGAAATAAATCGCCGTCAAATCTACCCAAGGTTGGAGTTGAACGTCTCGAGTCTCGACTCTCTTTTAGGGACGTAGCGCCACACGTGAACAGACGGCATCGCGTCGGAGTCTGATCAGTGTCCGAGTTTTTGAGAAGGGAGAGCAGAAAGCTACAGAGAGAAAGACACGGCGACAAAAAGTAGAAGCCGAAAGTTGTTGAATTGTTATTATGATATTGATCTGTAATTATCAGATTCTACTTCGGCGTCATGTCCCGGAGCAGAGATGGATTGATCATGTCGGCGTCATTTGAGGTTGGATTCGGGCGATTTGGTGATGGGGGTACAATGACTCGTCAATTCTGTGACAAGTGTAACAAAACAAACATCCATAGTTTGCTCTTTCAATATTGCCCATAGTAATGGCAATGATGTCTCTTTGCCAATATTGTAACAGCATCGACTGTCGGTATGGATTTCCGTGTCTCTCAATCGAACGTCTTTCGCAGTAAAATCGCATTGACCATTCCCCCACTGAACCAAGGAGCAGGGAGCCCTGGAGTCCCGGTCATGCACCATCCTCCACCGGATCTAATGGTTCCCCATCTCACCTCTGATCTCCGCAATTCCATCCAGATTCACCACCAAATGAGACACCACACATCTGTCATCATCAAGCATAATTTCTCTAGCGTCTCTCTCTCCCCTCAACAAAGCAGCGCCGGACTCTACTTCTAACCACCGAAACTACCCCAGATTCTTCCTTTCCCCAGGTTCACTAGCTCCCCCAGCTCCCCCGCTCCCCGCGCGATGATCATGGACGGGGCCATAAATACACGGGGTCTAGACCCGAGAGAGTGAAAAGTTTTTCTCAAGGCTCCAACATCTTCTCTTCAACAAGCGACAATCATGGCCACTACAAACGAGCACCAGCACGGCAAGGAGGTGCCCGATTTTGCGCACGTCAACAGCGTCCTCGAGGATGAGAAACCTGCGCAGGATGAGGAGAGGGATTGGACGGGTACTGCCAAGAAGACAGACCCAGAAGAGATCCGCCTCGTCAAGAAGCTTGACTTATGGATCATGGTACGTGCCAATGCTTGGTACCCGATCGCCAATGTTCTTGGCTAACTGATCTTCTCTTCCAGCCCTGCCTTTGCATCATGTACTTCCTCAACTACGTCGACCGGAATGCGATTGCGCAAGCACGATTGAATAATTTGGAGGAGGATCTCAACATGAGTGGAACCGAGTTCAACACCACTGTTTCGATGTATGTGGATCCGAAATACGATCTCTGAACACAGCGCTGACTTTGACAAGTCTGTTTGTTGGTTATGTTTTGATGCAGGTTCCTAGCAACATGTTGATTACCAAGGTTAAGCCTGGCATGTACATGAGTTGCTGGATGTTGGTTTGGGCCGCTGTCTCTGGTAAGTTACAAACAACCGGAAAGCGAATTCTCTGTTAATCGTACCATCAGCCTGCACCGCGCTCGTCAAGAACTATGCTGGCCTTGTCGTCTGCCGATTCTTCCTGGGTATTACTGAGGCTCCTTTCTACCCTGGTGCCACATACATGCTCTCCATCTTCTACACACGAAAGGGTCAGTAGCTCGATTCATCGCGCAAATCAGTATACTAACGACGAGCAGAGGTCGCCGCCCGTATCGCTCTACTCTACTGTGCCCAGATCCTTGCGACTGGCTTCTCTGGTCTTATCGCTGCAGGCATCTTCGCTGGCATGGATGGTCTCGCTGGTCTTGCAGGATGGAGATGGTAAGTTGACTCAACCAAATCTCAAATCATCAATTAACAGCTCCAGGCTTTTCATCGTTGAAGGTGCCGTCACCGCCCTGGTCGCCATCGTCGGCTTCTTCATGCTTCCCAATACTCCTCTCACGACTCGCTGGCTCACAGAGCGCGAGAAGCAGCTTGCTCACGAGCGCATGGAGAAGGACAAGGTCTCTGACTCTCAAGAAGGAGGCTCTTCTTGGGAGGGTCTTAAGCAGGCTTGTAAGGATAAGCGAACGTGGCTTTTCTGCCTTATGCAGAACTTCCATCTTTCCGCCTGCTCATTCAACTCTTTCTTCCCTACGTAAGTTCCATTGGTACTGGCTCCCGAACAAGGCTAACTGTTTCCAGTGTGGTCAAGACCCTCGGCTTCAACACTACCATTACCCTTGTCATGACTTGCCCACCTTTCATCTTCGCTGGTGCCGCTGGTATCCTCTTCGGTTGGAACTCTGGACGTATGCACGAGCGTACCTGGCACATCACTGCTGGTCTGTCCATCGCCATCGTCGGTTTCGTTCTTGCTGCTGCGTCTCTCAACACTGCTGCTCGATACGTCGCTTGTTTCATCTTCCCCATGGGTGCCTACGCTGTCAACTCTGTCATCATCGGATGGGCATCCTCTACTCTGTCGCAGACCAAGGAGAAGAAGGCTGTTGTTTTGGCCATGACCAACGTTGGTGGTCAGGTAAGTCACGGCCATTCCAACTACCAATTTAGCTTGATACTAATTCTGCCTTAGATTGGTTACATCTACGGTGCCTACCTTTGGCCCAAGAGCGACTCTCCCCGATACGGAATTGGATTTGGTGCATCTGCTGGCTTTGCTCTTTGCTCTATTGCATGCGCCTGGGCCATTCGTATCCTGTTGGTGCGTGAGAACCGTCGCATTCGCGCTTCCACCTCTGAGCAGGTCAACCTCTACGGCTACTAGATGGATAAAAGGATATTTTGTATATAATCTCGGATATTTCGAAATGAATGATCGTTAACGCATTTTCAACGGCATTTTCGTGACTACCTTAGGCATTATGACTCGACTATTTCCTTCAGAGCGACCAACTCAGCGTTGGTCCACTCCTTGACTTTACCCTGCCATTTCCCTCCGGTACCACCACCTTTGATGTCCTTCACCACAGCCTTGACCTTCTTCGCCATGGCATCAACAGCGACTTGGTCACCCACGATGACAACCGGTCCACCACCTTTAGGCTCTCCAATTGCAATGACGACCACAAAGCCTGTTCCCTGCAGGATATCCCTTGTCTCGCCGACGATCTTGTTAATAAAGTCGGTGTTGCCCTCGTAGCGATGGATGAACGCATTCATTCTGTTCTGCACGATGATCCGGATCGCTTGCTCGCTTTCGAACTTTGCTATCTCGAGGAGAAGCTTCCGCTCCGAGCGCTTGAGATCAGTGCCGCTATCCGACAAAGCTGTCGCTCGGGTGACGACTTCGTTGGGGTCGCTACTCGAGGACAAGAGTTTGGCGATTTTGTTGATGGCGCCGACCGAGGAGGTGGCGAGGTTGATCGCACGGTCGCCGGCTACGAATGATAGACGACAATTCTTACCATGAACAGATTGCATTGTGCCGAGAATGATGAGGGAGATATGTGACGTTTGACCGAGGTGAGTTCCACAGCATCTGCCAAAGTCAGTAACGAGGTTCGGAAAAGGGTAGGAAATATGTACGTGTTATCATCTAGATCCCCAATGGAGATGACCCTAACAACTCCATCAGACTTGTCGTAATCTCCTGGTAGTTTGTCATGTTTCGCATCATCCGGCGTCTGAACTTTGATGGACAGGTTATCTCGGATCTTTTCGGCGCACTCCATCGTGATAGCCTGCATCTCGTCTTCTGATGGCTTCCTCTGCAAATCGACATAATTGAAACCCCCCTCTGTACCCATTCCCCAACCGACCGTCTTAATGCCATGGCTTTTCATCATCACCGCGGACAAGAGATGCTGACCGGTATGCTGCTGCATGTGATCCCATCGACGCTTCCAGTCGATTTCTTGACGGATCCTGTCGCCCGGAGAAAGCGGTTTGGGCGAGTAGATCACACATCGAAGACCTTGCCGCTGCACGTTTTTGACGGGAATTGGAGTTTGGTCGTCGCCTGAGAGGAGTGTGATCGTGCCGTGATCGCAAGGCTGACCGCCGCCTAAGTGACAGTTAAATAAAGTTCGAGTCTCAGTAAGCGTAGATTTGATAGCTCACCTTCTGGAAATAGCACTGAATCAGAGCATTCAATTAACCACTCATCATGCGCATGTCCATTATGCTTCTTGGACTTGTGCGCCTGCTTCGGCGCCTTCTCACAAGACACAACTTCTGTCTCAAGCGTCTTCCGATAAGATTCTGATTGGCATGTCAAGTCGCCGACGACGCGACTGCCGCCGTTATCTTGTTGAGTCATATTGTCGATGTCGATGTTGGTGGAGCACCGAACATCCGGAGATGTGTCACTGACGTATGGGGCATGATGACTAAGATGACAGTCACTTGACGTAAAGAGCGAACAAAGAGATGTTATGTCATGTGGCTGGGTGGTGTCTCAGTTTGGAGTTGCGATTATATGAGTTCATGAGCAGGATTGTATTGGAAAGAATAGTTGAAATATCAAAATTTTATTTGTGCGACATTATGCTGTCTTGCCGCGAAACCGGCCAGAAGATCTTGAAGTCAAGGAGCGAATAACAAAGGAAAGCAAACATAGGCTGAAGAGCTATAGCAAATAGCACGAGTATCTACATGTCCTTCCCTTTGCCCAACAATCCAATCCCAATTAGACCATAAACCTTGTTCAGCTCACGCTCGTTGCCATGTGTTGGGCCTGCTGTCGCCTTCGACGAGGCCGTCCAAAGCCCCATGAAGCAGCCCCTCATCATTCGTACCAGCCAGGTGGCTGACAGAAGAAATGTCCTCTAAGGCTTAGGCTACTATGATAAAGTAGCGTAAGTGCTAGTCTTATCTGACATAAAGTGACCAAATTATTTCGTCTCTTATGCTCTTAGGGACAATTCTTCTGATATCTCTGAAGCTAGCAGGACGACTTAAATGAGGGATTTCTTGATATAGAAGAGCCCGCAAATCATTGTTGAGTCCCCGAACTGGCACTTCTGACGGGAATGATCGGCACATCATCCAGCTCCGAGAAACGTGTGTTAGGGTTGATGCGTCTGTTTCGAGGCGTATTCCGGCGGCCATCCCATACCCGTGCGATCACCTGGTAAGGGCGAGCGACTTCCATACGACTTTGGCCGGGAAGATGAAGTTTCATCTCTTCTTCGTCGAAAGAGCCTTGTTGTGCAGCATTGAAAGCAGTGTCGCTAACGCTGCCGCCCTTTCGCTCGATCTCGATTTTGGGAAGGAACGTGACTGTGACGATGTAATAATCGAGCATTCCATCCTCGGTCTCATCACGAACCCAGCGTTGGTTATTCCAAGTGCTCGAACCACTCCACTGGCTTTGTTTCGTGGTGGCCGCATAAAGAACAACACCGTCTTTGCGCTTGAAATACCACTTCTTGATCATCTGCGCCGCGATCTTGTCGACCTGGTCCTTCTTCCTCTTCAAGGACTCCAGCTCAAAGCAGAACTGGTTCGTGCTGGATGACAAGACACTGGCAACGCCCTTGATCCAATTTGCCTCGAAGCGAAGGGGCTCGTCGTCCTCCCAAAACCACCAATCAGTGTGACGGATGGTCAGCGTCACGATGCGGGGCGCAAGATACGACGAGTTGAGGAGGCGCTTGAGCTCGCCATCCTCAAGCTTGTACATCTGCGCAAAGATCCTCAGCCTCTCAATCTCGACGTTGTTTGTGCCTTGTTGATCCGCAATTCGTTTGAGCATTCTGCTCATCGGAGGCGGATGGTGCCTAGAAGGTGGGGCACGGTCTGGCGACGATAACCATCGCGTATGCTCTCGTAAGAGAAACGGTTTGAACCATGTCTCACGATAAATGGCGCGACATGTACGGAGTAATCGGGTATCGGTTGACTGGTCTGCTTTCCATGAAGGACGAGTATAGCACGTTTTGTCGCTGAATTGATTTGACGGGTCCGGGTCCGGATGGTCCGTCAGAACGTAACAGAAGATGCTGTCTCTGATCTCGCCTGGAAGAATACGGAAGAGGGGACAGTCCTCTTGGGGGTCATCTGACTGACTGAGGAGGCTCTCGTGAAGGAGTTGATGCATTTTAGGTAAAGAGTGCTCTAAAGCTTAGGGCATTACGATAAAATAGCCTAAGTGTTGGTCTAAGCTAGCATAAGGCGACCAAATTATTTCGTCTCTTATGCTACAGCGGTCTGGTCGATAAATAGAAAGAAGAGAGTAAACTTAAGATGATGTCTTTTTAAGGTCATCATCCGTTAGGCAACCGTGCGGGGCTTCCAGCCGTCCCGTCCTGTTGCCTCCGGTGCCTGGAACCAACCAAGCCGCTACGCCACTACGCCATGCACTGTTTTATGCACAATTGACCCAATCAAACAGAACGAAAACGATAATTACTTGAAATTCGACCTCTATTCACGGTACATGATACGAGCTCAACAAGACCAATCACATCGCTGCACGTCAGTCAAGCCTGTCCTGTTTTGGGATATACTGAAATCTATTCGCCCTGTACTCTGAAACGTCCAAAGCCGATCCATATCCAAGAAGCCGTTCTGTTTGACTCCATCCTTCAGTTTCCGAATGTCTCCGTAAACCTCTGCCCTCTGCACCATTCAGCTCTAGATCAACTCTAAGCGCCTGGGTCCTGTGACTGGGTTCAGCTGTACCCGTTTCTTCTTGGGATTCGCCTGTGTCTCACGAAAAGCTCTTCGAACATGTCCAACATTGATCGGCTCTCTCTTCAGATCTTTGGTAACGAATAATCGGCACTTCCTGTGTCCTGAATTCATCGAAGGAAGACTAACTTGGGCTCTGTGCGCCGCTAAGTCTTGTGCCTGTATCGTCAGTGCGATATCTGTGAGGCGCTTCACCATCTCAGCAGCTATGAAACCAAGGATTTCCAGAGAGTCCTCTCTCCTGACAATATCGGCCACAACACCAACACCTGCCCACTCGCGGAAACGCTTTGGCTTTCTCGTCGTGAAAGATGCGTGTCGGTATTCAGAGTACACGGCGTATTCCTCGCTGGTCATTGCTTTGGTGACTTCATCCGCCCAGCGAAGCCTTTGCAGGCTGTCCTCGCCGGGATCGTTGAGCAGCTTCTCGTTCGTGTCGCCGCCCGGTGGAATGATCGAGTAGTACGACTCGACGTCCCAAGGCAATGTGCCTGCGGCAGGTTCCGTTCTCTTAGCGGCAACCTCCTCAACCATAGGATTTTCGAGCAGCTCGTCTGACATTTCGTTGGGATCGTCTATTTCCACACCATCCTGCATATCCTGATTACGCTTTTTAGCTTCCAGGCGGACGGCTCGCCATCGCAACAGGGACTTGATGCGCTGGACCCTTGGTTCGTCGTGGCGGACTTGGAAGATGATGTGATTCAGAGAGACGGTCTTCTTGCCGGCGCATGCGGCGAGATCACTGGCAGTGGATAACTGGAGGATATTAGTGAGGCTTCGATCAAATTGACTGCTAACTAACGATATGTCTGACTTGGTCTTGTACGATCTGTTCCACGAGGATCAAAGTCTCTAGCGAGACGTCTTGGGTCTCGCCAGCAACATACATCATCTATAAAATGTTAGACTAGACGACCAAGGATGAAAGAGGCTGGTCACCTGCTGAATCTCGCTACGATACTTGGGCGCAAACCCGTTCGTGGCGGGTGAGGATAGAGGCATGTTCGAATATGGTCACGTTCTTGGTCAGGTCGAGGAATTGCACGTACCAGCCTCTTTATACTCTGCTGTTAGGAATCACTTCAAGAGATCTGCTTGGTTCGTGATACATGTAGTCTGATTGTTGATTGACTGTAGGTTGGGTGTCTTTGTTAATCAGGTACACGAAGAAGGTCGTGATCCAAGCTAGTGAGAAGCCATGACGAGGACCTTCCAACAAATAGAGGGGGCAAAAGGATGGGCTCATAAATATGGTGGTCAATTGTTCAAGCTAATATGGAAGGTATCTATGGCATGTACCCTATCTTGAGAAGCCATCGCCCGTCCTGGCGCCTTCCAACTGAGCCTCTGTGAGGCCTTGGAGATGCCTTCCTTCAGAGGCTAATACGATAGATTGCGTTACCATTCGATCGAGGAGGTTACTCCCAGGTTCACCACGAGCCTGTCGTCGTGATGATTGAAAAATTGAAGGAGAGAAAAAAGAAAAGAGGAGGGGAGAACAGAGAGAATGAACGAGGTGGTGGAGGAGCTCTTGGCAGGCCTCGAAATAGGGAGCTGGATCAGCAGTAGCAGTCGCAGCTAGGTTCAACGCCTTGGGCGCGAAAATGCAGAGCTCTTGCGGCTCTATAGCTCGCTCGCCGGTTGTGTCAGCAAGTTGGGGTCTACAGATCCAGCAGGCGGTCCCTGGTTAAGGAGAGCATCAGCTCCCTCATTGAAGCGTTGTATGTCCTGGAGGAGGGCAAAACTGTCCTTTGGCCAGTAATAAGGCCAGTTGCACCCGTCACACGCGGCCCGGCCGAGCTCGCCCTCAGGGGCGCTTTCGATGACATGGATGGCCAGCTCGAAGGTTTCCTTGGGAATGTAAGCCGAATTTGCGAAATATTTGTTGAAATTATCGCTTGTGTTCTGGATTGCGTTGTTCATTCCCGCCGTGAAGTATTCCTTTATATAGCGGGCAAAGCGATGGGTCTCCTTGGCATCCAGCATGGCCATGGCCGGTGGACCTGCAACCGGGACGGCAACACTGTTCTCCTCGATTGGCTCCATTTTGATGGATCGACGAGAAGTTCGGTGGAATGATGTGTCCTGGGCGATGTGTTAATAATGGCACTAAAATGTTTCAAGGATCTCTATTGTATACTTTTGACCAGGGAGTAGAAATGGTAGAGATGGGTGTGTTGTGGTAATGGAAAAGCTGGACTTAGAAATCGAAGAGGCAGTCTTTTATATACAACAAAGTTTTTCAACTCCCACGTTTTGCGGCCATTGTGAAGTGTCACCGTGGCTCACCGAGGTCACCCTTACTGCCTAAGAATGCATGCACGAAAGTAAAAGGCAGACCTAATGTTGGGAAATGCCGAGTTCATCAACAAGAGAGAGTCATGCACAACCATTTACTAAAACTATCTAGATGCCGAAGCGCCACACCTGATGCTGAATATTGGACTTCTGGGAAGCCAACGCAGCCTTTCATTAGTCCAAACCGCAATACCTCAGAACCTTTGCCTAACAGCCTATCATCTGGTCAGTAATGGCTCATCCGGGACTTGTAGAGCCTTGCAATCTGAGAATTTCGTTGCTGCCTGAACTCGTAAAGCCCTCAAGGCCTTCACGTAGTTTAGTTAGACAGACACTTGCTTGCCGAATCTGTTGAGACAACAGCAAAAGCGACCCGACCATCTGCAGAACGAGACTTCTGTCGCGTGGAAAACCTCCCATGATTCCATCAAGTGCTGTGGAGACGCAGTTGCGCTGATTCCTGGCCAGTAGGAGACAGTCTAAGGGTTCCATAAGTTAGGAATCTTTGCATGCACTGAAGCTTGTTCGTTTCGGACAAATGTGGCTGATATTCTTCCGAATTCAATGTCTCTGCTTCTACCGTGATTGGCGCCTCACGCTGGTCAAACAATGTTGGGGTCGGGCCTCGGGATAACGAGACCCTTTTCTCTTGAGCCACCCCCATGTACGTGCTCACCCGTCTACAACTCTCTCGTGTGCCTTTGGGTTCTTCCATTCTATGTGTGCTCCTGACTCAGTCCTCCACTTTTCTTTGTACCTTTGCGGCAGAAGAGAATGGTGACAGGGTATAGCTATACAAATCAGGCTTTTTCTTGTTATTGAAAAGGAAGATAGAAGAGCGGATAGATTGCAGAAATCAAGATACGACCTACGTCAACTTGAGGCTGAGATACAGCCTCTTACTATGGTACGTGGGATAAGGAAGACCATCAGACAAGGTTTCTGAATATAGTTGCACTTTGTACGAGGCATCAGCACTCCTTTGCCTACACTGAACCTATTGTTTTTGCCCTGAGAGGTAGAGATGTTGCGGTCTTGTGTGAGAATATTTGATCCTTGGACTGTTTGGGGGTATTAGCACTGTGTTCCATTGCAACAGGATAGTTTTGACTCAAGCCAAATTGATTTCGATAGTGACCGACCACAGGCTTCAAAGAAGAAGATACAGAGTTTGCACCCAGCCGTATGAGAGCTTAATCCAGCTGCTGGTATCATCCAATCAGAGCCACGCCCGGTTAGCTCAATCGGTAGAGCGTGAGACTCTTACGAGTACGCGATCTCAAGGTTGCGGGTTCGACCCCCGCATCGGGCTGTTCCTATAAAAACGATTGCAAACATCGTGGCATTTCTTTTTTTATATATATCCTCCTGTCTTATTCTCTTTCTGAATCTCTATGACTTCGGCGTGGTGACCAGAGTCTCTTAAGCCTCTGGCACTGAAATACCTGAAACTTCTTTGCAGATGTCCAGCAACTCTTCCTGCTTGCTAAGATTGTCCGCTCCCGGATGAGGTTTCGCTTCCCCACTGGTCATTACGAAAGCACCAGACGTAGCTTTCACCAGAGATCCCTCTCCAGCAACCCAGCTTGCCAATGCTTTTGCTGGTTCACTGAGCGTAATTGGCGCCGAACTGCCCCCCATCTTTGTCTTGACCCAGCCAGGATGCATGCTAAGAACCTGAATATCTGTCCACCGTCGCGCAAAAGCCTTTGCAAGCATCGTATCGTGAAGTTTTGTGTTGCCGTATGAGTGCGACTGCGTTGCGTTCTTTAGCGTCTCGTCACCGCCGTAGTGGCTATCCGAGCTCATGAACAGGAGTCGCGAAGTGGGCTTATCCATCAGAGAGGTGAGAATATAAGGTGCGAGTGTGTTGACGGCAAAAACAGCTGAGATCTTGTCTGAGGTGATCTCCTTTGAAGCTGTGGAGCCGTAACCGATGCCTGCGTTGTGAACGATAACATCGTAGGGTCCAGCACTGTTGGCTTCCTTGGCGAGCTTCTTGGTCTCGTCGATCGACGAAAGATTGCCGACTAAAACAGAGTGGGCGTTCGGGATGGCGGCTTTGGCTGAAGCCGCTCTGTCGGCGTTACGGGCATGGAGAACAACTTGATGGCCTTGCTCGGCGAGAAGCTTGGCGGCTGCTTGGCCAATGCCATCTGTTGAGCCAGTGATGAAGACGCGGACCATTTTGATATATGGAAAAATTGTTTAGTAGTTTGTGTAGATGTCAAGAAGCGGTCGCGGCAAGCTCTAGCGAGACGACTATATAGCATTGCATGATATCATAGACCCAGCGATTCATTACGTCACTTACAGACCGCATTTGACGAAAACTCAAGTTTGCGCGATAGAAAGATATTAGAGATAAACCCCATGACTTTGTCTGGTGTTCATAGTTCTCCATGCAGTGAAAGTTCAGTGCATCTGACTTGGCACGGATAGGTTACACAACATTAGAACCGTCTTATGAAGAAATGGATAGCTAAGCCACGATGGGAGGAACTTGTTCCAGCCGTTCAACACCGTAACCTTAAGATAACATCACTGGAGTCTCCATTCCCATAGAATGCAGCATAATTAAGAGAAGAACAACATGGAATGGGATAACAGAGCCGTCCATTCTTCTGACACTCGATTCTAAGGTGCCCCCATTCAGGGTAAACAGCACCGCCCGTTTCTCGGGCGATCTAGGCCCACCAATCTTACAGGGCATTACAGCCTCCACTTCCCCAATTCCCAGCACATAACCCCCCGTCGTACAGCGTGCATGGACTGGAACTCTAGTGCCTCCGCTGCTAGGATGGAATCATGGAATCTTCTCATATTCCTCTCTGTCATATACAAGTCGACCAAATTACCATCATCATGGTTCACTTCTCCGTTTCGGTCGTTCATTGCGATGACACGCTACCATAGGATCCGGGGATATAGACAGATTGAGCAACCAACTCGGACTTCCCCAGATCCAGTCCATCGGTTTCCCCACAAAGTGAGGCATTTCACCGGCATGAAAGCCAAGTTTAACTGCCGTCATACCTCGTCGGTGACGGACACCGAGGCCGAAACGCGGAGATGAGCTTCCCATCCATTAGATCGACAGACAATGCTCCCCAAAAAGAAATAGCCCGGCCTATCGTGATCTTGACTTCGCCGATGGAGCCCTGTGTCCTTGTCAATGGGGTGTATAAATACTGCTGGGATGTCGCGTGCGGGAAGTATCGTTCAGTGTAGTCTCAATATGACCTCTAGTCTCGGGAAAGTGCTGTTGTCTCTTCCAGCTTTGGCTGTGTCGGCTCTAGCAGGGTCTACCTCAAAATGTGAAGTTGGCACCATCTCAATCGCAAACGCTACAGTGGACTCGGTCAGCCACCATCCTCGCGGCGACGTGATTCCTCTACCAAATACCGTAGCATCATGCGGTGGACCATCTTTCAAAGTTAACATCACCAGCGATCTCTGTCGAGTCGTCGTCAATGTCTCGACAAGCGACTCCAGCTCAACACGTATCGAGGCTTGGCTACCTGACGACTGGAACAGCCGTCTTCTTGCAACTGGAACCGGCGGTATCGGAGGATGCATCGACTACCGTTTTGTCCAAAATGGCGCTCATCTAGGCTTTGCCAGCTTTGGCACCAACACGGGTCACGACGGCGAGCAGGGCTTCGAGTTCTTCCTCAACCAGCCTGAGACGATCAACGACTTCGGACACCGCGGTATCCACGTCGAGGCGCAAGTTGCGAAGCAAATCGTCGAGCAGTATTACGGGAAAAAAGCTTCCAAGAGCTACTACCAAGGCTGTAGTACAGGTGGACGGCAAGGCCTGCAGAATGCTCAGCTGTACCCGGAAGATTTTGACGGCATCCTTGCTGGAGCTCCTGGAATTGACTGGCTTCATATCGTGGCCTCCAAGGGTATTCTTGCTCGAAGAATCGGATGGCCTAACCTCGACTCTGATGCCTACGTTCGACCGGAGCAGTGGAAAGCTATTGTCGCTAAGCAGATTGAGATGTTTGATCCTCTTGATGGTGTCAAGGACGGCATCATTGACAACCCCGCCGCTCACTCTTTTGACCCTACGACCATGGCTTGCGGCACAAACGTGCTCAATAGCTCTTTGTGCTTAAAGCCGCAACAGGTTGCCTCCGTCCGGGCAGCGTACGAGCCTCTTGCCAACTCTGAGGGTCGCATTGTCTACCCTGGCTTTAATCTGGGTGCTGACACCAGCGTCTTCTCTGCTAACCAGGTCAACGGAACGGCCCAGCTGTCTTACACAGTTCTCCAGGTATGGAACACGTCAACTTGGTCTTTCAGTTCTTTCCTATTTGCTAACCAACAATCAGGACTTCTGGCGCGGTGCCGTCTACAACGACTCGACCTGGACACCCCACAACTTCACCGTCAAAGACATGGACTTCGCCATCAATATAAACCCCGGAGGCGTCAACGCCGACGAAGGCAAACTTGATAAGTTCTATGCAAAGGGTGGAAAGATCATCTCTTACCATGGCCAAGCCGATCAGACCATCACCCCCAAGCTGATTGCTGAGTACTACGCCAAGGTTCAGAGTAACCTCAACGCCACACTCGAAGAGATGCACTCTTTCTACCGACAGTTCTTTATTCCTGGAATGTATCATTGCTCCGGGGGTCCGGGTGCTTTCGATGTTGGACAGGTGTACCCCATGGATGAGGACAGACTGAATGCCAAAGAAAATGTCCTACTTGCTTTGACCAAGTGGGTCGAGGAGGATCAAGAGCCTGCCATCCTTGTTGGAGCCAAGTATGATACTGCTGGAAAGACTTCTGCTTACAGAAGTAAGTCAAAATGCACTATTTAGTCTATCTATACTAACTACCTGCAGAGTACTGCCCTTACCCGTTCCAGAGTAAGTGGGATGGATCTGGAAACACGACTAAGACAGACAGCTGGGAATGTGTTGTTTCAGGCGCTTAAAGCCTACTCAGTTTCCTCATATGCTATCGCATATAACAGTAACATATATCCAATATTCTAATAATTATGTACTCGAAATACAAGTATTTCCTTTACAACTTGCTCTTGTGCGGCCAGTCAATCCCCTGGAAGGATTGTATAAGGCTCTTGTCGATGTCCTCCACCTTGTTAATACCAGCGACATTCATGAGAATATCTAAATCAGCCAAAAGTCCCTTCAAAACGTGTCGTACGCCGTGCTCTCCCATGATACTCAGTCCCCAAATCCACAGTCGCCCAATAAAGACAAACTTGGCACCCAGCGCAAGCGCCTTGACAATATCGGCTGCGCCTCTAACACCACTGTCGAAAGTGACGACAATCCGATCGCCGACCTTCTCAGCGATCTGTTCAAGAGCATCAAGACTTGCAATTGCTCCATCAACCTGACGACCAGCGTGGTTGCTCACCACTATACCTTCGAAGCCGAGATCAGCTGCCTTTTCTGCGTCATCGACTCGCTGGATGCCCTTGATGAGGAAGGGTTTTCCGCTACTGATTTCCTGCCACTTCTTGCGAGCCCAGACAGCCTTCTCCCAAGACCATGCTCGTCCGTGCCAGACGTTGTCAATCCAGAGTGCTCCAGCTTCTGCGGGTTGCTTCTTTGGGTCAATCCCATGCTCGGCGAGGCGCTTCTGGAATACTGGGTCCGATAGACCGAGGTCTGCTCCGATACCACGATAGAAGGCGTAATTCGATGTAGCTACATCGTCATGTCGCCATCCGAGTTGCCAAGTATCAGTTGTCAAGATACACGCATCAAATCCAGACTCATGGGCCCGTGTGAGCAGTGAAGTAGTCAACTCGTCATCGTGAGGCATGTAGAGCTGGAAGAATCGAGGGCCCGTAGGGATACGATGGCTCTCGTCACTGTTCTTTGCAATCTTACGACCAGCGTTGTTGGCTGCTGCGACATCCTCGATCGGGCAAGACCCAGCGGTGGAAAGACTGTACGGAATACCAAGCTCACCCGCAACTTGAGCCACAGGCAGTTCACCCTGAGGATGGTAGATCTTATTGATGCCAATAGGCGCAATACCAAAAGGTGCAGAGACTTGATGTCCAAAAATGGTGGTCCTTGTAGTCCGGTCGTTTGTATCTACAAGCTGGCGCGGAACAATCTTATGCCGAAAGAAAGCTTGACGGTTCGCGAGATGAGTATCCGACAGACCTGCGTTGGAAGATGCATAAAGCCAGCCATTTTCTGTAAGTTTCTTCTTGGCAAGTTCCTCGAGTTTATCGGGATCTGGAAATATTAGCCAACGGACGGTTAGTAAGAGAGATTCGTGGACGTCATACGAGTGTTGAATGGTGGAACCTCGCCCGTGTTGAGTTTCCAGAAGTTTTCGCGCTGGTATAGTCCCCATGGGGGAGTATCGCGCTTTTTGATATGGGGCGAGTTGGGGTCTGACATTTTTAATAATTGTTGGAATATTTCTGGCTTGGCAAAGGAAGAAGTCGAAGACGTTGAGATATTGATGCTTGTTTCCACTTATACCCACGTTGATCACTCTTTATGACGTATTATATCAGTCATTCCGTATACCCGATCGCGGGACAATAATGACGAACGAGTGATTGACTTGTATTTACCGGCAGATATCGTCGGCTTCTGCCTCAACAATAGGAGCCTGAAGATCGGTTTCTCGGAATAGAGGTGTCGAAGTAAGGATTATCCTTTATCCGTTAAAAGAAGGCTGGCTTCGCGAACAGCCAGGGTTGCACATAGAATCTCTGGCGATACGTAGAACAATTGATGATAAATAATAAGCATTTTTTGTTTTCATAGGTAACTGCTTTGACTAATATAATAATACAAGACCATGCACTCTTTAGAGTATGGTTGACGTTAGCTATGTTATTGCTTCATGCGCCTCCTCATCAAGAACTCCATAAACGTTATCCAAGCTATATCATAAATAAATCATAACGACGTATATCGATTTCCGATTTGACATCAATCGTTGTAGTTGGTGGTGCTTAGCATCCACTACTTCATAGCGTTGAGACCACCAGCAGACAGAGGTGGAGCCTTCTCTCCAGCCTGGTTCTTCTCTTCCATCAACTCGCCAAGAGGCATCTTGCCCATGGACGCAGTGTCGGTGGTAGCGAGCCCACCTCTGTTAGGAGCCTCGCGCGGCACGAAATGCTGATAATCAGAACCCTGTCCCATCTTGTTCTGGGTAGTGTAGTTGCCATCATCAATGGAGGGGCGCTTGCCAATGGGAGCTTGGTTGGAGCTAGATTGCAGCCCAGAGTCAGAACCGCCAGTGTGGGGGAACTCGGAGTAGTTGACAGACCTTCTGTGTTGGGCATAGCTGGGCATATCCTGGTTGTTACCTGAGGGGATGTTGGAGCCAGTAGCGGTGAAAGATGGAATGTTGGAGACGTTGCTGGTAAGGTTGGTGGGAGACTTGGAAGAGCTGCTGGGCACGGCACCGAAGTCATCGGAGGGACCGTGGGAGACATGGCCGAATGCTGGGTCGCTGGCAGGGGAAGGGAAACCCTGGACGGCGGACTGGGAGAAGCCCCTGCTGGAGTTGTCGGAAGTGCTGAAGCTAGACTTGGGCGACTTGTCGAAGCTGTGGGCCATATCACGATCAGCCTTAGCAGCCTTGTCCCTGGATTCCTGGAACGACATATCATCCTTGGGGTACTTGGACGAGATATCCTTGGCTTGTGTGGGACCAGAAGAGCTGTGAGGAACACTGGAAGTGACGTCGCTGACATTCGTAGGTCGAGACTCGGTGTTGCTCTGCATCATACCAGGCATCATGTTACCAGCTCGCTGTCGTAGGTTGTTGGCAGTATCCTGGGCACTAGAGGTAAGGTTGGTAGCGGTGGATTGAGCATTGGAAGTCATGTTAGAAGCAGATTCCTGGGCTCGAGAAGCCATGTTGGACATGGCAACCTTGCTATCCTGGGCCATGGTGCTGGCCTGGTCGACGGCCGCGGTGCTGATTTCCTGGGCGCGTGCCATTCCATCGCTTGCGATAGCTCGGCCTCGGGGAGATGTGACAAGAGGGATGATGTAGACGGTTGTGAGAGCCAAGATCGCGATTCCGAAGGGAGTCATGAACTGGACGAGGAAGTAGAGAGAGGTTGTGATCATGAAGGCCTGTTGGTCGTTAGTAGTCGCGTTGCTAGACTCGCGGATTACCTACAGCGAAGGTCTTCTCGAGGTCTTCAGCGAAGATGACCTTTTGAGCCTGTACAACAGCATATTGAGTCAAGTCGTGAACATCCTTGAGAGTAGCATTGAGGGTCGATTCAGGGACGGTCTTGTACTGTCGGGGTCGCATGCGAGAAACGAAGTTGTTGGGACCGAAAGAGCGACCGGCAAACTCAGCCAGAGACATGACTTGCTATGGTCAGTGTCATTGTCCTCGCCGATTCAATTGACTTACCTCCGAGTCCAATGGCGCTAGTCTTGAGTGCGAGCTGAGTGAGGTGGAGATGGTGGACAGCGAGAAGGAAGCCGAGAGCAGCAAAGTACGATCCGATGGTTCGAGCTGGATCCTCCCACTGCAGCTATGTGAGTGTTTATTCTCCGATGGACCTTATTTAGATACATACGCTGATGTACTTGTAGAGACTGTCCTGCTGAGCAATGATCTCCTTCAAAGGTCCGGATTCTCGACGTTCTCCATTGAGTTGAGAGCCATTAAGGCGGGAAGCTCGAGAAGTATCGTCAGCCATGACGGGCTGGAATTCGTTCCTGAGTCCGCTCATGTCTGTTATTGGTTGAGTAGTTGAGGTAGAATAAAATAATTTGTTTCAATTGATCAGTAGAGATAGATGATAAGAAATCACAAGCCACGAACTGAGCCAGCACCAGCCCTTTATCTGGAATACCGTGAGAGCTGAGTTTGGGGCTGAATTCCAATGCGTCATTCTATGCGCTCATGATGATTTTTTGTTCCTGTCGTGACATCAGCGCGTCATTGTGAAACCAGCCTGTTTCTGGTCTAGAAGCTCACGAGAGTTGAACACTAACGTCTTGGTCTACACGGCACCCACGTCATACTCAGCGTCACCCCAGATCCAAGCCTTCCATAATGTCTCTGCAATGCATGAGAAACGGCTAAGACGGATGCACAATCAGGATTCACAAGGAATTTAGCATCTGAATATCACTGTCCAACTTGGCGATGGGCGAAGGTTTGCACTAATGTCTCGGACTGACATCATGGCGTGCCTGAGACACAAGGAGGACACACGACTCTAATTCCCTGCTTAAATCTCAATTGATCAACCGGATCGTGATACCCGGGGAAAAGAGGTGTGACGGAACAAGGTTGAAGCTGGGATGTGCACAAGGATTCGTGTCACCTAGATTTATCTCGATCTATAGTAGATTTTCCATCTCTCGGCATTTATTGATCCTTGGAAATGGCAATTATGATGCGGGGTGGGGAAGCTTAGCTACAGGAGCTACCTCGATCGGCATTGGCACTGGAAATAGCTAAGGCACAGCCCTTGCTTCTTTTGAAGAGGTCGTCAAAGCATGAGTTTTCAGTTGTGCCAACACTCCCATTATTTCTCATTTCAGCTTGTTTATAGATCCAATTAGCTTTGACGCATGCATCCTCAATTGATGCTGCAAATCAGAATACACATTCCACTCATCAGTGGAAGTTTATTTCTGACTGTGTTGTCGATATGCAGGTCCCGGTTGTCACAGGCATTCCATTCATTTTACACCTACAAACGTAAATTTCTCTATTGGTCGACCCCGGTATCGTTCGGGGAATTCTCTAAGCTAATTTTCATGTCTCGCAAAGAAGGTAACACGACCGAGCTAGCCTAATCCACGACTCTAAAGCCGGCCTTATTACCATGATCCAACAGGCTTCCAGTCCCCCATAAGCTTCTCCTTCTCTATCCTGGAGCGCATATTATTGACCGTCCAAGTTTCAGTTTCTTGGTTTGGGACTGTAGAAAATTCGAGTTGGAGTTTCATGGATGTGATCAAGACCTTCACGCCCGTATACTTGTCACCGAGGTCTTCGACCTTGCTGTCTTTTGAAGTAGATGCGCCGCTCTTGCGCTCCATGATGGTGATCTTGCGCTTTTCAGCCATTTTGGTATATCTGTTTCTAGAAATGCTTGTTGATTTGTGATCAGTGATTTTGTGTAAGTTGAGAATCAGGTGGATGTGTTGGAAGCTAGGTCACGACGGGTTTATATACAAGTACCAGCAACTTAGTTGTTCAATGCTTCACTTGTTCGTGTTAATTAAGGACGATGAATCACGAGCCTTTGTGCTTCAACTTGACTGTGATTGTTTGTTTTTCCTATGCAAATGTTCGGTGTTGTAGATCTGACGTGTTCAGCATCAACAGCGAATATAGGATCCCCATTTTAGCACTGCATCAGAGTTTTCAGGAGAGCAACTGCCTTGTTTGCTAAGTGCTACGGCCACATGGACATATCACAAACTACTCTGGCCTCCTCAACCGCGCATTCCTCCGTACCGACTCCATGGACAAGGTCAGAAATAACGTATCTCTCCCGCATGGTTCCATAACACAGTCTCCAGTGAAGCTCCAGTGCTGCCACAGACCCCATTCGCGTGTTTCGATGAAAGCGCTGTGTCGCATGTTGCTAATTCCGCGGTCCTCGTCTTGGAACGTTGCTATGAGCATAGTCTGGTCCATTAGTAGTGTCATGAATACCCTGCCACGGCAACCGTGAAGGAACTGTCTTAGTACAGGCGTGTGGCTCGATGGTTCAGTGTTCCGCCGAAACAGAAGTTGGAGATATACAAAAGACATGGTTAGATTTGGGAGTTTTGTATATACTAAAATTTCTCCTTGATGAGTGCGAACACAACGAGGAAGGGAAACCTCTTTGGCACTCCGAGAATATATACTCGCTCGAGAGGACTGAATCACAGCAATTTGCTCGGGTGGTGTTATGAAGCCACATCATGGGGTCTATTAGCTAAGACATTTTAACCTCTAAATCCAGCCATCAACTGCCTGCGACCGTGACTATCCACATACATCCGTCCGTAAACCTCAGGGTTCACATAAGGAATTTCAACGGGATCATCCGCAGTTGCACAAAACAGAACATCAAAGTATTCTGTAATACCAGCCCTCTCTAACGCACGCTTCATATCATATTCCTGCCTATCAATGTCTCTACGCAAAGGCTCCGAGATCATGAGCAATTCGTCATGTCGAGAAACCCTCCAAGCATACTTGGTCCCGTTATTGTCAAGAAAGCGCATCAGGCTGTACATGTAGCCGAACGAGTTGCTTGTTCTGCGAAGAACAGTCTTGAGGTAGCGTGGTTCAATCATTTTGGGTATTTAGTTGTGGCGTTTTTGGTTACTGGTGGTATGAGATTGTTTCATGCCGCGGAGAGAGGAGCTCACTATGCGGTGGTACTTATAGTTGAGATATTTGAGGACAACTTTAGCTGCGTAATTATAAACAACTAGGAAGGTCTGAATCAGAGTTTTATTACTATAGCTGTGATAATCTATGCCCGTCATACCGTTACTGCTTTCCATCAATGTACCTATTTGGCACATCATGAGGGTCCTCGTTAATTAACATGAACACCTTCGGCCAATCACCATGAAGATCACATTGATCCATAGCAGCCAACATCTCATTTCTTTCTCTATTCAGAGACGATGGCATACACGGTATAGTTAGCTGGAGTAAAGTATCGTCAAAATACAGACTCATGTTGTATCTTGTCTGTGTAAGAGTCTGGAAGTTGATTAGCTTTGACATGTAGTCTGCAGATATTTCTTCGTGTCTGAAGAAGATTGCGTGAAGATAGTAGCGAGTCATTTTATGGTCTTCCTCGATATCAAAAGAGTAGATGTAAGAGTTGTATATTGATCGAATGGAAGGGGATATCTTCGTACTTAAGTATTTACGTGCTGTTCGTGATTCAGATCACCTGATGCAAGTGATAATGTGTGTTTGCCAGTCACTTAAATCAGACATGGTCTCAAGACTGACTTCAGGTATCACAACGAATAATAACCAGAGACCAATCATGAGTGCAACTATTGAAGAACAGTCAAAGGTTCGCGCAATCTGATTTTATTTCTAATAGCCAATAACCCACTAGCAGCACTCTTAATACCAGAACGTAATAACAGCATGAACATCAGGTTTCTTGCAACAACTGAATCCATTTCCTCTTTTTCATTTTTTTTCATTGCTCCTTCTCTTCACCCGAATCGATAATCTCCTTCTTTGCTTCCTCTTGGTTCTTGTCCTCTTCTTTTCCATCATGTGTCTTCTCTTCAACAATCACTGACGGCTTTCCTAGTTTAGGTTCAGGGCTGTCATCGATAAACTCATACACTGCACACCAATCCTTCATCAGGCCTCGCTTCCGCATCCGCTCATTCAGAAACTCCGTCTACTTCTCCACATCGCCGCATATTGAATGACTTATGACTTCTAAATGGTTGAAGTTGTTTTCAAGCGAAACGATGTACTTTGGTCTGAATGTGGCATCAAAGACCTTCTTGCTGGGCACTAAGGTTCTGGCGTTAGGTCGGAGGCGGAACTGTGCGTGAAAGTACTTGTTCAAAGGCTTGTATCCCGATGGTTTTTTCTTTACTGATTTGTCTTTAGCTTGTTGCTGATACACTGGCTTTACCTCTGCTAGAGGGGGGTTGCTAGCTTGATGCCGATCCTTCGACCATGTTGTCTTGATCAAATGTCTGAAATGTTCCTGACAGGAATGAATGGGTGACTGCAAAAACATTTTGTCTGGTGAATCGTCACTCGTGATTGTAGTGGTGTGGTTCTGATGATTCGATCTAGTAGTACATAGCAAGTCTTGAGTACACCTTTGCACACGTGGTCCAGCCGCTGATACAGCATAATTCTGTCTCCTCTTGTCACTGATTGCCGGTCTGTTGGCTGCTACTCAGTGGACCTCTGTCGCCTACTGTGAACGCCTTGCTGTTTGCATGTCACGATTGGAAAGTCTGCTTTGGCCTGTTGCCGCTGCACTTCGTGATTATCTTCACGCAAGTCTAGTTTCTGCGTCACGGATCTACTGAGAGTGCCACGAAAGGTTTCAGCCCTGCTTACTGTTCCCAACTATGTATGAAAGCAGAAGTAATCGGCCTCCCCTCCAATAATATTAGAATAGACCTCACCCAAATACCCACAGCCCCTAAGCCTCTGGCTTCTGACCATAGAAGACCGTACTGCATGGATCTGGTCAGTTCAAGTTCCCAAGTCAGTTCAATCTCGGTCGGTACTTACACCTCTAGATATGAGTGCAAATCCGGGTTTGTCAATTCCTTGCGCATGTCCGCGAGGAACAACTGCGCATCCTCATATTTCCACTAAACAAAGAGTCAGTTCCTATCGGTCCCGAATATCACGAAGGTAACTTACTCCGAGCAATTCCGTTAGTCCACGAATAGAAAAGCCCTCAAGACCTTCGAGCAAAAAGTGCCGATTCCAAGCTCCCCATTGCTTGAGAGTCTTATCCTTCGGCCACGTTCCAACAGGTACCTTGATTCGTCGACCCTGTACATTTACAAACCCTGCATCGCTAATAGACTGAGCCATCTTATCGTCCCAGAAAATGACTTGCCAGTGATTTTCTCAATCTCCTTGAAGATCTCTACCCACTTGTGGGCTGGCGAGTCGGGCTTAAGTGTACCGTCGTCGGACTTGGAAACACCCCATAGCTGGAGACTTTCTACCCAGCCGCCGGGCTGCATATGCCTGGCGAGTATCAGCATGTATGATGCGATGAGGGGACTTGACTCACTTGTACGCCTTCTTAAAAAGCTCTGTCCAGTCCGGAATGCAGCCTGTCATGAAACGAATGTGAATGAAGTCGAAGTGATCAACTGGGTACGTCCATTCTTGTGTGATATCGTCAACCTCAAAATGGCAGTTCGGGGGCACGAACTTGGGTTGAATGGGTGAAAGGTCGATGCCAATTATATTAGCAGATGGGTGAGCGTCAGCAAATTCGCTACAATTATTAGAATAGACTTCTCGGTGCTGTTCTGGGCACTCACATTGCCCAGATACCTGTTCCGCATCCCACATCAAGGACCCTCTAGTACCTGGTCAGAGAATACACTAATGATGTGCCTGCATCATGGACTCACCTGAGGATTCTCGCCGATTGGGGCTTCGTAAAGTTCACCGTTCAGAATGATCTTGTAGACTTCGTGCCTAACGATGTTTATCAGCACTGAAACCACAAACTATTCTTGGTCTCACATCAAGTCTTCTGCTTCTTGTTGACGGTCATCATTTGGAGCCCTGGGAATAATTAGCAAGCCATCCTGACACGATTCAAGTACTTAAAACTGCGCACCAGTAAGATCCATCTTGATAAGCGTGGTAGCGTCGTCCGTTCTCCCATTTGTAGCTCAGAATAGAAGACCTAAGAGACTCCGTATCGGTAATTCCCGTCCTGTCATTCATTAGTGCGAATTCAAGACCCAGAAAACCGGGTAAAGCATACGATCTAGTGTATGAAGAATCGGAATCACCGCCCTACAAAAGTCTTCTATCAGTGCATGAATAAGGTTAAATGATGATGGGAAGATCTTACGACTTCAATTGCCGGTTCTTCTCCAGCAACCTGGTTCATCGGCATCCCACTAGACGACTGGGGAGCAGGGGAGGATTTAGACCGGGATGACTTTGGCGAAGACATATCCGCTCCAGTTGCTTTCAAAGATAACAGATAAACTTTGACGCTAATTTCTCACTCAATTTTCATGAAACTGGGGAATTTGAAAAGTTTAAAAAGAACAACAGACCGCTTTGTGGTTTTGATGAGGGGTTTTAAGAATATCCTTGTCCATTTTGTTTGTATAACCAGCACAACATGTGGCTTTACGGGCCGTCGTATGATATTATCAGTAAAACTGTCAAAATATTTGTCGATCATCATATCATGGGGGTCGTGTCACCAAGCGAACTGCCTCTTTTCCCGGTGCTTCTGCATGGATTGAGATCGAACCCGTGTATCAGCCTTGTGAAACTAGTCTAGAATCGCTCTCTTCGGGTAATATTTCAGATCAATATTCGGTACTTGTTGTGAACTCTATATCACATAATAAAGCTCCGAATGGTGGAAGAATCACCAGCATCATGCTTTTACCCATGTCATATCATGCTGAGTACGCATAAACGCCAAGCATGTACATTTATTTATACGGGCCCACGTTCAGAGGGCTTCTAAAACCTTATCAATCTGCAGAGATTAGCCGTAGTTTTATTCGAAACAAAAAGCAATTCAGCATCGTCATTCTGTATAGTTAGAAGCCTTTCAGATCAAGATCTCGTCAAATAGGGCTGTAACTGCAATCGATCATCGTGCGATGCGACGATCGGTTGACATGACCAAGTGCCGGAGTGATAGAAAGCTTATCCTTCGATGTGATAAATGATATAATGCAGACATCAAAGGTTGTATCTCATTTACCATTGCAATGCTTCATCTGTAAGAGTAACCGCAAAGCTCTGTATTTCTTCAAAATACATATCATCTACAACTCAATACAAAGGTTACATTTCGCTACCGTTCTGCATTCCCGTTGCGGTATAACCTTTATTGGGCTATCATGAACCGGGTACACTGACATTCGATGCTACCAGGATGCTTGTCGTTAATCTCCCTCCAGAGCTACCAAAGTTAAAAATGAGCGAAACAAAGGGGAGCAAGATTACGACCAGATTTAAACCCATCCTTGACGCCTCGCTAAGAGGGGATCCCCTCAGTAGCTTGACTAAAATGTTACCCGTTAGCTTCGTTGTGGCTGTTTCTATATGGTAACATCTCCCCCGGTGAAATGCCGAAAACGCCACAATGGAAAAGAGAAAGACATGTGAAGTTTCTGGTGACACATACCGCCTATCCCCTATTTCAACCACAACCTCCCATCTGGACAAGACATCGGAACTTCCTGAATTCAAATAGTAGGATAAATACACTCTACTATCCTATAGCACGTTTCTGAAACCATCCTGTGAAGCGATCCGAGCGAGAAACAAAGTTCGGGAAGTAGGCATCTCTGGATACCACTAACATTGGTCACTCTACTGACGCACGCTTGTCCTTGTTTGGGTGGCATCGCGAATAGCTAACCCCTTCTTCAGCACTGATCACACATGCGCTCTGTGAGTTCGGCTCGGTTCGTAGTCTCCCGGCCCAGTCTAGACTTTAATGCTCTTCATAACCTCGCCTATTTCATTATCTCGCGATTCAAGAAGCCTGGAACCATCACGACATGTCAGATGATGCGATTTCAATTTGATTGCTCGCATTAGTGATCCAGCCACTGTCATGGTTCTTTATTCCGATCAAGAAGTGTCAGCGGAATGAGATAAAAAAGCAACGTGTACATCATTCCGGCTTGGCAAGGGTCCAAAGACCTCATCCAACCGGCAGTGAGTTTTGGTTACCGACATGCCTCCTACCTTCCCCTTTCAGGGTAACTCAAGCGAGGTTATCCCCCTGCTCAGGTGCCGAAAGCGTGAACTTTAATTCAGCGCCGTTGCAGGTTCCCCGCGGGGACGCGAGTCAAGACTCCCTCAATCAAGCTTAGCCACAGCCTAATGTTTTGCTAAGCTTCTTAGCTTCACCAACCATTTTCTCTAGACGAATGCCCAATTCTGTGACTACGGAGAATCCGACTTCAGCTGTCAAAGAACAAACCTTGTTTGACCAATGTCCAATCATGGAGGGCACTTTGACTAACGCAAATGGCTCGAATCCGGGGTCTGTCTCTAATTATCTAGTACGTAAGTGACATACTTGTGGCTGGTAGCATCCCATCGAGTCAGGATCAGGGGTCAAAGCAAACTTTCACAATATGACAGGATCAGGCTGTGCAGCAAGCAGGTTGTCTCGATCTGCCTAACTTAATAGGAGTCTGATCATCTCAGCCAGGGTTGCATTCTTTTAACTACTTGGTCATGTCGCATTGCTTTTTTCTTTCTAGTCGCCTGTCACTTTCTTCCCATCCATTCTTCTTACACGAGTGATCGACAATGGCGGTGCCGGTATTCTTTGAGCTGAGTTGGTCGATTCTGTTCACCATCTGTATGGGAAATGTCTTTCTCGGGTGTCTAGTATGTGGTATCACCAGCTGGACGATGCTGGCGGCAGTGCCCATGTTTTCGTCGGCAGCTGGAGCCATTGCCAATGGGCTGTGTTATTACGTCTATTATCAGCAACATCCACCGATATACACCGCGATAGCATCGGTATTCGCAGACATTTTCTGGCTGGTACGACATCTTCTTTCTGTTTGGGATTCTAAAAGCTAACAATTGCCAGCTCCAAGAAGCCGGTCTCTTGTTTTATAGTTACATCATTCTCAAACGAGTCCTCCGTGGAACACGATGGAGAGTATTCGCATCGCTCTTCTGGACTGGCATTGCAGGTATCGTCATGGTTCGAATCGTCATCATCGCCTTCCGAGTCCGCTCTATCCTCAACCAGAACAACGATTTGTTAATGACTATCAACCATATTCATATCGGCTACTTCGGTCTTATTGCTCTGCTCGAATGCCTCAGTGCATATTTCCTCATGGTGCTCTTCACCTCAGCCAAGGCTTCATCTGCCGAAATCGCTCGCAGTGGTGGTCTTTTCCAATACTTGGCTCGAAGCACAGAGATGAGAGTCGCACTTTTGGCATTGCAGGGTGTGCTTCGTGCAGTCACACATTCCTTCAAGACTTCTGGCCAAACGGCTGAGAACATTGCTACGCAACTGGATCGCTTCTTCTATGCCATCTTCTGTATTTATTCCATGGTCTTGTAGTAAGTTGAACCCGGAGTTTCTGTTCTATCCAGCACTAACTATTGCAGCATCGATCTTCTTTCTTCCAAACTCAAATTCGGCGGGGGTAGTCAAGATTACCCCTCCTCACGAGATCGCTACGGCCACCAGAACAGTCATCAGAACCATTTCACTTCTACCCAGAAGGATGACTTTGGCCAGAGTAGGTCTGAACATGTTGTCGGAGTGAATGGAGGAAAGTCCAAGACACGAAGTGACTCAACCGACCAAATCATAGAGTGCGGTTCATCCCAAGGTGATGAGTCGATTAAGCTTGATGATATGGACCTCAAGGGCAATGTCATTAAGAAGACTGTTGAGTTTAGAGTGGTCTAAACGTCTTGGCTATTTCTTCTATTATAATCTGCTTAAGCATTAAGCAATATTGTACATACCTTTCTTATACCCCGCTTCTTATTTCCTTTTCTCACAGATAGTTCTTCGTCCATAACGGCCTCTAATGCGATACCTTTTTCTGACCTCAAAACTACGTTTTGGTCGAATTCCGTCGTCGTTCCGTAATTCAAGCAGCTGCTTGACTTCGGGTATCCATGGAAACAAAAGTCCCAATGGCGCTTCCAAAAGATCATCATGGCGATCATGTTGGGTACCAAAAGGGTCTTTTTCTCCGGCGCATAAATCTCCCACGTTGCAGATAGACGAGTATATCAAAGCCAGTAAAGATCATCGCAAGCTGGTCAATCCAGGTGTTCGTGCCGGAGCTGTCGATAGATCGTCTCATGGAGCCGGAGGTTCCATCTTTTTCTAGCTAGGGTGTTGCAGATCCTCTCGGGCTCGGACATGCCACTTTGTGGTGGTTGCATGCAACGCCCGCTGGGAACGGATGATTTAGCCTGAGACAGAAGCTATCCTGAAACTGTTGTCAAATAAAGTTCACAGCTGAAGTTGAGGCAAAATCCTCCCTCCTATTACTGTATGCAGAGCTGCCGTGGGGATTTAGATGCTCCTTACTAACATGCTTGAGATGGTAGTTGATTGGAAAAACAGATACATCGCATGGACCAAAACAAGCACCAGGGGTGCCAGATAACGAGTTAATGTTCATGAAACCTTTATCTGCTGATGTTGTAAGTAAAGCAAGCGATGGGTCGGATAAATTATCTTCCTCCCTTTAACCATTGAGATCTTTACGGACGAGCTCACAATCAACGGGCTATGAGAGGAACACTCCATACCTAACTATTCTTGGAGTAACTTGACAGTATGTTTAACAGCTAAGTTATCATGCTACCGAAACACTGCTTGGCTCCACCAGGATCATCCAGGCTATGGGTATTTCAGATACGCGACATCTCTTCAGACATGACCATGTGTTAGATATCCATCAATTCATTTGAAGAATAGATTCTTCAATAAACGCAAACCTTAGAATAAACCACAGTCAGATAATTGCTGCCAATTCTGACAACGCGGAAACTTGGGGGCTCCACCTATGTTTAATAATCAGCCTTATCGGAACTATCACGACTTTGCACCCTTTCTTGTCATTCTACTACATGAACTTGTCATTCCAGCCCTTCTGGATTATAAATCGCCCACAAAACAACTTTACTCTCCCGAATATGGTTCCCATAAGAAGAGGTCAAACCATTCACTACTTCGCTCCATGTTTACACATTAAGAAGTCAAATCAACGATATCTCACCTCCCCTTACCCTATCAGTCTAGTCTCAGACCCCACCACATGTCGAAACAGTTTCGGTACTCGTTCTCTCGTATTTTTAAGACACATTCAGTTGATGAGTCTGCAATTCAGTATCGCGACCTACGTCTCAAAGCATTAGAGGCATCACCCGGATCTTTCTCGTCTACATTTGAAATTGAGTCAAAGTTCACTCTCGATACCTGGAAGGATCGCATTCTTCAAGAAGACAGAGAGAACTTTGTCTGTATTGCGACGTCAACCGATCTCAGCACATCCGAGCGGGCAGAATGGGTTGGGCAGGTCACAATCCGAGGTCCAGCGAGCAAAAAGGACTTTGTCCTTCCCGAGGCCTCCGGTCAGCCCCCTGTTGGAGAAGACGATGAAGAAGAAAAATGGCAGCTGTTGAGCCTTTCCATTCTCCCCGAGCACCAAGGTCAAGGCTTGGGACAGGGTCTTTGTAAAGAAGCCCTCAAGTATCTTCACGGGAGACGACAGAAACCTCGCGTTCTTGTGAGATTGATGACCAAAGCCGACAACACCGCTACGATCCGCCTTTACCGAAAGCTAGGATTTGATGTTGTTGGGGCTTGCACGCTGACTGAGGCATTGGTCACCAATGGGGATGGCAACTTGCTTCCTGAGGATATTACCGATCCCAAGTACACGACTCGAACTGGCGTGATCATGACTCAGCGGATTTAATGAGGTTTTGTCCGAGGCTGTGGATGATGGTGGTCTGTGATGGCCAAGGTGAGGGGAAACTCGGTGGTAGAGACAGACTTTGAAGCACCACCAGACATCATAAAAACATCCAACAGAAGAAAACATCCGACTCACCTCATCTTGTTGCATAAATTCAACAAATGGAAAGAGTTCGTGGCCTCTCAGATACCCGATATCCGGGTTGAAGGTACACGCCAAGTGGGCCAACTCGTATAAACCTTCCCAAAATAGGGCGAATTCTTGGCATTGTCCCTATCATTAGCCCCTTAGCGAGCTTAGTCATTCCTGGCCAAAGCGCAAAATCATGCAGGAGGCAAACAGTCAAGATCCACTGAGTGGCTGCCGAATTTGATCTCTCACATCCGCCATGGCCGAATAGCAATGAAGCTGTCAAGAGTTACACACTGCATGCTCTTGACAGCTGGCTGTCGAGCTGCATATGTACAGTTCCAGGACTGCTCTGAAAGTCACGACTCTTCGTCACTCATTCCGGAGAGTTTTCGCGCGTCTGTTGAGAGAGGGAGGGATAACTTTGACTGGAAGTTTGATCTTATCGCTGGGTTGACGAAACGTAACTCTTGTGAAGCCGATCTTTCTGATATCGTTCCTCGGTTTGCGGTCGTCGACTATGGGAATCACACTCCTTTCATCTCAGGCGAGATCGTCAATAAGACATGCTTCACGTCGAGATTCCTTGGCTCGAGGTCAAAATTTACTATCGCAACATCGTTTAACCGATCAACCCTACTCGATACTTATAAAACCACATTCGAGTTAAGAAACTCGGATAACACAACACTCTCTTGCGTCCGTGCAGTCTTGACCCCGGCAGTTCCCAAAGCGATACGTCTTCTCGGTCTTTGGCTTCCAATCATTACTTTTACCTTAGCTTGTCTTGCAGCATGTTGGCCGGTCCGACAAAGCACCAAATCCACCACCAAGAACTCACTCGTTGCACGCGCAATCGATGTACTGGCATACATCCAATTCATATTCTTCTCAGGAGCCTTAAGCCTTCGATATCCCGGCTTCTTCCAACCATTGGTCGGCCTTTGCGGCTGGTCTACTCTTATGCTACCTACGGGAGTAGTCGAACGCGGCTCCCCTTATGCACGATCAGGTGTTGAAGATGGCATATACGAGCACAACGGAACCATCACTGGAGCGCCTGGCTTGGAGTTGCTCACTCAGATGACTGGCTCCCCTACAAAGTCTCGAAGTTGGATGAACACATTCGTCTTGTCACTCATTGTCTTTTTGTTTCTCTATATATCTTCCTACATCACCCATCGACTCAAACATGGCGAGACAAGCCCCGGAAGTTGCTTTGCCAATTTCAGGTCTCAATTCAAAACTCAGTATTGGGCTGTTGTCAGACTGTTTCTCAGCTGTTTCATGCTCCCTCTCAGCGCATGGGCGACTTATCAATTTGTGGATGGGAGCATCTACGGCTATGAAAACTCGGCAATGGCTCTAATAGTTCTCATTCTGTTGTCAGCAGGATTCTACTGGAGTTGGTCGCAAGACCCTGAGATGGCTTCGCTTGTTATGCAAGGCCCGGGTAGTGTCGGCAGGAACAGCAACAAGGGTCACAAATATTGCGCCTTGGTTGTATTCTTCTTGATGATGCTGCGCGGGTGCATCCTTGGTGGTCTCCAAACGTACAATTCTGTCCAAGTTGGACTACTTCTAGCATGCGAGGCGCTGCATCTCGCGTCAATGGTATACTGGGCTGGGTTTTCCCACTTTGTATCGCTTCCTGGCATCTTATCAATGACCCGAATAGCCTTGTTCTCTCTACATATCGGCTTTCTACCCGGGGTGACAGATCACTCGGGTAGGATGCTTGTCGCGTATATCATTCTTTGTGGACATCTCGCCGTCCTTATTTTTGTTTTTTCGATACCCACTGCATTCGATCTTATCAAACTTGCGTTCAGCAATCACCCATGTGTTATCTCTGATGTCGAAAATGACAGAGGAGCAGTTGTAAGTCAAGGACTAGACACTGGATAACTTGTTACTAACAAGAAACAGGCAGCTAATGCGTCATCGTCTGGAGATAATAACGAACTTGCTAAGTACCCGCTGAGCTACACATCTAGATCAAGTAGAACTTTACTGGACATGATCGCAAGTCGAGAGACCAAACTTTTTAGTCACGAGAGCACTACTACAATATCACCAGAACTTCTTTCATTATTTACGAGGACCGTGCAAGGGGAAGATAAACTCAGCCAAGTGTGCGAGGTTTCCAAAGAGTTCACTGGCTCATCTAGTACTCTTGTTGGTTCAGCAGAGTCAGATTTAGACATACAGCCAGCAACTGATATTTCCCCCGATTCACTGGCTGCTCATCTTCTTTCCAATAGTAATACGGCGATTCAAAGCATACCAACATCTCATGATCTGGACCGCCCTGTCAACGAATACTTCATCTCCACCTCTCACAATACATATCTCCTCGGCCGCCAAGTGGCCACTCGTTCGAAATTGGAGGGCTATGTCGAAGCTCTATCCAGGGGATGTCGATCTGTGGAAGTGGACTGCTGGAATGGACAGCGTGGACAGCCTATTGTCAAGCACGGCTACAGCTTGACGAAGTCCATCAACTTTCGGGATGTCATTAAGACCATCAAGGAACATGCTTTTGCTGCCTCCGATTTGCCTCTTTGGTTGTCATTGGAGGTACATTGCAATAAATCCCAAAGAGATATAATGGCTCGAATTATGGTTGAGGTCTTTGGTGAGTGCTTGGTCACCGAGCCAGTTCCAGAATACACCAAGACACTGCCTTCGCCAAACCAGCTACGGGGGAAGATATTACTCAAAGTCAAGATGCCACAAGGTGGAAACCCTCAAGATAGTGAACAAGAGGATGATGATGCTGCCAATCTGGATCTGGAGCAGAATGGAGATCAAGTAAACCCCGACTGGGGAGTGCAAATTGACCCAGGTATACCCCAATCAGAACAGAACGGTCCCCAAGAGGACCTTTTACAAAGCCTAGCGATCTATGGCGCTGGCAAGCGATTACCCGCTCCCGATGCCATCGATACGCATAGAAATTTCATCTACTCCATCTCTGAGACAAACCTCAAAAAGCGTATCAACAAGGAGCACACTCTTGGACTGACTGATACGCAACACATGGTCAGGGTGTACCCAGATCCAAGCCGTGTCAACTCGTCCAACTTTAATCCACTAGAGTGCTGGAAACATGGTGTTCAGATGGCGGCACTGAACTACCAGACAGATGATTTCCAGATGATGTTAAACGACGCCATGTTTGCTGGTAGCTTGGGTTACGTCCTGAAAGCACAGCCAGAGCCCAAACAGATCCGTATCGCAATCGATGTTCTTACGGCTAAAGATTTGCCAGGACTAGAAGGCGAAAGTCCTTTGTACGTTGAGCTTGAGCTTCTTCTGCCTGATATGTCTGGCCAAACGGTACGAACTACAGCCGTATCAGTCGACGGGGCCGATATTGTCTTTGATCAGAATCTTGACATCTCTATGGGGACCAACTATCCTCATTTGGCGTTCTTACGCTGGTCAATCAGGAGATCGTCTACTCGGGGGTCAATGTATTCGGGGATATCCAAGGTTAGCAACCTGAAGAAAGGTTATCGACTGTTACCGCTTGGCAGGTTGCATCCAAATGGCCACATTTTATGTAAAATTAGCGTAAATGTTTTATAACGATAGCGAAATGACACTAGATTTGCAAGTTCACTGACGTCAGAGTGTCGAAAGAATTGGCTGTCGAGAGCACAAGAGACGACATGGCTTGGTCACCTTTTGCAAGTTTAGACTACGACTTGGACTACTTTATTTTAAAGTTACAGTTTTGAAACACCATGGCTCCGATGCTCGCACCAGACTAAACACGTGCAGTTCGATAGCAACATGTCAAGAGCATGCAGTGTGTAACTCTTGGCAACTTCAATGCTATTCTGCCATGGTGGCTGGGTCGTCTAGGCCATCAAATATACACGAGCATGGGCTATCGTCCAACGAAACTCTGCTATCTCAAAGTTACTTCTCATCAGAAAAGCTAAGTGCTGTGGCAAAGGATAAGAGGATATATTGAACAGCAAAATACTGCCAACCCACCTTGGAACTTGACTGAACCGCATTTTTCACAATGGCACCTGAATCAGAAGGAGTCAATAATATTCCCCAATGCTCCTTTCCACCAGGCAAGGAGCGCGTAGGATACAGAGTCGGTAACCTCAGCTCAGGTGTACCCATTCCTCATACCGTTTGTTGCAAGTCGAAGTCAGCCAGCTGCAAACGGTGGCCGCTTGCAGCCTAGCCTTGCAACATCGCAAGATGTCAGACACGCCCCATCCCAATCCTGATAACCCCCAATTGGTCATTAAACGCAACGAATGGCTTGCTGTCATGAATCCTAGCGTGCCAAGTTCACGTTGCTTCAGCCCTGATCGGAGTCAGATGAAGGAGTTGCCCAATCCGGTAATCCCGCCGAGCTCCGACCTCCGTGTCCGACCTGGTTGACAAGACGTTTGACAAGGAGATTTAAAATCAGGCCACGATGTCGATCCTTACGGGGGATGCCGTGCCGTTCAATTGAGTTCCAGCGACCTTACAGTGGAAGGGGTGCTGAAGATTAGGTGCTAGGGTCATGATTCATATAGCCAAACTGTAATGGACTTTGGGCTTGCTGCCCACCAACGGCGGGTTAACCTTGAAGCTTAAGCTTAGGGATCGACAGTCAGCGCGTCCCGTGTCGCTGTGCCTCGTGGTTGGCAAGTCAATTGAAGATCTTTGGTCATCGAGATTGTGAATGGCTTCAATGATTGGCGACCGTGTCACTGTGACTCGACCATGATGATTCAATTGATCACCATGTAAAACCTATTCAAGTTTTTCTGAAGGTCAGTTATGAAGTCGCACAGTTCAAACCAACACAATGAAGGACGTTGAAAGTGTTCAAAAACGTAGCGAAATGATATTAATCGCAATATGCTGCTAAATACAAGGATATATAATACTGTTTCATCTTTATGTACCTCCTCATTCCCCTTCACCTCATGAATATAATTTTTAAATGCAACGTCCGTCTAATCGTTACTCGCCGGCATTCCAGTCCGGCTGCTTCTATAGTGTATGTCTATAGGGTGATGTGTGTTTTGTATAGGTGGTGGTAAGTGGTTGATGGTTGTTTAAGAAGAAGCCTCCTCATCGGTGACACCCTCGCGAGCGACCTTGGAGTTGTTGTTGCTGGGAACCCACTTGGAGGAGGTAATGGGGTTGACCTTCTGGCGGTACATTGTGTCAATCTCCTCGAGGGTGCGGTCCTTGGACTCGATGACGAAGAAGAAGACAATGAAGACGAGGGCAGCACAACATCCGGCGTAGACGAGACCGTAGAAGTAGTCAATGGCATCAGTGATGAAGCGAGTGCTGAGACAATGTTAGTGAGATGTTCAATTGTACGTCACGGTGAGTCAACTTACAAGAAACCAATGAGGAAGTTGAAGAGCCAGTTGGTGGCAGTGGCGATAGCCATGCAGCGAGATCGGTACTGAGAAGGGTACATCTCGGCGACGACAGCCCAGACAAGGGGACCCCAGGTAGTAGCGAAGGCGACAATGGCCAAGCAAGAGAAGGTAACGAGAACGGTACCGGCGGCGGGGGTGCTTTGAGGGTCGTCACGGTCGAGAGCGAAGTGACCAACGAAGGCGTAGATGAGGAAGCACATCATCATCCAGGCGGCACCGATCATGAGAGAGATACGGCGACCACACTTCTGGACGACATAGAGACCGCCGAAGGTACAGAAAGCGTTGACAGATCCGAGAATGAGCTGAGTGACGTAAGAGTCCTTGAGACCAGTGGAAGCAAAGACGGTGGTACCGAAGTAGAAGAAGAAGTTGATACCAGTGAGCTGCTGACCGGCCTGGAGAACAATACCGAGGATGGTACGGTACATCATGCGGTCACCAGTGAAGATCTCAACAAGGCGGGTCTCGGGCAGGGAGCGCTCCTCCTCAAGCTTCTCACGGATCTCATCGATCTGGCGGTTGACACTGGGGGAGTTGGGCTCGAGACCAGCAAGGCGAGCGATGTTGTTGCGAGCTTCCTCCTCCTTACCCTTTCGGTAGGCGAATCGGGGAGACTCGGGGAGGAAGAGAATACCAACACCGAGAAGAAGGGCCCAGAGGAAGTTGAGACCGTTGGGAATTCTCCAAGAGGCGCTGCCGTCGTAGTGGTTGGTACCCCAGTTGACCATCTCAGCGCACCAAATACCGAGGGTGACCATGAGCTGGTAGCAAGAGACAATGATACCTCGAATGATGGCAGGAGCAGACTCGGACTGGTACATGGGAACGGCGACGGAGAGAGCACCAATACCGACACCAGTGACGAGACGACCGATAGCGTGTTGGTACCAAGCGTGCATAGAGGCGACTTCGATGACAGTACCGACGCAGGTCCAGAAGGCGGAAGCAGAGATGGTCATGCGACGACCGATGGTGTCGCAAAGGTTACCGGCAATCAAAGCACCAATCAAACATCCAATAGAGAGAAGACCAGTGATTGTTCCTTGTCGAGCAGCGCTGAATTCGTAGTTGCCGTTTCCGTCGGGTTCGCCAAAGCGGGCGCCGTAGTCATTCATGAGGAAGTATCCCGAAACTTGACCACTTGAATCATATTAGCAACACAACACCAACAAGATAGAATGCACAAACCTAGTATAACCAAATAAAAATCCGCCAAAAGACGCTGTCAGGCCCATGAAGCAGGCCAGGAAGGTGACATGGCCGTCAGTATCGGGAGTCTTTCTGCGCTCGAGATGCTCGCCTTCGGCGGCATGCTCTTGGCGTTTAGAGCTGAAAAACTTCATATTGAAGAGGTCAATTGACCAATTGATAGTAGAATGTATGAATGTTGAAGTGTGTTGTACACAAGATGTGGTGGTGAGGCAGAACAAACAGCGAAATTGAAGAGCGACGATGGCCCTTTTTTACCATTGTTTATTGTGGAGATGATCGCCAAGTAGACATCGCGGGCACCGAGCTTTCAGACCATGGGTCCCATCTCATGACATTCTTGGATGGTCATGCTCCAGAACGAAAAGTAAAAAAAAGCTAACTCAAACCCCGGGGGGCTTGGAGCAAACGAGTTGCGGAGACTGACGTGGGTGAGAAGGTAAAAGACTTGGAGTAATAGCGGAGCATCTGTGAATAGAAGGCCCGGAGACTCACGTCATGGGGTTTGAGTTGAGAATTGCTTACTGCTGAAGGCGTGTGTGTTCCTGGAATGGACTGCAATGGGTATCCCATCATGCAGTTTCCAGGACCACTCTACGACACACCCCCTCGTGGGCTGATTGGTTCTACGGAGGTCCCCTAGCCTCAGCTTAATCCAGATTCATCTCCGTTCAGAAAACGGTGGACCGATCCAGAGTTGGCCGGTCCCCTACGTGGGGTGACAATTTTTTCTCTCTCTCCTGTTACCGTATTGCCGGCCTCCCTTCGGCATTGATGACGCACTTGGACCCTTTCCAAGCTGATTAATGGGCCCATGTGACCCATTCTTTTGTTCTCTTGATCCAGTTTTTGCTTCTATCCGGCTTCTGGCCTTATCTCTTGGCGTCGATGATCGTCGGCAGAGTCTGCGTTCATGCGGCAGTTCAATCAAGACCCTTTGAAGATGGAAGAGATACCAAAAGACAGCAAAAGGATTCATATATTCATCAGTATCCTAAGAACAATTCCCTATAGACAATTTACTCAATTCCATCAACTTCTGATCATTTCGCAACACTAGTCAGCTTCCTCATATTTCCGACGCTCGCCTTGTCCGCTGAGCCCCATTTCCTTGATGATATGACACCGAGAGGCGCCGAATCTCGGTCCGACTGCATTGGGAAAGGCAGCAGCATCGGAACTCGCGCAGAGTTTTATTTCCGAATGTCAGAATCTGGTGTTTTAATTTTTTTCTTAGCTGTCGCCCATTGTGGCCAGTATGATGTTATTGTCACGGCACTTAAACTCCCGCGAGATACTGGATCTGATCTGATCTTTTTCTCGACGCTATATCCGACGCTTGTAATTGCTGTGCATTTCGCATTTCGCTTTTCGCCCTAATAATATTTTTTACAGTGAGGTAATGCAACAGCCCATTCCTCTCTACCAATGGTGAATACTCGGCCAAATGTCTCGAGTCTTATCCACGCCGTTGAGACCGGCCGAATTGAGCGGAGCTTTTCACTGTAGTTGCTCCATTCTCGTCGCAGAGTTCATGGATTGAGAGCGAGTAGCATTGCGTCGCTCGGTCAAACTGATAAGCCTTGGAAAGTCAATTGGAACAGATGAGAACAAAGCATGCGAGATAAGACCGAGAGCAAGCATTGAGCCAATCTGCGACACTCATTGCCGAACCTGGAAGGTAGAGCAATAATTACTGTAGTTCTGCATTTTTTTACCACTGTAATTGTGATGTTTTTCGAGTGGTATCACCATCGCATGTTTGCCTCCCGAGCCTCAATCATCACCAGACCTCTTTTTTTCTCGAAGCCCTGGCTTGCCTTGGCTTCGCCCTTCCCGCAGAGCCTCCATTACCCCTGGACCCATCCATAACATCATTTGTCCTGCTGATGCGGCTCTGCAACGGGTGGAAACGCCATGGCTTCTCGTCTCTACCGTACCCACACGGGCCGAAAAAGACATTCGGCGGTACTCGATATGGGGCTCCATTAATTAGCGGAGCCTGTTCAAAGATTTCATTCGGACCCGAACGTTTGAGCCGTTTTCGAGGTGGATCCGGTCTCTACGTTACGTTACGGAGCCTCACTCCCTCACTCCCCCCATTTCCATCGACGACTCCAAGCAATCGCGGAGAAGAACAAAAGCACCAGATCGCGGGTTGACAGGACATGGAGAAGCGCCGTGTCCTTGGAAACAGGCCGAGTCCAGACTATGGAGAAATGGAGGAAGCCGGAATGCATCATCGTGAACAGTCGACAAAGGCCTGATTCATGGTATCTGGTCGAATGACGTTTGCAGCCGCTTGCCTCTATTGCATTCTCGTGACAAACCTTTTACAAAGAAATATACACGAACCGAAATTAGAATTAACCGTGTTGAACTATTGCAGTCTGGAACTGTCTGGCCAACTGGGTAAAGGAGCGTGTGACCTGAAGAGCTTTCTTAAAGGAGTTTCATATTAATATCTGATATTAAGTGAGCTAGGGCCGTTGAAAGTCTAAGCTTGTAAATGTTTAACGCCATGGCTGCGGCTATCACAGTCCAACCTCACTTCCCGTCTCGAGGGGAAAACCGTTGACGTACAACGTCCAAGCATCTCCAACTCCGGTGTCTCGTCTCAAATCCCCTCACTCTCTCCATCTGGGGGAGACACAACCCGTCATAACCATAACGCACCCGGATCGGCGTTCCTCGACAGCTTCCTCGGTGTTACCCACACGTCCTTCCCCCTTCCCCAGTTCCAATCACTGTGAGCGAGGCCAAAATCTCGGTCGAATTTCTCCAGCATACGCCGAAGGGGCGGGTTCACGTTGTCGCCTCCCCCAGAGAACGAGAGGACCCAACGCCAACTTCCTCCGCACCCCCTTCTTATGGTCTGCATGCGAGCTGTTCTTTATTTTGGGCTTATCGGTCCTTTGAGAAGGGGGGACCGGAGAGGGCGGGCACGCGAAAGTATCCCGCATCCTCCGCATTTGCCAGCATCTTGCGGGTGGTAGTGGAAATTTCTGCTGTTCACATGGTGGTTTTTTGGTGTTTTGAACGTACGACTCCGGAATCACGGTCCGTCGGAGTTTTTATATGGTAAGTTTTGTATAAGGAGTTGTATCTCGATCATATCATCGGATTTCTTGGTGTTTCGGGTACGCCGGGTTCAAATTTTCTGGAGATCACGGCGCAGGAATTACCCTACACATGGCTTCTGAAAGGTAATTTGCAGAAAAGCAATTTCGTAGATAGCATGAATGTGTGTATTTGGTCTTTAAACGTAAATTGTAAAGATTCGCTGAAGAGAGTCCTCGCGGTTGCACGTTTCTGTTGTTTCCTGGGGCCATTTTTATCTACAGCAAATGAATGATCGCCAATGACCTGCAGGTAACAAAGAAAGACTTAAAATTGAGCATTTCTTCAAGAAAGTTCGTTCAAACTTTTAATGAACTTATAAGCAAGACTGGCATTTTCAGCACAGCTTACAGATGTAGTCGGCTCAACATATCGTATCAGTTAAACTCTCGCATGCCATTTAAACTTCAAAACTCCGAACTAGTGCTCCCGATCGCTCGATAGTCTTCGCATATCTATCTTGCAGTAGTCTATCTAGAACTCGAGCCACAGATCGTGTGTTCCAACGGTCTATGTCTTGAGAAAGTGTGGCTGGTCCTGTGATGCTGCACAGCCACCGTCAATGCAGCCATCATACGATTGTGGTACTCTCTGCATAAACGCGAATATTAGACGAGACTATACGAAATTTCGTCCAATCTTGAGTAAGCAGAGGTCTTTGCTTTGCTTGGTTGGAGCATTCACGCGAAAACACCCATGCCACTTCTTGGCCGAGCATCCTGAGCTAGGAGGACGACGGGTGTCAGCACTATAAGCTTATTGCTGAGGAAACATTATAGCTTTAATTAACTTTTGCCTTTCTTGATTATTGTGAATCTGGCACGTTGAGGAGCAGGCTGTGTTCTATAACGGCAAGTGGTTAGCTGTGTCGAAGAGAATCACTCGCGCATTGCTGAAAACAGTGACTCATGTGGGTTTTGACTATGAAGCTTGGAGGATGGTATCAAAAATGACGACTCAGATTCCCATAGTCTTCCTGTCGGTAGAGTATCCACCTTTCACTTTCTCAGGGTCTTGTCAGCTATTGATCGACCATGCAGATCGCCGTATGGAACCAGTGTTGCATCCTGCTGCTACGTTGCTGGAGTTGACAAACGGCAACTTCCTGACCAGTCAGCCCAGTCATTTCAAGAGAGACTTCTTATTTAACTGTGTTAAGAACAATAACGATAACTGGAAGTATGCGAATGCAGCCTTTCTCAACAGCCAAGAAACTTCTTCCGCTCAAAGCGACGTCACCAGGCCCACCAGTCACCATCTCAGAATAATGGACATGCTCATCCTTCTCCTTCATCCCATTACCCTGCCCAGAGAGCTTCGAATTAGCATGACTATATCTGAGAGCATCTCAAATCATATCAAATTCACATGGCAAGCGAGGATGCCTAATTCCCCAGGGTCGGATAACTTAGAAGATTAGTATAATACTTTTAAACTATATCATAAAGATTAGATTAGCTCTTCTAAACTTGGTATATGCGGGTCTAAGACCGGACCAGTCATTTTATTCTGCTGTCTGGGTGATAAGGTTCAGGGCCTTAAGTTCCAAAGCCGACCGCAACGAGGGAGGAGATCCGCTCCCACATACTCGATCGATGGAACCTTCCAATTGTTCCCTGGAAGAGAAATCCGTTCAAGGCTTCGCTGTGCAAGGGTTCCTACCATGGCGTTGGCATGAAGTTCGGTATGGTTGAGGGTGAGGTCTTTGACCCTGAGAATAGCATTGATCTCAGCAAGAGCACAGTGGTGGTCGACACATGGTGCACCAATTTCACCATGAGGAACTTTGCTACGAGCGATTGGCCATCAATTCCTGTCACAATCGCAGCTGTCCCACTGCATCATAGTTTCTTCAGGGCTGACCTCGCTCTCGGTGCTCGCACGAACCCCGATCACAGGCCCATGGCTTTCGCTCAGGCGTACTCCAATGGTCATAGTCCACACTCTGCTGCACAGTGTTGACAGGAGCAACCTGCCAGTCGCGCTGGTAGCCCGCAACCGCGTGCTCCTGCCTGTAGTGGCGAAGCAAGAGGCCAGCATTGACGAAATGCTGGGGGCACTCCCCGCAAGCGAAGTCGAGAGGCTGAACTTGATCCTCTTGTAATGCAGGGACCCAAGACTCGATCCTTTGAAGGGGCATTGAAAACGCTGGCGTTGGTGGCATTGGTTTGATTGAGTCGTCCTATCTTCCCTTCCAAACCGCGTCACAGGGCTCGCAGCAAGAAGTACCTCCCGCGGCATCAGAAATTCGCCCATGACAAGTATCGAGCCTTTTTCTGTGATGAGTGTCCCTTCTAATCTGCCAACAATATCCAGCTCGAGATCCATCAAGCCACTGTACACCGTGGCGAGAAGACCTGGCCCTGCGATTACCCTGGGTGCGGCCTGGACAGGAGAGTACTCGTGATACCCACTTCACGAAGATCCACAACTCACCCGTGGCCTATGATAAATGTAGCGTGGTGGTCGCCAATTCGCGGGAGTTGGTCGACCACAAGAATCGCGAGCACGCTGGCCAAAACAGAAGTATGTGTGCTCGGTTCTGGGTTGTGGATTTCGTACCGCCAGGCCAGCAAGTCTGGACGTCCACATGGCAACACATTCGGACGCGAAAAACTGGCCGTGTACAATTTATGGGTGCAACAAGGCGTACAAGGACAAGGGCAGCCGCGATAGGCACATGAAGAGCCCCACTGATGAGAGGTGTTTGATGGTTGGGAGTCTGGGATGGTGTTTTTCGGATGTGCTTTTTATCATCAAGTTGACTACGTTTTAGGGCGCTAAAACAAAGTAGCCTAAGTACTAGTCTAAGTTTACATAAATTAGCTAAATTATTTCGTCCCTTAGGGTCTTGACAGCCAATTCTTCTGACACCCTGACGCCCATTCAAAGCTTGACTGTTCCAGTACTCAGATCATGGCATTGCGATGAAGTTCGGTATTCTCAATAACGAGATCTTCGACCTTAAAAATGGCATAGACCTCAGCAAGAGCAATAGTTCTTGACACGTGGTGCACCAACTGCACCATGGAGAATTTGCAGTGATTCTAGGCTGTCATGGATACACATTCAGTCGTCCTGGCCCTATCCTGGACGGGACAACTCAAATTTGCTACGTTTCTTCCATCTCAATTTCACTCTCTATATACTCTCATTATTGCACATACAGGAATTTAGTACGTACAAATTACCCTGACCTCTTCGTTGGGGTGTACCCTCTAACATTTACATGATACACTGCAGATCCCCCAAACTTGCTGCCGAGAGCCAAGGATCTTTCGGTATCTATGCGAGACGAACCATACCCTTGGCAATATAGATCGAACTCTTTAAAAACCCGGATCGTCGTACATAGCACTTATTTGAAGTAAGTTTGAAGTTGTCAAATATTGGTTCTGTAGGATCTCCTCTTTCATGTGACGCAGACATCAGATCTATGTTTCTCTCACGGCTCTGAGTTTCATGAATGGGTGGGAAAGTTGTCAAAGTCGAAGTACTTTCCCCTTGAAACGATAAATTCTGGACATCAATCTTATCTCAAGTAGCCCCCAAAGTCTAGAACACTGCAACCAGGAACACGAGCATCACACGGCACAGAAACAACTCCATCCCACAACACTGCAACCTCGATCCCCAAATGCCTGTGAAGATCCCGTCCAGACCTCCAACTCAAACATATATCACGATCCTCATAAGCTTAAAACAAGGTACCATTGGTGGATCCATTCTCTCAACAACATCCCTAGATAACCCCGCCAATCGAGACCAGTCTTATCCCACTAGCTCGCTACCATCCCCATGCTTCACTTGCGGCTTTTGGGAACAGAGCTCGCCTTACCCCAGACTTTGGCAAAAATGCTTGTTTAGCCAGGTGACTGGATTGAGAACGCGGAAGCGGTGTGATTGGTTTGACCAAATGCGATGGAGAGACGGAGAATTTGGAAGCTCGTTTCCTCGAATGAGCGTTGGAGGAGGCTGGAGATGTAACATCAAACGGAGAGAGCTAGCTTGCCGCTTTGGGACTCGCTCGTCATTTTCCGAAGTTCATTGGTGCGACCAGACGAGGAACCCTCAGGGTCTCCGGTAATGAGCAATGCATCGCGGTGAGGAAAAGTCAAAGACATACGATCAGCGATGGCTATATAAAGAATGGTGAATCCTGTGAGCCAAGACTGGATTCAAAGCACCACAACTCAGCCTTATCAAAACAGACATCTACTATCACCTTTCGCCCAACATGAAGTACACCACTATCCTCGCCCTCGCTGGCGTCTCTTCCGCCGCTGTCACCAAGACTCTTCCCAAGTCTGCTGGTGTCACCTCTTTCCCTACTGCTGTTCCTGTCAAGGGCAGCTATGACGGTGGCATGAAGCGATTCGAGCGAAGCAGTAAGTCATCCACATACATTATAGTAAGGGATCAAACTAACATGGGCTAGCCAATGTTTGCCAAGGTCAGAAGGAGACTGGTGAGAAGGATGCTATGTTTATTCTCGAGAACGGCGCTACTCTTTCCAACGTCATCATCGGTGCTTCTCAAGCCGAAGGTGTTCACTGCAAGGGAACTTGGTAAGTTTAAGAGTACTACGTATATGTGTTGCCGGTTCTAACCTGAGATCAGCACCCTGAACAACGTCTGGTGGGCCGATGTCTGCGAGGATGCTATCACCCTCAAGCAAACAAGCGGTACATCCTTCATCAACGGTGGAGGTGCCTTCAACGCCGACGATAAGATCGTCCAATTCAACGGGCGAGGTACTGTCCAAATCAAGGACTTCTACGCTCAAAACTATGGCAAGTTGGTCCGCAACTGCGGCAACTGCAAGGACAACGGCGGTCCTCGCAATGTCGTCATCCAGAACTCTGTCGCTGTCAACGGTGGTGTCCTCTGTGGTATCAACACCAACTACGGCGATACCTGCAAGATCAGCAACACTTGCCAGAACGCTGGCAAGTACTGCGACCGCTACCAGGGTAACTCGAACGGCGCTGAGCCTTCCAAGATCGGATCTGGACCTGATGGAAAGTTCTGCACTACATCTGGTGTTACTAAGAGCTGTTAGATAGGTGTATGAATGTTATGAGAGATGGGAATGATAGTGTACTGTTGGAGGAAAAGTTGATGAACTAGGTTTAACTTCTGTATATATATGCCCGGCCATTACTATTGCCACAATAACATACACACTTTATGGACATACCAATGGATCCTGCGAATACTTGATCAACACTGAGTGGGTAACAGAAAGATCCTCTAGAGTTTAGGACATTAAAATAACGAAGCCTAAAGTGCTATTCTAAGATATCCTAAAATGACTAAACTATTTCGTCTCTTAGGCTTTTGGTAGCCAATTCTTATGACACCCTGACGAATGCACAAAACGTGGAAACTGAAAAATGATTCGTTTGTTTAATTGCTTCAGGAACACGGCAAAAGATGACGGCAGTTTCTGGGACGCTCCCAATGACCAATTACGTTGGGCCGTCGATAGTTAAGTAAAATATCGATGGCGAATGAGTTTTCACAGGTCATTGAAATAAATGATGGTTCGCCGATTGCAGGCGTTGGAAAAAAAAAGAAAGTGAAAAAAGCAAAAAAGGAAGAATGAGGAACACCGGATTTGAACCGATAACCTTCAGGAATCCCCGAATTACGCTGTGGAACAGCTAACTGGAATCTGACGCGCTACCGTTGCGCCAGCTCCCCATCTTTTGGTGAAGGAAAGCTTTCTAATTGGGGAATATGTTCCCTGTACTGAGCATTCCCAGGAACAAAGAAAGGATAACCTTGCCATTTGTCGTCGCAATCGCTCGAATTGGCAATCTTCCGGTAGCAAAATAAAGTGAGGCAAATGTTGTGCGTATCTCGCTTAGAACAACAGACCAGACAAGCATTTTTCGCAAATGCGAGGGGCACAATGTGAAGATCTACGTCGGAGCTTTTACCCTTAGCCTCTAGAATTCAAGCTTCTCCTTCCAAAACTCGGCACCGAATATCCCTGTATTGCTTGAGATAAAGAACAATTGCTCGTGATTGGAACTTTTATCTGTTCCTGTTAATCTCCTCAAAAGGTCCTCTGATATTTCGAGAAAGTCCCAAGACCTTTTGACGTGTTCAGGGGATCAGACATGAAACCAGCTCCCTACCAAGGCAATTGATCGTCGTCATTGGTCCATCGCCTCGGCCGATATCGTTACATGGGCAGATTGGCCATTTCGCATCTCTGATTGGTGAGAGATCAACAATGCTAATTCGCAACTCCACAGACCTGGCGGTAATGGGATAACCAGTCATAGCAGAAAACCAAGGCATCTCATTAATTATGCACTCCTTTTGTACGATTCGTCCTCGTGGCAAACCGTGCATTGTCAAACTTGACCACGCCACGAAACGTTTCGGTTGGCTGATGCCGTTATCGTTAATATTTCATGCTATACCTCGACAGGGGCCATGATGTGTGGGATCGGCACACTGCCGTGGCTGTTTAGGCAGGTAGTGGCTGCAAGCAAGGATGTCCACTATCTCCAAGCGATGGCGATCATCGGAGCAGGTGCACATGTCCAGACACGATAGGTCTAGGTGCCGAACGACTACTAACAGCCGAACATGATGAACAAGATTAAAGGAGATGAAGCATTTAGATAAATAGATGCTTGTGTCTCCAGAAACTTCATCTCATCTCATCCCATCAGCCTCTTCAGTCTTTACAGCAGAGTCAACAACTACATTCACTTACTACAACACTCACTTTCTTTTTCGAAAACACCAACTTTCGACAATCTTTATCAAAATGCGTTCCGCTACTCTTCTCGCTCTTTTGCCCTTTGCGCTGGCCGCTCCTTCATCCTCAGTCTCTCGACGAGCTGAGCCTGCTCCCGTCATCCGACCTCGCGGAGTCAAGCTTGTCGATGGCAAGTACATCGTCAAGATGAAGAGCGGCGTTCAAGCTGCTTCTGTTGACAACACTGTTTCGACTCTCCAGGCTAATGCCGATTACACCTACACCAAGAGCTTCCGCGGTTTTGCGGGTAGTCTCAAGGATGACGAGATTGAGAAGCTCAAGCACGACCCTAATGTTAGTCGCACGGATCACGATCGGCAGGGATCATCATACTGACAATCTGCAGGTCGAGTACATTGAGCAGGATGCCGTCATCACCATCAAGGCTACCGAGGAGCAGGACAATGCTCCTTGGGGTATCGCTCGCCTTTCCAGCTCCCGACCTGGTAGCAAGACTTACACCTACGACGAGAGCGCCGGTGAGGGTACTTGCGCTTATGTCATCGACACCGGTATCGATGTTGAGCACCCTGTAAGTTTACCCCAGATTCCAGAATGACTTGGTTCTAACACTAGCAGGACTTCGATGGCCGCGCCACCTTCCTGAAGAACTTTGCTGGTGGCCGCGACGGCGATGGCCAAGGTCACGGCACCCACGTCGCTGGAACTATTGGCTCCACCACCTACGGTGTCGCCAAGAAGACCAGCCTCTACGCCGTGAAGGTCCTTGGCGACGACGGTTCTGGCACCAACTCCGCTGTCATCGCTGGTATGGACTACGTCGCTGGCCACGCCGACTCCAAGAACTGCCCCAAGGGCGCTGTCGTCAACATGTCTCTCGGTGGTGAGCGCTCCGGAGCCGTCAACAACGCTGCCAAGAGCATCGTCGATGCTGGTCTCTTCCTCGCTGTTGCAGCCGGTAACGAAGCTGTCGACGCCGCCAACTCATCCCCCGCCTCCGAAGAGAGCGCCTGCACCGTCGGTTCAACCACCCGCAACGACACCCTCTCCTACTTCTCCAACTTCGGCGAGGTCGTCGATGTTCTTGCTCCCGGCAGTGATATCCTGAGCACCTGGCCCGGTGGCCAGACCAACACCATTTCCGGAACTTCCATGGCCTCACCCCACGTTGCTGGTCTGGCTGCTTACTTCATGGGATTGGGAAAGAAGGCCGAGGGTCTTTGCGAGTACATCGCATCCGAGGCTCTTGACGGAGTTGTTGCAAGCGTCCCTCGCGACACTGTTAACAAGCTTATCAACAATGGTGTAAGCAGCAACTAGGATGGGCCGGGAGCTTACTTAGAGTCATGTGTATCAGTTTCTTAGATGTATGATTAACGTATTGAATAATGGTATTCACTTTGCCTTCCAGTTTTTTCGGAATTTGTGCTGTCAGTGATGTGAAAATGAGGAACACGGTATTCAACGAATACGGTGGGACAGGTCGAGTCAAAGTCGCGATGGCTTCATGTGGTAGTATTTGGACAATATTTGCTGTCCATGTGGACTTCTTGATCTTATCGCACTACTCCTTCCAGCCATCTCCAGCGCCGAGGAACCAGTTGGCGCCGACCAGTCGTAGGCCATACTTCTCAACGAACTTGGCAGTATCGAAAGATCGTCGTTGCTCAAACTCCTCGCCTCCAACATCCTCCTTCGCCAGGTCTAGATCTGCGGGTTGTCTGTACAGAAGTAATAGATATCTGTGTGGCTTAGAGCTGGGACTTTGTCAGCAACGAAGCTCTCGCTCAATAAGATATTTCTTACTCATCCTTGGGTCCAGGTCCCAAGTACTGTGTGAGCGCTGGCTGGATCTGGGCAACAGCATCCGCGCTTCCCAACGGTCTCAATCCAGGAAGAACCCAGTGTCGCCAGAACGCAAACTTAGGTTCATCGGGTGTCGGCGCATCAGGGTCAACGAGGAGAAGCATGTACGTAGCATCACCCGGAGCATCAGCCTAAACAAACATCGTAAGTAAATATGCTCATCTCAGAATCCGACCAACATACCTCTTGGTCAAACAAGACACTAGGTGAGCGCTTGCACTCACTTGCGCGAAACAAGTTTCCCATCTCAACGTCCTTTCCATCAAACGACACGCGCAGATTGGTGCTGGGCTTGAAGTCCTCGGGAATAAGACTGGCAGCCGGGCCAGGGACTAGCTTGGCTTCAGCCAGCGAACTCGATAGCTTATTTGACATTGTGAATACAGCAACAAATTGGAGTATTGTGTTTGGTGAAGCTTTGAGTGAGGTTGGGTCGATGACGGTATTTGAAGAGAGCTTACCCCACGTTGGGGGCTTGCATCAGAATGACATCTGACTGGTGGAAGAATGCGCTTTCAACGGCGCGACCCCCAATGTCGGCATTAAATGGGAGTGAAAGAAGCTTTACAGGGAGGATTAATTCGGCAATGGGGTCTGGTCTGTCGTTTGCCGAGTTATGCTTAACTTGCGCCGAGCAGAGGCAGGCCAGCCAAGATGACAGGCGCGCGCCGAAGTAGACCCACCCATTGAGCTTATCGGTGGTAGGCCGATAGCGGCATGGACGATAAGCCACTTGTGAGTCTAGGGTAGCTTCAAGGCATCGAACCTCGAAAAATACAACACTGGAAGTGCACTCTACCTCCAGTTTTAGCATATAAAATACTCTTCTCGGTATAAAATATAGTTTTCTAAGTTCTCCGGATCATGTTACATTAGGGAAAAATATAGTTTGGCGTTACATGTTGACATCTGAGAATTTAGATAATTTGAGTTCTCTTCATCTAAGCTCACTCAAAATCCGTAAGCGATCTAACAGGAGGTTCGCAATCAAGCCAGACTCCCACCTTACATGAGCTGATTGGCTCGATACCATCTATCGATAAGATACGTGCTTCGATGACATCATAGACGCGCGAAAAAGGGTGCCGATCTATCTCCGCGACGCGGTCGCGTTTCTGTCCTGGAGCTTGAAGCTTTATTTGTGCAGTACCGCTGGAAACAGTCCGAGTTTCGCCCAGTGAGCAACCGGTCTCTTCTTACCCACAGTGCATGTCCGACCGATGATCATGCCTTTCGTTTTCTTACGCATCGAGTCAGCCGCCAGCCGCCAGACTTAAGTCGAGCTGTGACCTGCTATAGGACATGGAGAAGAAGACTGCGACACGGTTCTATCACCAGTTCTTGGCTGTATGCTCGGGCGCATGACTTCTTGCTCCGTACAAGCGGCTCACTGATACTTCCCAGAAACCGTCCATCTCTCTAACTAGCTCATAACCATCCATCGAAGATAGTTCTGCGACATCGCCTGGCTGTGCTCACTTTTCATGGTTGACCAATCGTCTACTGACCCCGAGACCGTAAAACATCGGACGAGACAGCTGGAATCTCCTTTGCGACATTTTACCTAGTCGTCGCTCCTCTAAAAAACATCGCCTTGGCCTCGGTTGTTGACAACCTTCGAAGCTGATACCGCGATGTGCCTTGACAGTCCCACCAAACGTGATTCTTTCCCAGCGACTTCTTACCAAGTTTTACCAGCCAGGAGTTTGTAAAGAACACCGCGATTCGCTCCAGAGCCTGTCACCGAAGCCGGATTCGATCTCCAAGAAAGTTATGCACTCGAGGATGTGGCAGCGGTCGCCGTATACCCCCTACTCACACCGAAAGTCATTGTGCTGTCAGTAGTACTCACCAATGCTGCGATGGTTTCCAGAGAACCTCTTCCAACTTCTGGGACATCTTCGCTTCGAAAGCTTGCGCTTCAGCTGCATTCATGGGCGACGGCCATCCGAACCCCAAGATAGCCATGTGCTCGACATCAACGTGACACCGCTCGCCGACTATCCTCCTCATAGATCGAATGTCGTGATACACTTCCGACGGTGTTCAGGACTGCCGAGTCCCTTCCATCGACTGAAATCCGACCCATCAAGCTCCGAGTCATCGAAGTCCGTGAATGCGACCATACTTGATTCTTTACGATACCTCGCGCCAAGCTCAAGCCAGGCGAAGTCCACTCTGCACGCGATCGAACGATTGAATACATACAATCTCCATACCAGATGGTCGTAATACGGCGAGAGACATTGCTTCGTTGCTGCGAAGTCCGAGTATGAGTCCATCGGCGTTCAGTCATAAGCTGCTCCGGACCGTCGGATTGCCACAGGAGACCAATGCCGACGGGCGGTTCTGGTGCCACGGAGTTCCGTGCAAGCGCGACATGTACAGTCCGGTCTTGTCTCAACGCCAGCGCCTGTGCCATGCCAACAATTCGCGACCTCTAACGTCGACTTTGTCTGATGCGCTCCATCGGAGTTCGGTGAATTTGTTGCCCAGTGAAGGTTACTTGACCACACCGAGGACAGCATCGCGCGGATGTCTGGGCTCCAACGGGCTCGATAATATACTCACCGAACACCGTGGGAGACTGTTAGTCCTGTCGCATTGGTCGGACGTCCGATCAGCATCAGTGGCAAAGCTATGGGATGATGTTCTGCTACGCCACTGGACCGCCGATTGCCTGAGGGCTCGCAGTTCGGATTCCGAAGTGCGAGAAGTCAAACATACATACAAGTTCGACAAACAGAGTGCGCGACTCCGCTGGCCAACGGACACCGCTGCTCATTCGAAGACCGAAGTCCATCGGTGTTCGGTGTACCGTCATGCCCCGTACAATTGCCTATCCAACTACAGTTTCGGTGATGGGATTGACAAAGAAAGAGCAGTCTACCACCGACTTCCACTTGCTATAAATCATGCTGATTACCGTAACTGTATCGTAAAGCCAACATACCCTCAACGTATTTGCTTCTCTCCACCAAGCCTCTCAGCAAGCCTTGACGCCTGATCGTTCTCAGTACACAACGTGACAGCCATGACCGTTTACTTTAGCCTGAAATGTCGAAGGGAGTAACCTAAATGACACCTCATTTTTCGAGTTTATTCCCGTAGTTGTCCCAATTGTGGCACTGCATGTTTATTTGAACGTCGCGATGGACAATTACTTGGCGCAGAGTCAGAACACTGGCGACCGTTACGGACCATCAGAAGGAAGTCTACATTCTTGCTAAACTGCAGTGCCTTGCGGCAGTCACATCAATTCATTGACATTCATTTAGCTGTCGCTGGCCTGCATTTGAGGGAGGCTTGGTCGATTGGTGATGATACCCATTCATGGGGCGTTATCACATTTCTCGGTGACGCGGCTTTCATCAGCCGGATCCTGGGTTATTCTCTGCCACAAAGAGAATTAATATCAGCGCTTGATACACTGGCGTATCTGGCTGTGAGATGCCGAGACATTGATCGATACTCACAAATGTTCTACGAAGTCTATATGGACCGTAATGTTTGACGACACTAACGGATGGTAGCTAGGTCTGGTTCTTTACGGAATCGGATCAACGATGCTATCGTCCACCTTCTTCTTTTTTTGCGCATGCGAAAGTCACCAGTTCAATCCCCTGTTGCTTTTTCTCTGGATCTTTTCCTTAAAGCCTCGGCCTATTTGTGATGATCCGAGTAACGAGGCGTTCGGTAAAGAATGAGGCTGCCGCCGACGCAGGTACCGGTCTGTATGTCTGAGATCAAAGAGAGAAGGCAATTGATTCCATGAACTGCAGATGATTCCAAATGTAAGCGGGGCTGTTGATTGGCTTGCGATTCCGAATCGGCTTGTGGGTGTGGATGGTGGGGGACCATTCCGACAGAAGCGGAACAATGATTTCACCATGCATCAGACAGAGATTCGTCTTCATGGGCATAGCATTGCCATCTTTTGTTGATGATACAGCCAATAAACTGATAAAGTCTATAAAGCAGATCATATAGAAGCAACTGATGTATCCATGCCATTCAATTGCCTGACTCTCATCTTTTTAACCCAGTTCGGAAAACACAACATTTGATGGGAAGTTGACCCCGCTCTTTAGCCCACCATCTCGGGGCCAAATCCGCAATGCGCTACAGCAAAGACGTAAGATCCCCTGGCACATCAGATCCTCTTTCTTCCAGGTGTATGTAAGCATTCTATGACCAAACGGGCTGTTAAAGCGCAGATAATTGGACTGTTCAGTTGCTGTGGTTGTTTTGTTCAGCGGGGCTAGACCGGTACTAAACCGATCACGGGGTGTTTGCGACGAAACGTTATTCACATTGGATGTGGCGATCAATCCAGGTGTAATTCACAGTAGAGTCGAGGATATCATTCATTCGCAAATGGTATTCTAGACGATTCTTTGAGGCGATTGACTCTAAAATGTCATGGTTTTCCTCAGCGGACAATGGATCTCTCTTCCGAAGCCGAAGCATTCCGGGTGTTTGTTACGCGCTGTAGTTACAGTTACACTGGGCGCTGTATCGGTATAGCTTCCCCGCACTTGGCTTGCAGTGGGTAGCTCTTGACCTTGTTGACGAAACCGGCATAAGTTCCCGAGTAACAGACAAACGGACTCTTTTGACGAGATCCCGAGAGTGACCCGGGCTTTCTCATCTGGCCTCCTCTTTCACTCCATCTTGCCACTCCACTCAGAGCCCGTCTTTTGCCAATCCGCCTCTTGTTACCTTACGTTATAAAAGAGGCACCAAACTCCACCCCCGCATCTTGTTCCATGCCTCGGTTCCTTCTTCCACTGTCTTCTTCCTCTTCATCTCTTTCTTCTCGTCTTTTGTCATTATCTACAGCGAGGAGGACCTGGATTTTGAACACAAAAGCAGCAACAAAACCCAGATTTCTGTCTACAACACAATACAATATGGCTGAGAGCAAGTGTCCCGTTGCGCACACCAAGGTGCCCAACGTTGCTGGACACGGCGTCACTCACCAGAAGTGGTGGCCCGAGTCTCTCAAGACCAACATTCTGCGCCAGCACAGCAATGTCACCAACCCTTACGGCGAGAACTTTAGCTATGCTGAGGCTTTCAACTCGCTCGACTTCCCTGCGCTCAAGGAGGATCTGCGCAAGTTGATGAGCGATTCGCAGGATTGGTGGCCTGCTGACTTTGGCCACTACGGTGGTCTCATGGTGCGACTTTCATGGCACAGCGTTGGAACATACCGCGTCTTCGATGGTCGTGGTGGTGGTCGACAGGTAAGCACCAAACCTTCCGCTCAATTGCCTTCGTTTCTAACGGTCTTCGCAGGGTCAACAGCGTTTCGCCCCCCTCAACTCGTGGCCCGACAACGTTTCCCTCGACAAGGCCCGCCGTCTCCTTTGGCCCATCAAGCAGAAGTACGGTAACAAGATCTCATGGGCTGACCTGATCGTCCTCGCTGGCAACGTCGCCCTCGAGGATATGGGCTTCAAGACCCTTGGCTTTGCTGGTGGCCGAGAGGACACTTGGGAGGCTGATGAGGCTACCTACTACGGTGGCGAGGATACCTGGCTCGGAAACGACGTCCGCTACTCCAACGGAAGCAAGGGAACCACTAAGCCTGGTGCTACTGACTCCGATCAGCCTCAGCACACGGACATCCACAACCGAGACCTCGAGAAGCCTTTGGCTGCTGCTCACCATGGTCTCATCTATGTTAACCCTGGTATGTTTCTCCTCCAGCTATCGCCACGATCATCGCTAACAATAAACAGAGGGTCCTGATGGCAACCCCGACCCCGTCGCCGCCGCCCGTGATATCCGCGAGACCTTCGGCCGCATGGCCATGAACGACGAAGAGACCGTTGCTCTTATTGCCGGTGGCCACACTGTCGGAAAGACCCACGGAGCTGGCTCAACCGATCATGTTGGCCCCGAGCCCGAAGGTGCCGACCTTTCTCAACAGGGTCTCGGATGGTCCAACAGCTACAAGTCCGGAAAGGGTCCCGACACAACCACATCCGGTATCGAAGTTACATGGACAAGCACTCCCGTCAAGTGGAGCCACGATTACCTCAAGTACCTCTTCCAGTTTGAGTGGGAGCTCACAAAGAGTCCCGCTGGCGCTCACCAGTGGGTTGCCAAGGACGCCAACGCTACCATCCCCGATGCCTACGACCCCAACAAGAAGCACAGGCCTAGCATGTTGACAACCGATTTGTCTCTTCGCTTCGACCCTGAGTACGAGAAGATCTCTCGTCGCTACCTCGAGAACCCTCAAGAGTTCAACGATGCTTTCGCTAAGGCTTGGTTCAAGCTCACTCACCGTGACATGGGTCCTCGCGACCGTTATCTCGGCCCTGAGGTCCCCAAGGAGGTCTTCACCTGGCAAGACCCTGTCCCCGAGCGGGACTACAAGCTCATTGATGACGGCGACATCTCCGCCATCAAGAACGAGATCCTCAAGTCTGGTATCGACGTCTCCAAGCTCGTCTCTACTGCTTGGGCTTCTGCTTCCACTTTCCGAGGCAGTGATCTCCGTGGTGGTGCCAACGGTGCTCGCCTCCGTCTTGAGCCCCAGAAGAACTGGGAGGTCAACAACCCCTCTCAATTGAACCAGGTCCTCAACGGTCTTGAGGGCATCCAGAAGAAGTTCAACGACTCTCAGTCCAATGGCAAGGCTGTCTCTCTTGCTGACGTGATTGTCCTTGCTGGTTCTGCCGCTGTCGAGAAGGCTGCTAAGGATGCTGGTGTCAACGTCACCGTGCCCTTCGTCCCCGGCCGCACTGATGCTACCCAGGAGCAGACCGACGTCAAGTCTGTTGGCCACCTTGAGCCCGCCGCCGATGGTTTCCGTAACTACGGCGCTTCCACAGACCGTGTCAAGCTCGAGCACATGCTCATTGACCGCGCTCAGCTCCTTACTCTCAGCGTTCCCGAGATTACTGCTCTGATCGGTGGTCTCCGCGCTCTCAACACCAACTGGGACGGCTCATCCCACGGTATCCTTACCAAGCGCCCTGGTGTCCTGTCCAACGACTTCTTCGTCAACCTGCTCGACATGAGCACCGAGTGGAAGCCCGTTGGCAACGGCGACATTTTCGAGGGTATTGACCGCAAGAGCGGCAACAAGAAGTGGACCGGAACCCGTGTCGATCTCGTCTTCGGATCGCACGCTGAGCTCCGCGCTACAGCCGAGACCTACGCTGAGGCTGGCGGTAACGAGAAGCTTGTTCGCGACTTTGTCGCTGCTTGGACCAAGGTGATGAACCTTGACCGATTTGATGTTAAGAACGGCAGCGCGCCTAATGTCTCTCCTCGACTGTAATTTTATGAATAGCAACGTAGCAAAATACCTTTGAGAATGAAATGATTACGAATTTACTCTACATCTCTGGCTTTAATCACTGTGATGTTCTGTCTGTTGTCCATTCTTGCACTGTCGTCTCATCAATTGATCTAGATCGCTTGACACAATCAAGGGCCTGGCGCTAGAACACTGACGTTGCTGTCAAAACTTACTGTTATGATGGCCTCGGCATTTGAGAAAGCCGCTGACAATTTAAACACTGTGATAGGTTAATGATGGCTCATGCCGAATGACATGATCTTGCGACAGATGAAGCAATTCCCGGATGCGACCCCGCCAAACCGGCCCCGCTTCCGGGGGACTGTCCGCCCAAGTCCGATCATGTGAGGCAGACACCACGATGTGACTGACGACACAGATACAGAACAGTCACGAATAAACCTTCGATATCAGGCAAATCCGCCGTGGTTGATTGATAAGGACGGTCAGCGCTGTATCGTGATGTATTATTGGTGGATGCCGTAGAGCCGAATCTCAATACCGTTCGCGTTAGTGGTCAGATGGGTGGGCCAAGGGTGGACAGACACATAAGAGAACTTGACCCCGGAGAGCATTAGAGACGAAAGATTAGTAATTTTTCGTAAGTTTAGGAAAGCCTTTAGGCCATCTTTTATATATTATACTAAGGTTTAGGTTACATTTCAAGTCTTACGCCCAGCTTCCTTCAACCTACGGGAAATCGAAGAGCCGAAGCCTTGACAAAGATCTCACCAGCACTGTTCTCTACCTTGAACAGAGGCTTCTCGGTGCTATTACGGAAAGGTTCGCCGAAGTTTATGTTGTCGACGATGAACAGAGCACACTTCTGTCGAGTAAGGAGTACGTTCAAACGTTGTTTGTTTTGGGTGAATCCCAGCCCAGGTCGAGGATGATCAGTGTCCATGATATTAAGTGTGATTGAACCTTCCTGGCCCTGGAATGAATCGATCGTGGCCATGTCTGTGAGCGTTTACACGGAAGGATAGTTGCGTCTCATCGATGATGAGCTTGACGTTCGCCGCATAGGGCGCGATGACTGCGACTTCTTTCGGATCGATGTGAAGGTCCTTTACAGAGCCATTCAGCAAATCGAGGCCGACCTTGACTTGTGGCGACTGCGCTTGGAACCTGCTCTGGGATTTCCAAAGACCCGAGAGTCTTGGTAATGAACAAAGACAGGACAGAGAGCCCTTCATGTTTATAACATATATATATATACATATATAGAAGAATGGGTTTCAATTCGCGGTGTGTCGGTCGAAACAGTGCCATGGCTCAGACCTTGTATTGCAGCGCTCAGCTCTGGGAACTTGGCGTGAAGGCACTAGTCAATGCCATGCTCAACCTTGAATTCTGGGTTGTTGATGGCTCGACTGCCATGGTAAGTGAAAGGCACATCGGGGTAGATCACCTTGGCGACAAGGTCAAACATTCCTCTGGTCATACGGAGTTGAACCTTGAGACGGTAAACGGGAAGGCTAGAAGCCAAAAGTGCACTCATTGTGGAGACCTCGCCATAGGCTGAGAACTAGTTGACTAAATGGTCGGTGCCCGAAACTTTGTCACTCTTGGTGAGGACAGTCGGTGGGAGCTGTCGGGCTGCCCGAAGAGTAGACATGGTGTGAGGGTATTGCCCCAGACGCAACAAAGGTCAACTCAAGACATACAGACTGCCTCGTCGATGAAAACGCCCCGGGCGTCAATGACCTTCCAGCCACGGTACAACTTGTGGTACTGGCTGGCGGCAGGAGTCAGACAGAGGAAGTCAGCGTGACGGACCAGAGATTCCAAGAAGCCCTCGACAGCACTGGCGTACTGAGGATAAGCCATGGCGTTTTCATGTCCTTTGTGTTGAGACTTAATGTTGGCTTGCTTGTATATATACTATATTGAGAGGAATCCGAGTAAACTCCGTCCTGACGATGGTCCCAGCGACGAATTCACGCAGCGTAGCTAGATCCTTTCCTTCGGCCACGCGACCGCGAAGCGCCCGCACGAATAGAAAGGTGTGTGCCATCTCTGGATATGCTGTTACCGTGTCGGCATTTGAGGTCCGACGACAAGCTTATAGTTACGGTGGCGGGTGGTTGTTAGAAGAATCATCCTCCAAGGCT